CTCGATCAATCTCAGACATGTGCTGGTAGGCATTTTTCCTTCTTACACGAGGCATAACAAAAACCTTTTTACCCAAGAACAACGCTCTAATTCAATTTCTGTATGAGAAACTTAGTCAATCTCTTCTTTTATACACATTGTAGGTGTCGCTACCGCCGCCTGCTTTGCATGAATGCGCTAATAAGCTAATTAGCTTATTAGCGCATTCATGCAAAGCAGCAAATGATTAATCATTGCTCAATTGATCAATCAATCAAATAACCACGACAGAATGGTTTATCCGTCCTGCAAATTTCACGTTCGTGGTGCGTCGCCTTCCTGGTGTAGCAATTTTAATGGCCAGTAGTTTCCTTTTTTTAAAATTCTATTGAGAGAAAGAATGGAATTATGAAGCTCTGAAATAATAAATTACGTAAATAAAATGAATAAATTTCTTTTAAAAACAAGAAACAATCACTCTATGAATAATTTTAGCAAGGAAAACTATAACAGCAGAAAGGAAAGCTATAATTTAATTTCATAATTAATTTATATAATTAGTTAGTTATCTCGCTTTCCGAAACTTTACATAACATTTACAGACTTAAAAAATTTTTTTTTAAAAATACGGTGAAACAATAGAGAATAAATTAAAAAATGTTAATGCTCCTTAAATGTAACAAATAATATCAATACAAATAAAAAAAATGTTCTTAAATAAAATTAAAGTAAATTTACAAAAATAAATAAATTTATATAACGGCCAAATTTACCACTTTTGCAGAGGATCTGTTGGAAATGCAAATGATTTGGAGGAAGTTCTTCAATTAATTCTTTGAAAGGTTTTTTACGCTAATAACGTATTTTGCGATTTTAGAGCAAAATTAAAGTAATTTTGATATTTCTGATGCTTCATTTTAAAGAAAAATTTCCTGACAATTGTCAGGAAAATAGCTTAACCCTTTTTTTTTTCTCATTTCAATGCTGCAAAATATAACCTAATTTTTTATGCTAACTTTCCGGGTGTTCCGTAAGATCTTTCGTTGTTGTTGTTGTTAAGGCAGAGAGGGTGCGATTGTTCTTGTTTTCTAGTGGCACCATCTATGGCCAAGAATTCGTCTTCCACCACACCCATACGTCACACTCGCTTATAAGGCAGACCCATTCACAGAACGTAATTTTGACCTGAACCAGAGAATGATCAATCTCCAATCCAGTTCCCCAGAGGTATCGATTTGTTATGGGAACATGGAGGACTTTGTGGCCCAACGGATTTATCGTGCACCGGTCGACACGGGGAGTCTTTGGCAGGATTGATTCGAACTCCCGCTCTCACAAGTAAGGTCTTCTAATATGGTTTTTAAATTTTTGATAAAAATATTTTCATTGTCGGTTTCAAGTTAATATTCATGTAAAAAAAATTATCGAACTTCAACGAAATAAACGATTTTGAATCAATTAAATTTGTGAAACAACTGTTACCAACCAACTGCACTGTTACAGACCAATTTTCAAACTAATTAATAGTTACAATAAATTAACCATTTAACTATTATTTTTCATTGTGTTCAGGATCTTTCATGAGCATAAATTATCTATTATTTTAAGAAGTTTGTATTTTGTTCAATTATGATTTCAAAGAAAGATTAGAAATGTTTTAATACATTAAGGTAATGCAGTAATATAGCATATTGTTTTATATTCCTAAATTCACTATTCAATATTACAAATATTTTTAATATATATATATATATATGTATATCATTTCTATGCTTTTTACTTAAAGAAAACATAAGCATTCAGAAAGCATCACTATTGAAGTAATTAAAATATTAAGTTATTAACATAAAAATCATTAAATGGAAGTTATTAAAATACATAGAAATTATTAGCTTGTTAAACTAATTGACTTTGAGCAAACCTTTATTTCATTTTATACTAAACTGGTTTTAATTATTCCCAAAATATTGTTTTGATACATATTTTAAGTTAAAATAATATAGAATTTGAACTTTTTTGTTAAAGGAATGCAATTAAAAACTGAACCACGAATATAAAGATAAAAAAAAAAAACTACAGTTGATAAATTCAATAATTTTAACTATAAAAACTTATAAAAATGTGCACCATAACATGAAGGAAAAAAGAATAGAAAGTTTTTGAAAATTGATTTAATATTTTCAGAAAAAGGGTTTGCGCAAAATAAAATAATTCTATTACCTTATTATGCTTTATTTGAATCAGAGTCAAAACTTATTAACCATTTTATAATAATTATTTTTTGGCATGTGTCACGATAATATGCTATTATAAATTACCGTTAAAAAGATTCGTTAAATAATTTAGAGCTTAACGATTTACCTTATGCACAATGTGATGCATATTACAAACACACATATGATGCATATTAAAAATTACCGTTAAAAAGATTAGTAAAATGATTTAGAATTTAACGATTAACTTCATGCACAATGTGATGCATATTAGAAACATACATATGATGCATATTATAAAATGCCGTTCAAAAGATTCGTTAAATGATTTAGAATTTAACAATTAACTTCATGCACACATAAATTGCATTTAATATATCAACCTGTTTGGAAAGCGAAAACATTAAGTTGTGAACTCAAATTTTTATAACAATATACCTTTAATTTTAAATTTTAGTTTTTTTTTTAAAAAAAATTATAACTATTCAAAATTATTTACATTCACTAATAGATAGATAGGTTCACTAATACAAGATCTTTAATTTATATGTTGTTGTTGTTAATTTACGTCGCACTAGAGCTGCACAATGGGCTATTGGCGACGGTCTGGGAAACATCCCTGAGGATGATCCGAAGACATGCCATCACAATTTTGATCCTCTGCAGAGGGGATGGCACCCCCGCTTCGGTAGCCCGACGACCTGCGCGCGAAGTCGAGCACTTTACGGTAGCACAGTTTAACGAGGACCAATACCGCACACCCTCGGTCCCTACGCAGACTGATCCAAGTGGTCACCCACCCGCACACTGACCGCAGCCAGTGATGCTTGACTTCGGTGATCTGCTGGGAACCGTGTCTTAACGATCAGTCCACTGCGGGACTTCATCTATTTATTACTTAAACTTGACTCATTATAAACATTCAATTTAAAGAAATAAATGTTGCATATGAGAAGTGGGAGCACAAGCAAATAGAATACTTTATAATACAGTCAGACCTCGATATAAGGTCCCCCTAAGGGACATCGCAAAATTGACCTTATAAGCGGGGTGACCTTTTAACCGATTCATTAGCAGTTCGTAACTAAGCACGTAAATAGTACACATTATGACTTGATAAAAATGGCAATACAAACGAAAACGATCGGCCATAAATTAAATATTTAAGTCAATAAATTTTAAGAGAATTAAAGAAAGTTAGATTAAAAAAAATTTTTTTAGTTTAAAATAAAGCTGTTTACAAATATCCTCAAAGTGTACATACATACATTACATCTTACCTTATTTAAAATAATCATTTATGCAGGTCTGTCTCGTTTTTGGTTTCATTTTTCGAACAAAGTTTTCTAGATTTTGTAACTTCTCAAAATGTTCCTCAGTTACCTCATGGTTTGTGAAAAAGTTTGGTATGACATTTATTGCATTGAAGGCCTCCGCTTCGGTTACAGCTATAGTCTTAGGATCACTGTCAGGGCCGAATTAAGCGTACGCGGAGCCCTAGGCAATTCAAAATTTTGGGATCCTTAGATAAAAAATTTTTTCTCGTATATTTTTTATTTATTCAAATATAAAAGTATTTATAGATCTTTTCATTTAAGAAAGCATATTTAAAATAAAAATAAAAAATTAAATTTTACTTTATTTTATTAAATTAAAACTAAAAAATAATCATAACATTTTGAAAAACCATTGTTTATCTTAATTTTTTAAAATTTATTTTCAAAAAATCCATGGCCCCAGGCCATGGACTAATGGGTTATCCGACCCTGATCACTGTCAACAGCTTGCTCATTGGCTGCCACATTTTTCTAGAACTCGAGAGGGGTAATTGCCTTGTAAGGAAGTTAAATAGGCTTTTGTTAGAAAATAGCTTCCCTCACCTCAGATAAAAATGACCTTATAAGCGATAACGATTTTTAAAACTTGACCATATATCCGACAATCTGTAACAAAGAATTCCTATTCAGTGAGCAGGGACTTTGGAAAAGTGACCTTATATGCGGGATGACCTTATATCGAGGTCTGATTGCACATAAAAGTTCTTTTTATATCTAAGAAACTATTGTTGCAAAGCAACCATCGGAATTGGTGAACGGAAGCAAGCAGGGGGATCAGACGTCGAATTTTGAATAAAATCGTAAAAAAACATGTTTGCAGCAAGCCTGTAGCAGAGTACGTTGCCAAATCTTTCAACAAAAAATAAGCACCATTTAAGTACTTTTTAAGGCCTCAAAAAATATTTTTAAGCACTATATACATTAACGAAATGCGAAATAATTTTCAGAGACTTCACATGATCATGATAAAATAACTAGTTTCTGACAAAGAACTCTTTTTCTTGATTATATTAGCCATTATAAACTGATCAAACGATTTTTCGGTTCGACATCAGAGCATGGAAAATTAAGGCTGAAATTTAGAATATCTTGCAAACTGCAACACAGTTGCACATGAGAGTGCAATAATCTCACCGAACATGTGGACTCAAAAGTATTTCATCAAACATGTAAAATTATTGGCGCTTTCATACGCTATGGACTGATGAGACGCTGAAATGGATTGTGGTTGAATGAATTGTGAAAATGTTTAATAGAGCAATGTGAAAAGCACGCTTTTGCATAATACGTGGCACAAATCGACATGGTAAAGAAAAAAATCCCATTTTTGAAAAGGGAAAATTAAGCACTTCTTAAAAACACCCAATAAAAAAAGCACCTTTTTACGTGGGCTTTTAATCGACGTGGGCTTTTAAAAAACAAAAATTGAAAATTAGCACCATTAAGCACTTTTTAAAAACGCTACGCACCATGTCTTGTAAATTTTTAATGCATTATCCGATCTAATGCAATACAATACATTGATACTGAAGCATTTTTAAAATATGAGCTTGAAAGTAAGTAAAATTACATCAAGAGTAGTTTTTAATAAAAATGACAAAGATAATGTGAGTAAATCAGACAAATAAAAAGTTCATATTTCTTTATTTCACTTGATAAGGACACATAAATATTTTAAACATAAACAAATGATAACAAATTTATTAGTTTTTACAATTTTGAATAAAAAGCACTTTGTTAACATACAGCATCACAATAAGCTTATTAATGGCACAAATTTTTAAGAACAATGATTAGGCACTTATTATAAAAATCACTATAGTTTGAGAAAAGGAAATCAACTTATAAAAATACAAAAAGAAAAGGAAAAGAAAAAAATGTATTAAACCAAATTTTTTTTTTGTCGGATATTGATAAAAATAAATATTTTTGATAATTTATTTAACATAAGTTGATTTCTTTTAGTCAAAATGAATTGCTTAAACTTTTTTGTTGTTGTTTTAACTTTAAAAATGTAAGCATAGTATTATGTTAAAAGCACCATGAGGCGTAATTAAGTAAACATAGCACCGGTAACTAACATCAATTAGACTTCTTTTTAATATTAAAAAAATCATTAAGATAATGATCACAAAATTGAAAGACATGACATAGATATCACAACCAACATGAAACATTGAAAACACACTAAATCAACGTGAAGCTTTAGAAGAAAATTTAAAAACTATAATTTAATTTTTAAAAACTTTGAAGTAACATGAACCTGTCATGAAAACTTATCTCTTCATAATAATAATAAAAAACAATACTACACTATAAAAGAAATAAAAAAAACTGTTTATTTAAAATCTGTTTAATAATTCAAAAGCAATTTAAAGATAATTGCTTCGGAACATGGAAAATATTAATGATTAAACTGTTGATTGTATTCCATGGAATCATAACTAATGCATAGATTGTAGAATAGTTCCCATGGAAATGATAATGCATATATTGATTATTGATGAAATAAGAAAAAATAAGATTTAAACCTTCTTTAAAAAAAAAAAATAGCATGGAAGATTTTGAAAATATTAAGTAAATAATTAGAAGAAACTTGATGGCCTTGAGCCAATCTCAAGCTTTTCTTTTTCTTTTTGAAATCAAGCTCGAGACATTAAAATACTGATTTATAATCTAAACAGATCTACAGAATTCAATGGTAGGAAATTTACAGGTACACTGATAAAACATGATGATGATGATTGAAAATATGATGATGATGATTTAATTTCTATACAGGTGGTGGCCCATCTGGGTATCGTAGCATGGTATTTAGGGAGCTTGCAAAATTATTGGATAGGCGACAACTAATTTCTTCTTCATCCCTAGGTATCAGGAAAGCAGCTCCTAACAGCAAAAGTAAGATTGCTTGCAAAGGAATGGAAGCTCTGGCTACTCTCACAAGATATTGGCAACATTGCCTTATTTTTGTAGGTGGTCTATTCTCCTCGCTAAAAATTAAAATAAAATAATAATAATAAAATAATATTACAATTAACTATTAAAATAAATATAATCAATAGAAAGACAAATAAATAAGTTTTTTGGACACTAGTGGGAACATTTAAATTTTTGCTTTGATGCTTGACAGTTAATTTTCCCCCAACCCTTATTTTTTTTAATGCTGCATTGCAAGGTTGCCACAGAAAAAAATGAACAAAATAGTTGCTTTTAGCAATCTAAAACATGAAAATAGTAGCCAAAAACTAGGAAAATAGGACACACATGGATCAATAAGTTCCGAGACTAACCCAGAGATGGCGCTCGTAGTAAACCAGTAACCAGGTCTTTCTAGAGTACTAACCTTTGCTTGAAACGTGTCAAAATTTTAAGTCGATCGGACCAGAAACAGCTGAGTTATCGAGGTTGGAGTAAAGTCGTTTTGTAGTTTGTTTAAAAAATGGAAAAAACAGAGTTTCGTGTTCTGATAAAACATTGTTTTTTAATGGGTAAAAACACCGTGCAAGCGAAACAATGGATTGACAAATGTTACCCGGACTCTTGTCCATCAAAAGCAACGATTTGTCGGTGGTTTGCCGAGTTTAAACGTGGTCGTACCGACACAAATGACGCGGAACGCTCGGGTAGACCTGTGGAAGCCGTTACACCGGAAAATGTGAGTGAAGTGACAAAAATTATAATGAAAGATCGTAAAGTGAAGCTCCGTGAGATTGCTGAGATGACACAGATATCATATGGAAGTGTATTTACTATCCTTCATGAAAAATTGAGCATGAAAAAGGTTTTTTCCAAGTGGGTGCCGCGATTGCTTTCGATGGAACAAAAACAGCAACGAGTCGATGATTCAGAAAGCTGTTNGAAATCGTAGCTTCAGCTCTAAGAGCGGAGTGAACTAGCCCTTGTATTCTCTTTAGCCCTGACTTATATATGGTATTATATGTAAAAGCAAAACTTACTTTAATGCCCTTAATATACACAGTACTTTTTTAACCCCACTAGCTTTTAAAATTAACCCTTTCTTTTCAAAAAAAATCTAACCTAACAGTTAAATTTAATTGAAAGAAATCCCCATAATAATATGTTATTTTATCTACATTTATATAAAAATAGCTCAAATATAAATTATTTACTGACATAATTTCTAAAGCATAAGAGAACTCTTAATTCATATTTCCTATAATGGATAAAGTTAACTAGGAATTTGTATTATTTACAGATTAATGCTGTAAAATAATTTGTCAATTAAAGGTCGTCTTCTCCTGTTTTATTTTATCCAAGAAAAGTTTAAAATTAGCAAATGATTCAAAAATATGTTGTTTCAGAACCAGAATGTTTTGTCAAAAAGTTATACTTTTGACTTTAAAAAATTACAACCGGGAATTTTTTTGGTATATTTAATAAAACATGAAATTCACATGTTCTAAAAAAAAGAAATTTTTGAATTATTATATTTTAGATTACGTTAACTTTTAAAGTAAAATCAATATTTGAACAAATGGGAACAAATTCTACATTTAAATTTGAACAATACACAAAATTAATCATAAAACTAAAAGTATTATCAGAATATTATTTTTATTTTAGTAATATGCCTAAAAAAATTTCTTAAAATAAATAAAAATATTATACTCTAAAATTTAAGAAAAAAATATGTAGATATATTTATAGAATTATGACACTTACGATGAGTCATTTGCCTGTTCTTCAGGTAATGGAGATATCTAAAAATAGGCAAAAAATTAAAATATGACAATAAGTACATCATGCTTGCACAATAAAGAAAAATAAGTTTAGCAACAATTTGCATGATATATTATTTGTGCATTTTTATGTAGTATAAACTTCATCACTATAATTAGGTAATTTTTTCAGAACTTACTATTCAAACAGACTTTCAGTAAATAAAAAATAACCACAATAATGTAATTCAATATCAAACTAAAAATAACTATAAATTATCAGCATATACTTACTATTATTTATTAAATTTAAATGACTGAATATAATCGCTAATTGAATAAATCAAATTTAACAATAAGATTTGCAATGCTTGAATCAAAGTAAGAAATGAAAACGAATCTGTACAATTTTAAAATGAAAATAAGGCATTTATCATAACTGCATTATCGAAACTGTAATATTCATTATCATGAATATTACAGTTGTAAAGACATTTACAACTGTAATATTCATGATTCCTTAGAAATATACTTTAGAAATTCAATGAAAAATCATTTGAAATTGAGCTTATTGATATCAAGAATTTTTACTTAGATAAACAGTACTTGTTCTAAAAAGTATCAAGTTGACATTGACTTCAACTATTTTTATTTTCATAACTGATAGATATTGTACATAAACTAGTTTTAAGATATATATGACACTTAGAATTTTTTATTTTTCTTACATCATAGACCAGTGGTTACCAACTGGCAGCTCGAGAAGCCTTTTTTTGTGACCCCCCCCCCCCGAGCTAAAATAGATTACCGTTTTCATTTTTTGCGGACAATTTTCGTAAGAAGTCTATATAAGTTAAAATACTTTTTTTTTTGTTAAAAAAACTAATTTCTTAAATTTAACATTTTAATGGTGCAAAAAAATTTATTTCTCAGGTTTTGCATCCAAGAAAATATTTATTCAAGAAAATATCTATTATTATTTGTAATTCAATACTTTTGTTTTGAACAACTTGATAAAAATTTGACAGTAATATTTAATGTTCCTTCAAACATAAAAGAGTCCTACATAAAATTTTGACAAAGTTGCAGCCTGCCATCTGACTGGAGTTTTTAATTGTGGCCCCCGGCCTCATGTAAGTTGGAAACCCCTGTCATAGATACTTACTCTATTAGCTAAAAGAAGTTTAGACAAGATGGACAATCGTTCAGAACATTCAGTTTGCAACTCTTCAGATTCTTTTAAAATGCATGACAATCTAGATTGTATTTCCATATATCTTGTGTCAGACTTTTTCTCTTCATCCATTGTTTCATCATCAAACAGCTGATCTGATACATTTAGTAAGAGTTGCACCTGTTGTGAGCAGTTTTCCAGTTGTTGGTTTAGAGCCTTAAAAAATTTGGACATAATTAGTGATTTGTACAAAGAGCAATGAATTTTCTTCAAAATAATGAGGATTGATTAAAACGAATTAACATTGCCACACAGCAGTTAATTCTCACAGCGGAATAATGAAGTTCTAATGTGCATTTTCCTTATCTTTTTAAGTGAAACTTCTAGATGAAGTTAACCCCTAATGTAGAATTTTTTCGGGCTTTCTGCTACAAAGTTCCCTAGCCTTATTATTTTTCTTTAAGATACATTTAATTATAACAATTACTAATTTAAAGTAACAGAAACGTTGTATTTACAAAAGAAAGTATAGAATAAAAAATTTTAATTGCAAAAGTAATATTTTTTAATTCCAATATTATAGGCGCTTTCTCGCACTTTGAAGGTGGAAAATGCACTAATTATTTCCTTTTTCGAATTTTGTAAATAATTACAAAATGTAAAATTCATTAATAAATTAAACAATAATAAATTTAAATTCGTGCGTAAGTTAAAAAATCGTAAAATCCGTGCAGTAATTCCAAAATAAAGATTGACGACGAAATCAAGCGAATAAATCTCTTTAAAAAGAGATACTCAAATAAGTGTGTGTAAAGCATGATGTTCTTTAAAGAAAAGCAATAAAAGAAAGAACATCATTTCTAGAGGGAACTATCTTTTAAACATTCCCGATTTCTGAATTTTATATTATTAATTTCAAATTCCAGCTGAAGCCAGTCATTACAAACTTTTTTTAAATCCCAAATAAGAATCGAAAATTAAATTTTTTTCTTGATGCGCAAGAAAGACTTCTTTAAAAAAAAATCTTAAAAAAACATTCTTCGAAAAATTATGCAGAAAAGAAAACCAAAAGTTTCCCCTTCCCAACTGAAAAATCTTTCTCCAAAAACTTTGTAACGTTTTGCGACAATGTCGCCGCAATTATGCCACGGGGAAGTTAACGTATATATATCTTATAATGTTTGTGTTATAGAATACGAGAAAAACCATGAAATACTTCAGCAGTTAAGTGTACCAGTAATAAAAGTATGACCATAGATCAAATTGGCATTGAGATTAATTTTTAGTTTATAAAGTCATGACTGCAAACAAATAAAACAAAGATAAATTATTATTGAATTATTTCATGTGTTCACAGAATTTAAGCATTTTATTGTTTCTGTATTTTTAATTTATCTAAATTCATACATTTTACGCTATTCCTAATTCAGTTTTATAGATAACTAATACCACATAATGTAAAATGAATAAGAAATGATGCATGTTACATACATAAAAGACTGCTTCAAACATAAAACTAAAATAAGTTAATGACACAAGAATTCAGTTTATGTAAAACAAAATATAACAGCACGTGCAATCTAATTAAAATCATCTTCAAACACATTACAGAAGATAAATTATGTATGCAGAACTTTAGTAGAACTTAAGTTTTAGAAAATGTAATAAAATTAATCAACAGCAAATAGTATGTTAGACAATATAAACAAATAAAAAAATAATGTAAGTAAAATAACAAATTAAATTTTATATTAAAAGTCCAAAATTATAAAAATAAACTGTTCTGAATTTCAAGTGGAAGTTATAGTACCTCTAGTTAATTTACCAAAATATGAATATCATAATAAAGCAAAAAAATTTCGAAACAGCTCATTGTGGGCCAGGGGGGTCATGGAGGATAAGGCTCCACATTTTCATGACCAACAGCATGATTGTGGCAATGTGGTCAGCACTGCGCACAGGTCGCCTTTACTTCCTAAACAAACTGTACCCATCGATCTGAAGATGGGAGGGCTTCACATCGCCACAGGGGCTCCAACCCAGCCCTTCACAATGACAGCCTCGTGCCTTAACCACTGAGCCATCGTGGCTCATTAATATCATAGTAATTGCTGGAAAAAAAGAGGGTTCAAAAATAATTTCGTAATTCCATCTATACTTACAAAAACTTCAGTGTGTAGATCATAAATGCGCTTATCGCCCTTTTTATACTTAAGTGGAACAGCCAGCAATCTCTCTCTCGATTCTTTCAGCCACAATTCCATTTCAGAAAGTGTTTTTTTCAGATCCTCACTCTTAAGAAACTCACTTTGAAGTTTGTTTTGCCATTCTAAGGCTACAAGACAAAGTTTATCCCAATGATCATTAACAGCCTAGAATGAGAATGACAGTTAGTATATCAAGTTGCTGCTGCATTCTAAACTCACTGTTTAAGAGAATCAATGGCTTATTGCCATCAAATGACACAGGACAGAATCATTTTTAAATGATAGATAAACTTCATAAATAATCAGATTCGCAAGAACTGTAAATCCGAATCAAAACCACATGGTCAGTCGTCAAAATTTATTAAAAACAAGATAGAGTCATTGAGAAGTTTGCATCTGTTTTTTAAGAAATTACTCATTCTCAGGTATCATTTACAGACTAGGTTCGGTATTTTATTAGGTATCAAGGTTCTATTATTTCCTAGTCATGAAGATGGAGTTCGGAATTTGTTAAAATGCGAACTGTCTGGTGAAGGTAAAAGTCCTTTACTTTGTTTAGTTCTTTGTCTTAACTTGAAATAGCAAAGATTTCTTTTTATTTCCATAAGTTTCAACAAATCAATAAAGAAAAGTGACCTCATCAATAAAATTATTGTGTGAGTAAAACTTCTAATTAAAACATAAACTTTATAAATCAACATAAGATAACTTTGATAAATCCCTTTGTAGATTTTAGTCACAATGCCGTGAAAAACTGAGAAAATATTTTCTTATTTCTTATACAAAGTAAATATCTTTTTAGCAGACTCAACCATTTAGTGAAATCAAAACCTTTGGGTATCAATGTGATCACATAAAAAGACAAAAGCTGTTTTTTATTTCAAAACGTTAATATCTTTTTATTTCAAAACGTTTATATTTTCTTATTTCTTATACAAAAGTAAATATCCTTTTAGTAGACTCAGCCATTTAGTGAAATCAAAACCTTTGGGTATCAATGCGATCACATTAAAAGGCAAAAGGTGTTTTTTATTTCAAAACGTTTATATCAAATGCAGAAGTTCATTAAAAAACATAAGCACAGAATAAAATCAATTTTAGTTATTATTCGAGATTAAATAATAATTATTTAACCACCAGAGGACATTATGAAAAGCTGATTCTTTTAATGGGTGGTTTACAGATCATTATAATTTGCTGTTTATGAGTGATAGAGGAAGATTTCATTTTATGAAATAAAACAATTTGAGTTCTAGGAAATAAAACAATCACTATGTTAAATAATATAAAAATAGCAACAGGATACTAATAAAATGGCAACATTAAAAAAAGGTTTTAATAACAAATATGAAAAATGGCACTATCACTAGACTATTCTATCAAGGCTGTGTTTCACTTGGCAATTAATTTGTAACAATAATCTATCAAGTTGCAAAATTTTAGTTTGTTTATCATATAGGTAATCAAATGGCATTTTAATCATGTAATGCAAAAAGTAGTTAATTATTACAAAAAAATTATCCAAATCCAAAATATATAATTAATTTCTCTAAACAATTTGTATCATACATTTAATATAAATAATATATAATAAACATTTGGTATCAGCATACATTATTTTGAGTATATTTAATCAATAGCAATAATTCATACATATTCAAAAATAATTTTAGGTTTATGTACTATATACCTTCAATTTAATCTTTATAGAATCTGAATTATTCTTAGACTTAAAAACTGAGCTCAAATTCTGACCAGCAGCATTCAATGTAAGAATAGATTTTTTATATCCTCCTATTTCTGTTATTAAAGCCTGTAAGGACAAATAAAAATATTAATTAAGAATATTTCTTTTAATGGAATGTAAAAACAATGACAAAACTTAACACTACCTTATGCTTTTGCAATTCAATTATAAACTTTTCTATGTTAACATCAGACATTGTTTGAGATGTTAGAAGTTGTAGAGAATCAAGCAACCATTTTTCAATATTTTTCAACTCCAAACAGAATTGCTGCCATTTTTCAAACCTCTTCATTGCTCTCAATTCCTTGTCTAATGTAGCATTCTCTATTTTTTCCCACCTATTTATCATTCCTATAAAATAAATAAATAACTGAAATTATTGTTTACACATTTTTTATTTAATCAAGTGCCAAAGTCATTGCTACACTTCGCAGGGTTCTGATGAAACGTTTTTGTCGGGCCCTTTAAATATTCCCTTTCTACAGAGCCCTAAAAAAAGCATGTAACTTAGAAGCTTAAATTATTATGATAGCTAGTATAATTTTTTTTCTTCAGAATTTAACTCCTGAAAACAAATAACACATGATTTCTTGATCATTATTTTAATTTTCAATGTTTTTGATTATTATACCTTTAAAAGCCTTGCTCAAATATAAATTAAAAAATTTTAAATATATTTTATTTTCTAGTTCTATGATTTTAATTTCTATGAATTTTTATTTTTACTTGGAGAACTCTCTTCAAAAACCATGCCTAGAAAATTGTCAATGCAAAAAATAAAAAAATAATTTAAAAAAAAAATCAAAAATTAGTTTTTTTCTTTTTAATATAATGTTTAGTGGGCCTCCTTTATGACTTTAAAATATAGGGCCCAATGCAAATGATCAAATTGCAAAACCCCCATAATTGCTCTGTCAAATAAAACTGAATAATTATAATTTTTTAAAAATAATTTTTCCTAACTGCTTCCAAAACTGCTTTTGACTCAAATATATTTGTAATAATTGCAGAAATATAACTCAAATTTTTAGTATATTTTAGATAAATGAGACAAAATACTTTTTTTTCAGCAATAAAGAACTTAAAAATAAGTTATATATAATAAGGTAAAAAAAGCATAAAATTACCTTCTGTTCGAATTTTGATACATTCAGAGCTGCCATGGGAGGGATTTTCAGACAAAATATTATTTAAATGTTGTATGACGTCGATACTAGATCTGCAAGCAGCTAAGAGACGAGACTAAAAAAAATAAATTATAAAACAGTTATAGAAATAATTTATTTGGCACTTAAGTTAAATATTTTTAAGCTTGAAATTAAATAACTTAATTACATAGTTTGGTCCATTATTTTCATCAATTTCAGTAGGTGTTGGTTCTGAAAGCACAACTTCCAATGAGTCTATTCGCTCTTCGGCTTCATCTAATGCTGCCAACAAATCCCTTATATATTCTTTTTGTCCAGAATCATCAACTTCATCGCTTACTTCTAAAGAGTAAAAGAATGAATAGTACTCAGAAGTTTGAAATTTTAGTTTTGTCTTTGTAATTAAACAAGAATAAGATATAAAATATTTTTTTTAATGTATAAATTAAGATATCTGACATCAATATTAATTATAAAAGAGATTATAATTCTTGCACATAATAGAATGGTTTGCAATGCATAAGAGATTGTTAGAAAACAGAATAGTTTACATTATATAGATGAAAATTGCAATATTATGCTACCACGGGATTTGGATGAAAAAACTGAACATAAAAACAAATTATTGCAAAGATGCAGCTATAATAATACTGCAAGTGTGGCCTGGGGAGGTTAAAAATAGAATTGTTTGTTAAAAATATAATAGTTTACATTACATAGATGAAAATTGCATTATTATGCTACCAAGGGATTTGGTTAAAAAAACTGAACATAAATATAAATTATTGCAAAGATGCAGCTATAATAATACTGCACCTAGTAAATGCACGAAAGTAGTAAAAATACTCTAATTATTAAAAACAATGATGCATTTTTACACCTATTAATAGTACTGACCCCAATAAGGTTAACTACATTCAAAGGAAATAATTGGAAACAAAAACACTAAAAAATAAACATTTAAAGTTTCTTTTCAGTAGAATGACATATACATTTTTTAAAAAAATTTATGGCCAATCAATGTATTTTATCATTTCATAAAATTAGTACAATTAGGTAAAAATTTTAAAGTAATTTTAAAACTACTGAATATGATGAGTTTTACCTGAAATGGCTGATGCATTTGCAGATGTAGTTACAACCACTTTTTGTAATGAAACTTCTTCGATATCTTCATCTATTTCAGAAGCAGCTTCACTTTCAGCTGGGGCATATTCCTAAAATTCACCAAGCTATAAAATACGCTAAACGTAGACGGTACTAATATGCTAAATACTATTTCACTATAACTGCAAACAAGTATTAATACTTTTCAAATACATTTAAGCTATGATCAAAAATGTTTATTTTAATAGCAGGTGTTTTAGAACGTTATTTTAAAACATTTTTTGAAATACATTTATTACACATTTGATCACTTTTTGTCACATATTAAAAGTAATGGAAAGTTGAGGGGATATTTAAGAACTTCAAAAAAAGTATCTTTTTTTCCTGACTAACATACTTAGTTATTTAATTGTGAATTTTAGACACTAAATTTTAATTGACAAACACTATTTATACTGAATTACAATTAGCCTAAATAATTTAAGCTTAATGCTACACATAGAAAATAAAGATTCAGAATAGATTGTAAGTATTAAATTATGATTCTGTTATTTGACTAAAGGCATTCACAAAGTCCTTCAATGGTAACATCCAGCACATTAAAATAAAATACAGTTTGTAAAGATTTAATTTCAATAATTCTAGTACCACTACAAATACTACATAGGTAAAATAGCAGATATTTTGGGCTTACAAATTTCGTGACATAATGGCAGCAAGTTTTTTTTAATAAATGTGTTACTACTTTTTATGACTTAATCTAATAAAAGATTTATTTTCTTAATTTATTGTTTAAAAAAATGCAATAAAAAATAAAATTTCTATTTGTTTTAGTATAAATATTTATAATAATAAGTAATTGAAATATATTTCATTCATTACTTCTAAGCACTTAGTACTATTTTTCAGGGCTTCATCATCTAATGATAGGAATGATTCGATAATTTTGATCTCAGTCAGATAACAAGGACAGTACCATAACTAGTAACTCCCCCTCTTAACATTATTGATAACGTGCTATTCACGCTGCAAATAAGATGCATCCAAGATGGACCTTAATACATTCTATTGCATAATTTACACTCAAATTAAAATAAAATATTAGCTTTTCTCCAAAAATGTACCTAAAGTTTAAGCCTTTTATTGATCAACTTTTTTGAAATAAAAATATTATGCATTATATTTAGTGTCTGAGCTTTTCAAAATAAAAATAAAAAAAGATAAAGGTGGAATAACAAAAGCCTTTAAAAATAAACTTTATTACTCATTAATAATTAATTTTGAGACACAATACAATGATTAGATATTTAATACATGATATAATTTTAAAATGGACTACAAATTTTTTAAAGTTTGAAAATATTTGTTTCAAACAAATTTTCTAGAAACAAAATATCATGAAGAATATTTATATATTTAATGCAAATGAAATGGACATCCTTTAATATTATAATTACTTTTAATTCAAATAACTTAAAACATTCTTACTGATTTTATATTATTACTTAAACAGTCTAAAATAAAAGTAATGGTAAAGTTGGAATAGAAAACAACCTTTAAAAATGAACTTCTTTACTCATTAATAATTAATTTTCAGGACCAATACGATGATAAAATACTGATGATAGATTAAACAAGATATAATTTTAAGTCACGCTACAAATGTTTCGAAAATATACATTGTTTCAAATAGATTTTTCAGAAACAAAATATCATGCAGAATATTTACATATTTAATGTAACTGAAATAAACTCCCTTTAATATTTATTAGTCTTAGTTCAAATAATTTAAGACATTCTTACCGATTTTATATTGTCTTTGAATTTTGTAAGACGTTTAAGAATCTCATCCCAATAGGTTTGTATATTTTCAACATCAGTTGAAATAACATTCTCAGAGCACTGACTAATCACTTTTAGATTGCTTGCTAAGCTGATAAACTTCAACAATTCCTCTTCATGTTGATACAGCTCATTCTGCAATATTAAATTGTTTTAATGGTAAATGGTAACAAGCATTATTAAAATGCGACAAAGTTTATCAAAGAAAATTTACCATCATTGAAGTAAATTCGTCTTGAGAAAAAGAATTAGATTGTTCCAAGGTAGTTAGTTTCACATCAATCTCTGTCAATAATACCAGTAAATGTTCTTTAAGTTTGTCATAAGTATCCCACATTTGAAGAACTTGTTTGATGCTTTCTAAAATATTTGAAACATTCTCATAAAATTTGTGCCACCTGCTGTTAACTGCAACTACTCTGTCCTTTAATGTGTCGTCTATATCAAGATCCTTTCTAGAAATTGTGTGAAATGCAGCATTTACATTGTGTAAAAGATACACATTGTCTTGAATGTCATGGTTCAGGTTCTAAAAAATAAAATAAAAACCTTACAAAATTGTTAACAATACTTTTAAGACTTCATCAACTAAATAACAACAAATTAGTAAATTGGTTAGTTTTAATTTCTTCTTAATAGAGGAAATGCAGAAAAAACACCTGAATATGCAAGCTACATTGTACTAAAAACCTAATTTTTGTATAAAAATATTTTGAGAACATCCCACAATTTAACATAAATTTTGAAATTTTATTTCATGTAAAACTTAATGGTTGGTTTAAAAAACAATGACTTAAATTTTGCAAGGATAAGTGCCCTTAATGATATTGATTCAATAGCATTAAAAAAAGAAACACAATCAATAATTTCAATTATTATAAAAATTTATTCTTTTGTTAAATACATAGTGGTTTTGTAAGTATTTCTAGTGATATAAGTTAACACATAAGTAGAAGTAAACTGTGATAATTTTTCTAACTTTTACAGAATAAAATAATAAAAGAGCATAAAATGAGAATTCTCATATTAGTTCGCCTGATCACTGGATGGACATGTTAAGTCATAATTTTAAAAACATTCAAATTTATGGGATCATATTATGGTCAGCATTTCAGAATGGAAAGCTTTTAAATGTGCAATTTTTGAGGTGAAAAAAACTGTAAAAAGCTTTTTGATGTTTCTATACATTTTAAAGTTTGTAAATTGGCTTTCTCCCTAATTATTTGATGGGAATTTGAAGAACAGAGATAGAATTTCCATAAAAAACTTGCTCAGATTTTTAACGCATGAACTGTTAATGAAGTTCGAGATTCAAAAAAATTCGAAATACTTATAAAAATAAATTTAACAAAAAAAGTATCTGCTTTATGTTATATTTATTCTACACTTAAATTCAAATAATTTTAATTTATTCTTTTTAATTGGCTTGCAACATAAAAGAAAACTATCAAGAAAATATAAGAAACATATAGGAAACAAATCCATTATACACATGTAAAAACAATATACAATTTTACATCTAAATTTAAATTATACCACACAGTTACCAAGAAATTTACCATACATTAGACATATTTTTTTAAAGTTAGAGGTTGTCACAATTACAAAATTAGAATGAAATATTAGAAGAAAAATTTAATCACAAAATCTTACTTCAAAGGTTTTAATTCCCTTTAAATAAATGGTTCTTTTGTGGTTTTGTTCATCAAAGTTTGTTTCAGATGCAATAGCTTCTTTATCTGATAGCCATTCTTCAAGTCTTTTAAGTAGGTTTAAGATATTACTCAAGGCTGTTAATACATGCTTTAAACTGTTGAAGGAAAGAAAAAAGTAACATCAGTAAAGCTACAAATATTAAAAAAGTGATCAGCAATAATTTACTCATGATATTTATGGGATTAAGCAGGGTCATCTTTTAAAATAAACACCAAGTTTAATGTCTAACAAACTAAGTGATATACTAAACACACTGATTATATACATAATTAACATAATTTCATTTAGATAAACCATGCAGTATCTTACAAGACAGCTATAACAGCAAAATCTAACCAGTGTAGTTTAGAGAAAAAGTTAATGTCATAAAGATATGGCTGAGAGCATAAATGATAAGAATCACAAATTTACAAACAGATATCAAAACTGTGCATTACACTACAGGTTGTTTATATGTGGTAATGAGATTTGAATCAGAAAATTACAAGCAACTACAGGATGACCTTGAGGTTCACCTGCCAAGCAACTCCTTGCAAGTTATAAATTTTCCATTCTTGAGAAAGAAGTCAAAGTGCTAATCAAAGGTTAAGGACATCAGTACTTAATATTCATAAATATTAAATGGAAAATGTTTTTAAAATGAAGAATAAAAAGATTTATGTTTCATCATTCTTTATTTTTTTAAAATCAAACTAACATTTATCAACTTTATATTGCAACTAATTTTTGAATGTATAATAAAATAAGAATAAATATAGTTATAACATGCTAAGATGAAGTAAATTATCAAAAATTCACAACAAAAAAACAATATTATGGTAATAGGAAGTTAGAAAACATAAACCAATTTCAACATCAAGCATTTTTTTAAAAATATTTTTTCTAATTAATTGTTATTTTTCAGTTTTGTTTATGTTAATATAGAAATATAATTGCTATAATAAAATTACTTTCTCCTTGACAAAGAATAAATAAAGTAGAATTTAGTTACAAGTTTTACACATTATTTTTTATAAATCTAATTCTTTTTTAAAAAGACACTCCAAATCAATTTTCAAGCAAAGAGTTTAACGAAAAAATACATTAAGACATACACATACAAATATATTTGAAAATATACAAATTTCCAGAATTCAACATTTTATTCTATCAAGTCTTTAAATAAGGCAGTTTTAACAGAAAAAAATTACTTTGTAAGCAATTTCATAATAATTCTGCTCTAAATTTTATTATTATTATTTTAACATTCACTAAACATGTTCTTCTACAATGTTACTCAATTATTTTGTTCGAAAAATTAATAATTATTAAAGGAAACTTCAGTTTCATTTTAAAAAGTACTCATGCAACAGCTAATTGTTGGCCAAGGAGGTCATGGATGATAAGACTACAGAATTTCAAGGTCAATAGCATGATAGAAGCAATGTTTGTACACTTTCCACTTATAATTCCCAGGCAAATTGGTACCCATGGAACTTAACAGAGCATCACAATATCACTGACCCTTCCCGATGATAATTTAGTGCACCTCAATGAGAATAGAAATTGGAAAATAGTGAAATACTTTTATCTTTTACGAGGCTTCATTATTTGGTGTTTTTATACCTGTTGATGAGATTAATATGAGAATACATACAAAAATAAGCAGTACTTTTTCTACTTTGAAGTGAAATTAATGCTGATTTTCGTTAACTAATTTTTATAAATAATTCAAATTGAAATACTATACTTATGTTTAGATGAAAGATTTATGTTCATTACATCATTATTAATTACACTAGAAAATTTAAAGCTTCGTATTCTTGAACATATAAATATGCATTTATATATATAAATATATATATATGTAGTGTATCTAACACTACAAAATTACAATTACAATTCACTAGTGTATAAGACATGTTAACTCGCTTCTATGTTGGGTTCCTTTTCATAGATGAAGGTTGACATTGTTGATATCTACTACCTCCACATTGGTGACCTCGAGACGTGATGTGAACATGCCTACTTCGATGGATTGCTCACATTAAAACAGTTGACTTGCTACTAGTGACTGCAACATTATCCCCCTCCTCACACTGTTGCTACTTAGTCTTGTATTTATCACACACAACGTTAGCTTGCATACACTCGATTGCTAATGGTAACACAGGGAGCAACCACGACCGTGAACTTAATACAGCTCTCACGATCAGCACTTAAAAGTACGGCGATATTAACACAGCTCTCCTGGCTTCTTACAAAAAACAGCAATGAATCAACTAGTGGTATCAGTTGATTGAATTCCATCACGGATATAATTCTATTGGGGGAGTACTGTAGCATATCTACCACTACAAAATTACAATTCACTAGTGTATAAGGCATGTTAACTCGATTCTATGGTGGGGTACCTTTTCATAGNCTATAAAACTATATGAAGATTCCAGTTTCTTTTACTTTACTAATATTAAAAACTTAATCACATAAATCATGCAACTCTATTTGACAAATTTATGCTGCACAATAAATTATATAAAAGTAAATGCAAAACAATAAGTTTTAGTAAAGAAAAAAAAATTTTGAAAAAACCCACTTATCGTTCCAAGTGGGTTTTTTCAAGGTGGGCCCACCCAATAAAACCCGGGCGGGTTTTTTCAAAGTGGGCCCACTTGGCAAACCCTGATTTTAACATTCACTAAACATGTTCTTCTACAATGTTGCCCGTTTATTTTGCTAGAAAAATTAATAATTATTAAAGGAAACTTCAGTATCATTTTAAAAAGCACTCATGCAACAGCTAATTGTTGGCCAAGGGGATCATGGATAAGGTAATAGAATTTCAAGGTCAATAGCATGATAGAAGCAATGCTTGTATACTTTCTACCCATAATTCCCGGGCAAACTGGTACCCATGGAACTTAGCAGAGCATCAAGGATCGATGGATTGCTCACATTAAAACAGTTGACTTGCTACGTGTGACTGCAACATTATCCACCTCCTCGCACTGTTGCTACTCAGTCTCGTATCGATCCCACACAACGTTAGCTTGCATACACTCGATTGCTAATGGTAACACAGGGAGTAACCATGACCGTAAACTTAATACAGCTCTCAAAAGTACGACGATATTAACACAGCTCTCCTGGCTTCTCACAAAAAACAGCAATGAATCAGCCAGTGGTATCAGTTCATCGAATTCCATCACGGATATAATTCTGGTGGGGGAGTACTATAGCGTATCTACCACTGCAAAATTACAATTCACTAGTTTATAAGGCATGTTAACTCGATTCTATGGTGAGGTACCTTTTCATAGATGAAAGTTGACATTGATGATAACTGCTATCCCCCCCATATATATATATTGCAATTGAATTGAATGAGTTTAATGACCCAAGAGGCAAAGTTTGGCAAACAAACAACAATATAAACTTACTTGATAATGTAAAAACTTCATTCATTTGCTTCAAAAACTAAAGACTTCTCTCTCCTTTCTAATTTGCGAAGAATGTAGATTTTACATTGTCGTGTATAAATATTTCTGCCTCAGTTTCTTGGTATTATTCATTTAATATTACAGATTCTTGACTTGCTTATCAAACAATATTATTAACTAAGGTTGAGGACTCCATAATGTGGTGCTTTTTACCCCGAAAATTTGGCTAGAGACTATTGCGTAGTATGCACTTGCCTGGCATTCTCTACATTGACGTTTTTTCTAATCTATATCTATCAATAAGTATTTATATCAAATGAATATTACAATATCAAATTTTGAAAAAGATTTTAGATTTTTACCATATTGACTATGTGAAAGTTGAAAGTCACCACATTTATGATTTTCATAATCACATTAATACAAAATGTAGGTGTGATAAGTAATATTCAATATCTGCATGTTATAAAGTAAGTTACTAATGATTTTCGATTAAATTTACTGACTGGATTAATACATAAATTTTGATTTTTGAAAAAAATATACAATTTTGAGCAAATAAATACTTTTTAATACGCAAACATAGTAATCATTATTTACACTAAATGAACTTACTATTTATATCTTTCTAATGACCAGGTCTTAAGTAGTTCATATCTTTGTTGGATATTTTGTGATGATTGGAGATACATGCTTTTTTCGAGGCTACAACTGAATGCATCAGGTTGATCAATAAGAACACCCAAATCATTACTCAAGAAGCTGATTTTATCAGAAAGTTCATTCATATGAAGGAGTAGTTCCTAAAACAACATAGAATAATTGTTAAAATAATTAATACAGAAAAAATTAATTAATACACATTATGTAGACATGAAGAGCTTTATGATCACTTTATTTTGCATATGGCGTTTATTTATGAAAAACAATAATTATACCACAACATACACATCATTGATATTCATAAATTTTTATGATTCCCTTGCTTGAAGCTCATGATATTGGTTCAGAATCTGACTTTCTGAATCTGAAAGGCAGACTATGTTTTTCTTTTTTCTCATTTAAATTTATAAATTTCAACATGTTTTTTAAGAATAAAAATGTTATTTTTGATATTTTATTTATTAAAAAAACTAGAAGTATGATTTGTTCAAAAATAGTACAGCATATTCAAAGCTTATTGTTTTTGATTTAGAATACCGAAGTTATTTGCAGTCCATAGACTCATACTTAGGTATGAATAAAAAACTATGCTTCTAAAACAAACTGCAGTAAAAAGACATACAGATCACAAAGTAAATGAATTTTAATAAAGCTCAGCTAATATCAATTTTAAAAATAAGTATGGAAATAAAGTTTAGGGTTAATATCTATTAAAAAATTATAAAACAGATTCAGCATTGAGAGAAAATTTACTTTATTCAGACGAAATAAGCTCTCACATTTGATTTCGTAATATAAAATTATAGTTTGCACTAATTATTTAGCAAATAAGTGCTCTCTGAAACATTGAGACTGAGTTTTCGTCAATGAAAATTCAATCAAAATTAAAATTTCTACAAGATACTTTAAAAAGATCCTTCGATTTTTTTTGACAACTGATTACAAAATGAACAGGAATTAAGTCATTCGTAACAGTGTTTCTTAAAATCATTTTACATCCACAGCATTTTGATGTTAAAATTGAAAAACAAATTTACAAATTTTTCTTACTAGACAACATCTTAATGCTTATCTTGATGATTTTCCAATTGAAAATTAGAGCAATTTCTCACAGCTTTATGACAAAGCGAAGCATTAAAAAATTAAAACTGGCATGAAACACATAAATGCTTATAAAACTTCGTAAAACACTAGCTACATATTTTTTGAGAATTGAGCTTCCTCCACTTTGACAATTCTTCCAATTCTACAGACTTCTTTTTTTTTACCGATCAAAATTTTATAACCAAGATTTTTTTCTGTATTAACACTGGCTGCTTGATTAAGATTGGTTTATCGTTCCTAAAAGGTGTAGCGTTATTTATCAGTAAGTGGTGTTTAACAAAGTTTTTATAAATATGGGCAGAGAGTCGAATTTATGTAACCCTAAAATAAAGAATTTGAGCATCAACTAAATTAAAGTTTGTCATTCAGTGATCCTTTCTAAATGTTTATACAATTCCATTTCCCACGATAAACAAACTATATATCATATAATTGCTGTTTTTTTAAAAAAAATACTGTATCATAGTTTGAACAAGAAATATGCCCTTTATTAAAGTATATATGTCCATATTATCAGTCAATATGACAGGTTCATATTCAATTAATTGAATCTACACATATGCTCTTATTTCAGTCAAATAAGTCTACAAATATGTAATTATTTTCAGCCATTCAGTGATCTTTTATTAATAATGAAATATTATTCACACGATACAATTATTTATATGATACACAGTTATTCTCTTGATAAACAAACTACATGTTATCCATATTCTCTATAGTTTTTTTCTTTAACACTTCATTTGCATTTAATTTTATGTTGATTTGTTATTGATGTTAAACTTAAATTTTGGACATAAATCCACATATTCAGTTTAGATTATCCGATTTTCAGACTAAAAAGTTCCTTGTACAGTAAGCACAAACATAATAACTTTATAAAAATAATAACTTTTAATCTAATGATCGGATCTTCATCACTCATCTGAATAGTTCAAGGGAGTGTCCTCAAATATGCTAATTAATTATTAATATTAGTGCACTACAATATTTTAAGTTATGAAATACGACACAAAAATGTACTTTCTCAAAATAAACATGTTTTTTTGCTTTTGGATGGGGATTTTCAGCCCTCAAAATAATGGAGGTTGCAGCAATCTGGGAAATATGGTACCAATAGTTAGGTCAGGAAAGCAGTTCAAAGCTTGGACTCCTTAATGGTAAATTCACTTTTTGCAGATTTTACCGCATATCAAGAATTTTTTTTGCATATAATTCAAAATTTGTTAATCCGAAGATAATTCCCAGCAAAAAATTTTTTTAATAATTAATTATTATTATTTTATTTAATTATAGAAGAAAAAATTTTGAATTGTAAAAAAATGATTTTTTTTTTAAATGTAAAGAATGTAATTTTATAAGGTTAAATATAAAATTAGAGCAAAACCAGTTAAATTATTCCTGAGTCAACAAATTTAAAACATAAGACTTCTTTAAAATGCAATTTCCTGGAAACTACTTGACCGATATCATTCAAATTTTGTATTTCGCCTTAAAAAATTATATTCTTTAAAATAATATACCTTACCATTCAAAATTTTTGATTATTACAGAATAAAATAATAAAAATAACAAATAACTATTAAAAATTATTTTTTTGTGAATTTTATATTTGTGTGCAAGATTTTTTGATTCACTTAAAAAATTCTCAAGATAAGACGATCCTGGAACTATTAAAATTGAGTTCGAGTGAGAAAATCAAAGAATTAGATCCAAAGGTTTTTCAGGGTAATTCATTTTTTGTGTGCATTGTACATTGAAAAGCAAATAGAATATTTAAAAATGATTACCTCGGTTGTTGATATTTTGCTATTGATTTCTTTTTCAGAGACTTCATTCAATTTTAAAGGTACATTTAAAAAATTTTCTGTTTGTATTAGAAGCTGTCTAAGTTCTGCATGCTTCATACTTATATCTCTTTTCTTTTCACTTAGATTATAAAGGTTCAGCATCCTACAAATCATAAATAAGTAAAAAATAATAAGATAAGTAATGAATTAATTGATAAAATCTTTGCTTGAACAAACATTATCATTAAATATTTACCTATTTCTAAAAGTTTCATTAACATTTATCCACTTTCTGTCAAGAATTTCAAGTTTTGCCTCATCATCATTTTGTTGTTCATCATTGCAATACATTATTGATTGTAGTCCTAAAGATTTGGCTAAATCATAAAGTTCTGCTTTGTCCTGAATGTCTTTGTATATTACCTACAATATTTACATATTTATCTCTTTATTCAATACAGACATTAAATATAACATACAAATATTATTTCTTAAAAATGTTACAGAACTATTTTGTCTTTGTTTTACAATACAGCTCGAGAATCAAACTGTAAAAGTAATAGAAATACACAAAAAGCCAATTCACAAAATACATGTAGTTAGACTAGTCACATATTTTTTCAAATAGAACATTCTGCTCACTGTGTTCATCAACTCAGGAACTATTTTGATGACACCTTTCAGATTGCTTTACTCGGTTGGTAGATACTTATGTATTTTAGTCTAGCTTTCTATGCATAGGCTGGTATTTTTTATTTTTTTTTAACTTTCTGTGTTTAACAAATTTGAGAGCTGATATTGACTGTATTACTCAGAAAAAATTTCCTGCTTGATTATTAAACTTAGTTGATTTTAAAATTTATAATATTTTCAAAAAAAAAAAAAAATTTCTAATTAAATCAGGACTTGTAATAAACAAGTTATATCTAGGTAATTAAAAAAATAAAAATATGTTTCAACTTTCATTAATATTAAGCAGACTTTTATATTTTTAATTGGACAAGATCATTGTAGGTCTTAAAAACTAAACTAAACTCAGTGGTGCGACAGCCCATAGAGGGCCAAGGCCTACTGTGCCCATCTCAGTTTTCTTGACCTTGGGCTCTAGGGTGCAGGAGCAGATGTTCTGGTCAGGTGGTCAGCCGAACACGGAACCCCCAGTGTTTAGTTCCCAAGCATGCTTGGTACTCATTTATCGACCCACTGAAGGGATGAAAGGCTGAGTCGACCTTGTCCGGCCCGAGGATCGAACCAGGGACCTGTGACACGACAGCACGAAGCGCTACCGCTCAGCCACTGAGCGTCATTGTAGGTCTTAATTTATAATAAATATAAATAATAATTAAAATTTTAAATACAGATATTTTACTCTACTTAATTTTCAAACAATTTAGCAACTTAGTACAAACTGTATTTTTTTTAAAATTTAAAATTAAATATTTACAATTTATTAAAAGACCAGCTTTTTATTTTTTAAAGAATTAGAAAATTCTAAGTAAAAACTATTGCAAATAAAATATAAATACTGTTGAACATCATTATTGCAAAATCACTTAGCGTGAAATATCACTTTACATGAAGGACATGTTTGGTCCCATGAATCGGCAATCAATTATTATTGGTACACTACATGTTTAACATTAAATTTTCAGGCTGGTTATCACTTAACATGAAAGAAAACTGAAAACATCACAAAGAAGAAGCATGAGAATAAAATGCCAATCATTCTTTTTGAGGAATGCTATTTCTATTATCCATCTTCGTTAGAAATAGCAAATGATCAAATAAATTAGTTAAAGCTTAATTTACTTTGTTTGGTACATAATAGTATTGTTTTGTTACATAAATGTAGTACATTTGGTACATAAATGTAGTAATTAATTGTTTTCCAATGTATCGGATAATATGAAATCTGGTTAACATAAAAAATTATGATAGTCCCACCAGTTTCGCGTTAACAAGGTTCAGCTATATTAAAATCAAGAATTCATTTCTAAATTACATATAATCATACTTACACTATTTAATTCTTCTTGAATATCTTCTAAAGTACCAAAATATTTACTATTGATTTTTTCCTCAGTTTGAGAGCACCATTCTATTAAAAACATGAAAGCGTCATTAAAGGTTTTGGATTTATTGATGTCAGCACTTGTGAGAAATCTGTTTAAGTAATGAATAATTGTTTGATATGTTTCAATTTGCATGGATACATCTTCACCATATACAGGGCAAGAAACTGTGCAATCTGTTTCAATAATGCTCTTATGGACATCACTCAAAAGTATGGAACCTGATTCACTTTTGTCACATTCAACCTACAGACAAAACAAATAATGATTTTTAATGGTATAGAATAAAACTTTCTTAATAAATACAATATTTTATTTAATGTGTAGTAATAGCCTTACTGATAATCATTAATAGGCTATTAATATACATTAAATAAAGTTATTAATAGATTATTAAGAATTAATAAAGATCATAAGAAATAAACACAGGGGGATCAACAATCAGTAAACAATAAATTGAACTTTTAGCTTTTATACTAGAAACCAGTTAATCCAAAATTACGAAAAATGCAAACAGACATTACTCCTGAGAAATTTATAAATGAAAATAATCTTTGTAAAAATATTCACAAAATACTAACAAATAATAATAATAATAATAAAAGGTAAACAATACAAAATGAGGATAAAATTTGGATTTTAGTAAAAGTGAGAACCATGAGAAATCTAATGATAAAATTAATTCATATTATTTTTTTGAGCACTATAATTGTTCAAGTGTCATATAAAGGGTGATAGAGTTGAAAAAGAAAATATTAGATTTGTGCATTGTATTATTGATAATATAAAAAAAATTTATTGTTCAAATGTGAATATTTCATTCCTGAAATTGTAGAATGCAAGAAAGCAGAATTGAAACTATGACTCATACCTATGTTTTCAAACTGTTTGTGATGTGATTAAGACTGGCAATGAAGCATTGGGAGATGATCAGTTAATAATAGAATTATTTCACACTTTTAAAACAATATAGCTTCGGAAATAAAAGTGTTCAAATGAAAACCCGTATCAAAAAAATCTTGATATATGGCCTTGAAACACAACTGCAAGACACAGCTTTACATTTGATTATGTCAAAAATAATTGTGCAAAACATTAATTGCAATTGCAATTTTGGATTATCGGAAGCTTTTGTAATCTTAATATGAACATGCAAAAGTCTAAATTAGTTTGGATTAAAGAGGTTCTACTGTATCTTTATGAACAAATATTTACATTATTAATTATAAATAACATAATAAAAAAAATCGATGTTTTTACTTATTAAACAAATCTCTGAAGAAATATATAAATAATGTTGGATATTATTTAAAAACAATATTATAAGTAGTACTTAATATTTTTTTTAAAACTTAAAATGGTTACAATTACTTGATAATTATTGTCAACTAAGCAACGAATAAATAAAACCATAGCTGTTTTGATTTAAACACAGCATCTTTATGAATTTGAAAAGAAAAAGACCCAATTCATTAACTAGATATCACCATTTAGAATAAATTATTTAGATCAAGTAACATAAAAAGAAATCTATTATTTTAAACTTCGTTTTGCAGACCAAATTTTACTTTATTATTTATAACTACATATTTATTATAGATAAACTACATATTTATCATCTTTCAAAATTAATTTGCATTAAGTACTTAAATTTAGCAAATCAATTATTCAAAACTAAGCCTGTGACAACACTCTAAAATACACCACTAGGGTACTTCGGGATCTTAAATTCATGATTAAAATCAATTCCTATCAAGGTGATTCTTTATTTAAGATTAACTCTCATCTTGACTAATTTATACTTATAATTTTACATAAATACTTTTTAGGTATCCTGTTTGCACAGGGTAAATTTAAATCAAGATCAAGTTATAAATAAATCACTATTATAAAGACAGCATTTGTTGTTCATCTAGTTTCTTTTTTATTTTACTTACATTTTCAGAATTAAAGATATTATTTATAGTTGCTTTTTACTTTTTCTATGAATCTGACATAATAAGCACTGCAGTTTTAACAACTTCAAACAAAAAACTTCTTTATATTTAAACAAGAATTGCTTAGTTTTTTAAAAAATATTTTAATATTCAAATATATTTAACATTAACTAAAACAAGCAGATACAGTAAGTTTTAAAATTTATGAAGCAAAATTAATCATTAACAAGCACAACTTGTCTCTGCTCTACAATTTTTTCAAGTTTTTGCTTAGTAGTAAAAATAATAATTGTGATAATTAAATTGGAAAAAAAGGGCTTTTTATTTTACTAATCTGTATTTGCTAACAATTCTATCTTGAAATGCATGTCTATCTTGGAATATATAATATTTCTTCGAAAAAGGGTGTATATTTATTATAGTGAGTTAAACATCCAGTGAATATTTTCTTTTTTACTGTTGCATTCAAAGATGGGCTAAGAACAACAAAAACTTACACCTTACTTTTACATAGAATAAACAGTAATAAATATCAAAATAAATCATACCCTATGCTGATTTAAATAAATTTCTAATTCCTGGTGAGAACTTGGAATATTCTTTTCCAAAAACAGGACAGTTGAGTCGAGTTGTTCTTTCCCAGTTTTCAATGATTTTTCAATTTCTTCACAGACCATTTGAGCATTCTTTAGTCGTGAAAATTCTTCTTGAAGCAAGATCTCTTGTTCTTTTAAATGTTTTTTAACCTCCAAGATGCTTTCATTAATATGTGTCTTTGATAAAGAATTTAATACTTCTGTGAGTTCCTCAGCAGCCGTTTCAGTATCAGAAATAGATGTTACAGTACTTTGAACTATTTTCATACAATTCTAAATATAAAAAAAAACTACATTAGATATTTTTAATTAATTAATAGATATTTTATAAATTACCTTTGATAGTTTATACTATTTTATGTTTAAAAAATTAATAGCTATTTTAAATATAAATTTCGTAGAAACCTTACCAAAATATATCTAACTGTAGCTGTGAATTTTTCAAACGAGAAACTAAACTAAATTATGTAAAAACTAAAAAAAATTTTACATACATTTTAGAGGCGTAGGAAACTGCATTTTAATTTAAAAAGTTTCTCGCAGAGAAAATTAAGACTTTAGTCGTCAGGTAAGAAAAAAAGTACATAATGGAAAAATATAGTTATGAATCTGCTTATCAGTGATAGCATCAAAAGGTTGAAAACACTAAAAAAATTTAATTTCATGAAGAAATAATTTTATCTCCATAAATTTAAACAAAGATGCATGGCAAATAAAATATGATAAAAAAATTCATAAAATAATGACAAACTATTAACTTATAAATCATCGTACCAAATTATTTAAAAAAAACCTAATAAACTTAATTATTAGTCTTTTTCTTTATAAAATATCAGTAATTATTAGTACATTTTATTTATAAATAATTTTTATTCAGTTTTACCGTCGGCATGCACATTTGAGCTTTTATTTATATAATAATTACAATATATATGAAATACTATTACAGTAGCGCTCACTTGAATTAACTACGTTTTAATTTTTTTAAAGATAGATATAAGAACAAATTCAATCCTAAAATTGTTTTTACAGTATTAATTGGTCTGCTCACAGGTTGAAAAAAAAAGTTAAATATTAAGTCATTTTGTTCTATACAATATAAATAAATAATCTTTAGAATGAATACAACAGAAATTTAATAGTTTTCTTTTTGCATTTTAATGAACAATAAGAAAATTATTTCCTTCAAATTAACATCAAGCTTAGGTTTGATTAAAAAATACCGGAAAGCAGAAATTTAATTCCGTTAAGTAACAAAAATTAAATTTCTTGTTTTGCATATGATGCATCTACAGTCATGACAGAAATGAGTAGCCCAACATAAAAGAATATTAATAACAGAAATGATGAACAGAAGCTTCAAACAAATGTTAGCAACAGAAGCATATATTTTTGTCTTCTTTTCTTCTTATTAGTATAAGAAAAAGAGAAATACAAATATTTAGAGAACATTAAAATAATGAAAAAATGTTCAATCAAGAAAGAAATTGTTTCGTACATTTTGAAATTCATATTTGAGTCAGCAAAATTTAAACTTATGTGGCTCTTTTTAGGACTTGGTGATTTAACATGAGGTTTAGTTATTATCAATGCAGTATTTAGTGCTCCCCCCCCCCGATAGAATGCTTTCCAAATTAGGATATAATACAAAAAATAGCTCGATCTTTTCATACAAAAATTTAAAGCTTAAAGAAATACAATACATGCTTCTTAAAAATAGATTCATACTCAATAAAAAATAAAAAAGAAGTCTAACTCATATTTGCAAGAATAGAAGTCTAAACTTAAAAGAATGGGCAGACTATTTCGAATGCTATTATGTTATGAAAACAAAAATGCATTCTTACAACCTTATTTTTAAGAAAGGAAGATATATATATATTAAAAGTATAGAGAAAAACATGGAAAATAATAAGGATTAATGAAAGAAGAATTATTAAAATAAAATATTTTTAAAAAATATAATTTAAAATTTTAATTTTAATTTAAAATTTTGTAATTTTCCAAAAAAAAAGAAAAATAATTAAAATTAACAGACTCACATTATTTAATATATTCATCATAAATACTAAAGAGTATATACCTCAATTTTACATATTTCATAATCGAGGTCTTGTACGGGCACAGTTCTAGGAAATCTTGAAGTGTCTCTGCGGATTTTCTGGAGTTGTACTGTTGACTGATGGAAGTGATGCAAATACTTTTCCCACAATTGAATCTTTTCTTTTACTTGAGAAGAGTTGGTCTCATGAAAATTTTCAAATTTGCACCAACTTTGGTGTAGTTGCTTTGCAAATTCAAGAAAATGCATCTCAGAAATATTAGTGAAGTTCACATTGGTGTGGCATTCTTTCACTACACATCTTAACAAGTTTCGATGGAAATGTACAAAAATGTCAAACAACTGTCAAAAAATACGTAAAAAAATTAATTAAATATTATCTCATGCATAAAATATTTTTGAGAATTATTGATATACAGGGCATCTACTACATTTTAGATTTTCAAATTCATGACTTTCCATGACTAATTCCAAGAACTTTTCATGAGTTAACGAAGTTATTATTTTCTCTGACAAAAACAGAATAATAAATTTAAAAAAACATTATAATAACACTAATTAAAATGATAGGTATAACCAAAACTGTTATACTCTGCAACTTTATAATTATTGATTTTAAATTTAAAAATCAGAGTAAAGAAAGAGTTGAAGCAACAAAATAGCTAAAAAAATAATAGTTGAGCAAATATTTTTTTTTCTGCAGATTTATTTTCAGGTGCATGGATACCCTGGATATATTTTGTAAAAAAATAAATTTCAAATTTTTTTTTTTTGAGAGTAGTTAGTTTATATACAATGGAATAGATTTTCATAAAAGTGAAGTAGGTAATAATGTAGATGCTGAATATTTGATCAAAAACTCATTGGCACTACAACAATAATTTCATTCAATGAAAATGTACAGTATGTTTAAGGTACTGATACACATTAATAAAATTGCTTCTAGAAAATTCTCTATTTTTTTTACGCAAACTTAACTCATAAAAGTAAAAAAAAAATTTAAGATTCGATACATTAATCATGAAGAAGGTCAAACATTTTATTTTATTTATATCTGTGCTAAACTCTTAAACAGTTACAAGACTTCCAAACTTTAAATTAAATCTCTAAGATCTGGAAGTAATGTTAAAAATATAAGTATACTTATGAAAATATATACCAATAAAAAATAAGCATAAATAGAAATTTATAACTTACTTTACACTTCATGAATGATTCTAAAGATTTAAAGTATGTGGCTTGATTTTCTGAATTTTGAAGCTCATCATGTAAATTCTTATATTTTTGAAAAAATAGCAAAATAATATTTATTTTTTCAATCAATGAACATTTTTCGGAGTATATTTCCATCAATTTAAAATATCTTGAGGAAAGAGTGGAAATCACTTTTTGAGAAAAACAGATTAATTTTGAGACTTTGTTTGCAAATGAAAAATCCATCAGCTGGCAGAAAATAGTTGTGCGCTTTATGTGCTGAAGGCTTGCTTGGTTAGTAACTAGATTTTCAAGTAGTACCTAAAATAAAAGTATTCAAATTATTATCAAATCATGTTTGTTTTTGATTGCAGAACTTAACTAGAGCATTATGATTATTAAAACAGTAATTTTCAAGACCATTACTTTAACAAATCTTTTTCTCAATTGTTAAGTTTTTTTCTTCTCTCCATTGCATGCCTAAATAAATCTTTCCAATTTGTGTGTCTTGTTTCTCATAGCCTTCACTGAAAAGAGATACCGCTCTTAGGATAAACTGCTTAATTAATTAAGAGTTTTTAGTTACATAGGCTGTAGTGTGCAACCGATTCAAAATTATCTCAATAGGTAAGTGAATAAACATCTACCCTATGTTTTATTCCTGTTGCCCTGCTAGAAAACAAGTCCCAAATGTAAATAAACCCATTTAATAAGGGACACAAATAAAGAGACAAAGACAATCATAAATACAGATAACAGTTTAAACTTTTCCCTCTTGGAAGTCAGTAAACCATCTGCTCCTTCAAGGTTAATGCAGATTGACTTAACTGAAATACATGTACACATTTATTTTCGTGTGAAAGTGAAAACAATCTCCACACACACATATATATGTATGCATGTATATATATATACACACAACAATAAGAGTTATTATACACAAAATGCCTATTATATATCTAGAGAGAAAGAATATCAATAGCTTAAAAGATAAATAATTGCTATCATCTTATCATTACAAAGTCTTCAGGATATTTAGAAACAAAACTTGTTCTAATTTAAAAACTATTTACTTTTAGACATTTTGCACACCAGATTATATTTTTAACCAATTTCACAGTAATCCAGTTTTGTGAGATTTGGAAAAATGATTGCAGATTCCTAATTATTAGATACATCTTTCTTGGTTATCATCAAAGGACAAACATTTTTTTTTCTTTTTTTAAATTTATATTTAATTTTAATTTTTTTAATTTTAAATTTATATATATTTTCACGATATTCAATATTAGAAAATCAAATACCATTATAATTACTACACCACAACAATCAACACCTAAACATGAAAAAGCATTGTAAACTTTAATCAGAGCTTTATATTTTAATGTTGATGATAGGAATGCATCATAATTTTGAACCGCCTCCTAATCCCTATTAATTTAAAGGTCAGAGGTGATTTTCTCAAAAGTATTTTTTCTTCTTACAAACTTTTTAATTATAAAAACAACATAATTTTTTACCCCAATTGAATGAAGCTCATCTTCCAATGCTGTTTTATCATTCTCAAATTTTTTCTCACTCCACACCTGAAAAAAAAACAACTTATAACATAATGGAATAATTAGTGTCATTAAATGAATTACCAAAATGATCCAGCTTAAAATTTTTTTTTAAATGAAAGATGGAAAAGCCACATTACTTTTTTGAAAAACAAAGAAAAATATGTCTCATAAATGAAGCATAGTACAAATAGAAAAAAAATTTCGGACTTTTCCCAGTTATATCAGGGAAATTTCAATGGAAATCCAAACCATACTTTATCTACACCATGTAATTTTTCATGCTTTGATTTTTTTTATTTGCAATGTCAAATAATAAATTTTGTGAGCGAAAACATATAATAGTATGAGAATGGAAACATGGAAAAGTGTCACAAAAAATTAAATTTTATAAAATAATTGTAACAGATGTTAGAATTAATCAAAACTTGATAACTGAATACTGTTACTGACAATTCTAAGACAGGCTATTTTCCAGGTATAATCTAGGAATTTTCTGGGTTTTCTGTAAAAAATTTCAACTTTTCCTGACTATGCATAGCTTTTAGAGTTAAAATAAAATTCCCTGATCTCCCTGACCTGTGGGAGCCCTGATATGTGTTTTATAGAAATGTTTATTTCGTTCACACTTTTAAAAAATAATTTAATTCTTTACCTCCACGATCCGCAAAATTTTTTAAATTTTTTTATTGATGAATTGCTACAAAATTTTCAGTATAAGAAATAAAAATTTGTATTTTTTTAAAATTTCCTCTTGCCATGTTTAGAATAGCTAAAAATTCCACATGTTTAAATGTCTTTCAATTCATTAAGAGTCGTTGAAAAGACAAAATAGTCAAACAAAACTTTGGTGAGAGGAATGAACTATGAATATTAACAAAGGTAAATACCAATAGTGATTGAAAAAGCACCTATAGACAGGTTTGTTATTATATGTTTTAACTACATATGTTTTAATTTAAAAATCTACTCAATACTTACCAATAAACAAGACACCTCTAAATAAGTTTTGTATAGGTGCCAAATTGAATAAAAGTTTAACTGGCATTAAGTAAAGTTTAATTCATTACTTCATAAATAATAATTTTTTGAAACATCAAATTGGTTAAAAAAAACTGTAAATCGAATTCTAAACCACATTGATTAACCAAATTCCAAAATAAATCCGGGCAATTTTCAAGGTCATTAACATGAAAAGTTGAGCCCTTAATGCATTGAGTCTTTGTAATATATAAACTATGCAATATTGACACATTATGTTAGTAATTTAACCCATTGTTTACAGTCCTTAGCATGACTAGTTAAACGGTTAAATATTTCTGATGTATAATTTAAGTAAATACATTTGATATAAAAAAATAAAAATTCAAGTGTTGTTGTTTCTAATACCCCTTGCCAATATCAGCAAGCCTGCTTGGTGAAACCAAACGAATTTTAAGATAGAGAGTGCGTTTCTAGTTTCTTGTGGCGCCATCTATGGCAAAGACTTCAAAATACGACTTCAGCCACACACAACCACCTTACAGGACAAACACATTAATTCATAAACAGATCGTAATTTTGACCTGAACCAGAAAACGATCAATCTCCAATTGAGCACCCCCAGAGGTATAATTTGCTATAGGAACATGGAAGACTTTGTGACCTGACAGATTTAACATGTACCGTTTTCTACACGGGGAGTCTTCCGCCGGTGGGGATCGAATCCACGATCTCTTGGATATGGGCCCAACACCCTACCGACCAGGCTATCCCAACCTTTAAATTCAAGTAATTACCATAGTTACACTATATTACCATATTATGATCATAAATTGGAAGTCATAGCAAAAGATGTTATTAAATACCTGCTGAGTATTATCAAAAAAGTTTTCCACATCTCTAATGGTTTGTTCCCTTTCTTTATGATCTTCACACAAAGGCAGCATAGATTCACTTAACAAATTAAGATTCCTTTCTAAACTTTTCATTTGAGAATCTGTAAATAAGATTCTTCTTTTGATCTGAGCACCATCATCAATTAGCAGCTCAAAACTTTGTGCGAGTTCACCACCAACTTTCTGAATTGACTGCCATTTTTCAATGTTAGCTTGCATTTCCTTGCTTAAGTTCTGCAAGAAAAATAAAATGATTTACGGCTTGAACAAGAAATTAAAATAATAAAAATATAACATTCAAGAATTTCGAAATACCTCGAATACTAGCCCTAGTACAAAATCGAATATTTCAATTTCGCTGAATTGAGCTGATTACACTTACAAAAGGGATTTAAGGATATATGAAGAATAAAAAACTCAAAAATGAAATTTGTAATTTTTTGCAATGTTTTAAAGCTAAAATTAGGAAAAGAGCAATATTTTGTAGAATTAGGAAAAGATCAACATTTTGTAGAATTAGGAAAAGATCAACATTTTGTAGAATTAGGAAATTTTGTAATGAGCAATAAAAATTTTATTGACTTAAGAATGATCTTTGACTTAGTTCAAACTTTAGTGCAGGATTACGATCAAAACCCCTGGATGCAACCAGATTGCTAATAAAGTACAGAGGTCTAGGGGTAAACCAAAAATAAAAATAATAATTATTCACTTAAATTTGAAATGTTCTCAAGCATTCAAAATTTAGAGTCTTATAGTCTTCAAATGAATAATTTTTTTTTTATTTATTCAACTAAGAGTGAAATGCTAACTTTAATGGACAAACCTTGATAGTCTCCACACAAATCAATAAATTTATCTTTTGAATATGAAGAGATATACTATGTGAAGGGATGCAACATAAACTTGTATTTACAGCTGACTATAAACAAGTTTTGATTTGCATTCCTTCTTGTAATAACAAATTGATTGTAACAATGGTTCTGTGCTCTCGTGTATCATCCTCATTGAAAAAAATACACTTCACTCTTCTTAATACAAGGTTCTCACTTAATTTTAGAAATAAAATCTTTCTTTTCTGGTACTCTAAAAAAAAAATCAATAAAATTCTAGAACATATTTTATCTTAATAAAGCAAATTTTTCTCCTAAAATCACAATTTGATATTTCAAATATTATATTTTGGGAAATATTAAAACATCACTGAAGATATTGCATGAAAATTGAACTAAAAATGTGAGATTTATATACTTAACTTGAATTCATAATTGTTACTGACGATAGGTCATTTTCAAGATTTATTTATTTAAAAAAGCCATCTTATTTGACTTTAAGAGTTGAAATAAAATTCGTTAAGAATTCCATGTTTTCCAATTCAATGACAATTTATGCAACAATTCTATACAATATGAAGTAAAAGTAACTTACTTTCAACTCAAGAAGCATACATGGTCTATTAGTTTGAATGGAAATAGCTTTATTTTGAGTTTCTAAAATCCAAGCATCCAAGGAACAAATTTCCCTTTCAAATTCATTCCACAGCACATTTAAAGCGGATAATATTTTGAAATTAGTAGATAATTCATCAGAGTGTTTATTCCAACTAAAATAAAATGCATTACATTAAAAAGAGATAAACTTTATCATAAGGTAAGAATTTAATAAATTCAACCATCAAAAATCAGTAGTCTTTTACGATAATCATTACAGCTTAATTATACAATACAACTTTAAACATAAAAACGATGACCTCACAAATTTTTTTCCCTCAACTCTTGACACATAACTTATATATATTTCTCAAAGCTATATCAAACTTTTATTTCCAGAACCTTGATATTTCAAAAAATTATGAAGAAAAAAAAAAGGTTTTGTAAGCAGTTTTTTCCCCTCTGCATTATAGCAAATTAATGTATCTTCAGCATTACATCAAAACAAATATATTGTTTTTTTTCTGCAGAGAAAATAAGGTGTTATACTAGTTAACTATTTATTCATATTCAATAAATAATATGGTGAACCTCAGTTGTCTCAGAAAAAAGACTTAGGAATGGATAATTAACATTGATCAGTTCTTGTGCATAGACAAATATACTTTACATTTTGTAAGGTAATCACATGTATATGTCACTGTGAATGACCGAAATTGGTGGTTGTTGACTTCCACTGATGAATGTTGACAATGACATAGCTGCTTTGCCTGGTATACATTTGCCAGGTATGCCTTACATCAATGTTTTTCTAAGGTTCAGTACTACTGCCCAGTATGCTCTACATCAATGCTTTTTTGGAAGTCAAGTGTCACTGCCCAGTATGCATTTAACCAGTACTCCGGACACTGATACTTCTCCTAATCTATCCTCAGCTGATATTAAAATATCGAATAAATATAATAACATTAACAAATAAATTAATATCAAATCGAATATAACAAATATATTGGATATTCAAGATTGTGATTTTTGATATTTACTGGTGAAGGTTGACGTTCTTTTGATTTTGGTCATTCACGGTAACATATACAATAATTAAATTAATTCATCAGTTAACATCAATGAGCAAACACTGACCTCAGCATTATTTAAATGATATTTTTGAGACAGATTATATTGAAAGTGTAATTTACAGTATTTTTCTAATTATCTAATATAGATTATATAGATTTATCAAAATACACAAATAATCAAAGCTTAACAACAAATATTTCTCACATTTGTATCAAACTGTCTTTTCGATTCCTTATCTCAACCTTTATATTTCCAGTCCTGTTTTCTTCCAATGCATCACTGCTATTGATTACATTTTTAAGAAGATCCCTTTTCAAGTCTAGGTTTTCAATTAAAGCCTGTAAATAGACATTTAATTTACTAAGCTGTATAAAAATACAACAATTTATGACCAATTAAACAGCAATATTAAAATAACACACACCACATTTCTGTAAATCTATTTTATAGTCACAATTGCTAGATGAAATTAAACAAAACTTTAGAGTAAACAAATTTTAATTTTTAGAGCAGAATCATCTTTTAATTTAATGTTCAATTACTTTAGTATTGCTTTGTTGGGTTTCAATAAAAATAACTTAAAATCTAATACAAATAAATTCTAAAAAACATTAATTTAAAAAATTAATAATGATGAGTAGGTAAAGACTAAAACCTAGATATTTATGACATTTATTTTTAGACTATTTTTTTAAAGACATTTTTATTTTTGTTTTATGGCATTTATTTTACATTTTATGGCCCCTTTTTTTAAAGTGTAGGAAATTTTTTTAAACTTTTTTTTTAGCATTTATTGTTATTGAGTAACTTATTATGAAATTTTTCTAATATTTCTGCATATTATATTGCAACTATTTATTTTCTTATAATACCACATTTAATATTTCTAATTTTAATAAAAATTGCATTTTGATTGTTATACACGCAAGGCCCGCACTAAGCAGTCACTACCTCTCCAAATGTGATAAAATTGTAAATTTGGTGAATAAAATTGTGTTTTGGCGGAAGTATGGCAAATGATTCTTTCTACTGGAAAGAAAAATATTTATAAAAAATTGTTAAGATTTGCATTTGGTGATGACTTTCGAAAATTCGCGAATACTTATTTGATAGCTGGCTAACTTACTGACTAATAATCTGAAATCCTTAGCGCTTGCCTGGTTTATGCATATTAATTATTTACTTGTATTATGTGTCAATTTAGTAAAGAGACAATACTAAATTGACAGTTAGTACAATTGAGAGTTAGTACAATTTTATTCTGAAACATTATAGATAACTAGGAGGCTTCGCCCCCTGCTCGCTGGCGCTCACCAACCCCCGGAACTGCTTTCACAGTTCATTTCGGATTGCTTCGCAATCCAATGCTCACTTTGCTCGCTCATTGGATACATTCTTAACGTCTAGCTTTTGTATACTTTTTTGAATACTGAAGTTCCGAAAACTNCCCTACATCAATGTACGCATTTAATGTATACTACCAGTTACCCAGTATGCATTTAACCGGTACTCCGAACACTAATGTTTCACCTAATCTATCCTCAGCTGATATTAAAATATTGAATAAATATAATAATATTAACAAATAAATTAATATCAAATTGAATATAACAAATATTTCGGTAATTCACCAAAGCGACTGTGATTTTTGACATTCACTGGTGAAAGTTGACATTCTTTTGATTTTGGTCATTCATGGTAACATATACAATAATTAAATTAATTCATCAGTTAACATCAATGAGCAAACATTGACCTCAGCATTATTTAAATGATATTTTTGAGACAGAATATATTGAAAGTGTAATTTACAGTATTTTTCTAGTTATCTAATATAGATTATATAGATTTATCAAAATACATAAGTAATCAAAGCTTAATAACAAATATTTCTCACATTTGTATCAAATCGTCTTTTCGATTCCTTATCTCAACCTTTATATTTCCAGTCCTGTTTTCTTCCAATGCATCACTGCTGTTGATTAAATTTTTAAGAAGATCCCTTTTCATGTCTAGGTTTTCAATCAAAGCCTGTAAATAGACATTTAATTTACTAAGCTGTAAAAAATACAACAATTTATGATTTGTTAATCAATTAAACAGCAATATTAAAATAACACACAACACATTTCAATAAATCTATTTTATAGTCACAATGTAGCATAGAGAAAAAACAAACAGATACTAAGCTATAAAGAAGTTAATACTATTTTATCTGTTAATACTGTATAAATGAATTCACAAAGCATAAACAAAGCTAAATTTATTTTAGCTAAATTTACTATGAACAGAAATAAATTAATTTAAACTAAATTTGTTTTTATTTCTTATTCACAATTAAATACAGTGAAAGAGCTAAAAAGATAATCAGCTGTAACATTAAACAGTATTAAAAATGTTAACTATTTATAAAGCAATTTTATTTCTTGTTCATAATTTAAAAGAAGGAAATAATTAAAATACACCTACAGAGCTAAAAATTGGATTAATAAGAGAATAATATAACATAAATATTAATATTTCATAAAAATACAAGATGGGACGAATAAGTCAGAATTACTCAAAGTTGAATGGAAAGAACAGTTGCTAACGTAAACAAATGCCATGTTTTAACAACCAATCAGGATCGAGATACTCAAATTACATCACTTGAAGGTATCCCATTGAGGAAGAAGTTGGGCATTAGTTTGAAATAAATTTATGGAACTAAAGTTTTATATTCTTTCATATATTACATTAAAACAACTGTAGCTCTTATTATTCTATCTGTATTATTTATTCTACGAACATTAATGTATAAGCTCTCTTTTCTGTTTACAGCATACATATTCAACATTTATTTAACTTGAGAGATAATAAATCTTAAATAAACTTTTTATAAAGGCACGAGACTGATTGAAAAAAGATAAGTCGAATATTTTTGCAAAAGTTTCTGAAAGAAAGCCTTTAAAATTTAAAAACTGTATTTGTTGCAAGAAGATCCAATTTCAATATTCAGTGCAATAATATTGACACATATTATTTCAATACTATCAACAAAAAAAAAAGATTCTAACATACTATTGGGAATAAAAAAAAATTTTGGAAAAATGAACGGAAAATTATTGAACCAAAAAAACCATCAAAAAATTTAAGAAATTCATTTCTAACAAATTGAAAATATGACATTGTTAGTTCCTGCAATACACGAGATACATTTATACATTATGTAACATGAAAATTAGCTTAAATGAAAAAGAGTAGTGATATAAATCAGCAGTTGCAAGAAAATATAGATGTATTATTGATCAGTTCAGTTATCTAGTGTTAGATTCTTTTATACAATTTGAATTGCTAGATGAAATTAAACAAAACTTTAGAGTAAACTAATTTTAATTTTTAGTGCAGAATCACCTTTTAATTTAATGTTCAATTACTTTAGAATTGCTTTGTTAGGTTTCAATAAAAATAACTTAAAAACTAATACAAATAAATTCTAAAAAATATTAATTAAAAAAATTAATAATGATGAGTAGGTAAAGACTAAAACCTAGATACTTATGACATTTATTTTTAGACTATTTTTTAAAGACATTTTTATTTTATGCCATTTATTTTACGTTTTATGGCCCTTTTTTTATAGTGTAGGACAATTTTTTAGCATTTATTGTTATTCAGTCATTTATTATGAAATTTTTTTAATATTTCTGTATATTATATTGCAACTACTTATTTTCTTATAATACCACATTTAATATTTCTAATTTTAATAAAAATTGCATTTTGATTGTTATATATGCAAGGCCCGCACTAAGCATTCACTACTAAAATTGTAAATTTGGCGAATAAAATTGTGTTTTGGCAGAAGTATTGGCGAATGATTCTTTCTACTGGAAAGAAAAATATTTATAAAAAATTGCTAAGATTTGCATTTGGTGAAGAATTTCGAAAATTGGCGAATACTTTTTTGATAGCTGGCTAACTTACTGACTAATAATTTGAAATCCTTAGCGCTTGCCCGGTTTATGCATATTAATTACTTACTTGTATTATGTGTCAATTTAGTAAAGAGATAATGTTTCAGAATAAAATTCCAGCTTAATTAAAAGGTTTTTTTTTATCTTTTAAAGGCATTTTTAGGGATTTTTTAGATCATCAAAATCCAGGCTCTAGGAATACACATCAATCAATTCTTTAAACAGCAAAATATTTGTTAAAGCTTTATGAAAAGCAAAATATTTCTTAAAGCTTTATGAAAAGTAAATTAAGTTATAAAATTTATGGAAATTAAAACATGGTTAATAATGTCAGCAATAATAAATATATTAACACTTTACCTGGATTATCTTTACACTGTCTGAAACATGTTCCTTATTGATGAATGACTTGTTATGAACACTCAGAAGCCAATTATGTTCTGATATAAATTTATAACAGTCTTTAAGGGCATTCTCAAACTTATCCCACTGTTTTGAACAATCTTTTAGACTTTTTTCAGTGCTTTTAAGGAGGATGTTAATCTGAGAAATTTTTTCAGTTATTCTATTTTCGGTTGAATCTATGAATATTTTCACAAAATCACAATTTGCAGATTTAAGCATTTCTTCCCCACTTTGTCTAACAGTTTCAAGCAAGTGATTTTCCTTCATAAAAATTTGATATGCCTGAAAAAAATAAAACATAAACTATTATTATGTTTTTCAAGCATTCATAGAATGAAATATATTTGCAAAATAGAGGTAGAATTTTCAAACGATTTTCATTTTATGTTTAAAATAAAAATAAAAATTGTGGTAAAATATTGAGCTTTTGAGGGTATTGCAGAATTTAAACAAACAACTAACAAATTAAATACACAAGTGGGCGATCTTTGTGCTAAAATACAAACTAAGGTAAACAACGTTAAAGAGCACAAAAAAAGTGCTCTTTAACGTTGTTTACCTTAGTTTGAACAAACAAATTATATGATTTTGTTGTTGTTTCTAATGTCACTTGTTAAATTTACCAAAATTCAAAGGATTAAATGGGCAGGCCACATTATAAGAATGGAGGATGGCAGGACAACCAAAAAAGTTTTCAGTGCCAGGCCAACAGGTACAAGAAAAAGAGGATGACCAAAGCTAAGATTTTTAGACTGCCTGGAAAAGGACCTACAAGTTTTAAAGATAATAAACAGGAGAACTTTGGCTAAGGGAAGAATGTCTTGGCATAGGCTTGTTGAGAAGGCCAAGGCCCATCCTGGGCTGTCGTGCCAATGAGAAGAAAAAGAATGTCACTTGTCAATACCAGCAAGGCTGCTTGGTCAAAAAACCAAATTTAAGACAGAGGGTGCATTTATTTCTTTTTGGCGCCATTTAGGGCCAAGGATAAGACTTCTGCCACACACACGTCACAGCCCGGTTTAGAGATGGACCCACTCATACATCCACGTATTCATCCTCAGATTGTAATTTTGACCTGAACCAGGGAACGATCAATCTCCAATTCAGTACCCCCAGAGGTATTGATTTTTCATGGGAACTTGGAGCACAATGGATTATGAAAATAAATTATTTATAAAAATAAACAAAAATTAGATCCATTTAAATAAGGAATAATATTATTTTGAAAATTAAAACTGTAAAAAAGAAGCCTTAATTAGTTAAACAACAAATTATGCAAAATTGTTTATCTGATGAAAATAATTTGTTTATCCAAAGTTTTCAATGAGACTTGTTCCAAAATTGTTCTCGTAATGAGTTACACATAAGTAGTTTTGTATTAAACATAAATTGTTCAGTCGGGGGTTTGATTCTCCTGTGATACAGATTGCAATTTAAAGCACTTTCGGCTTTAGTGGCAACTTAACAAAATTTGTTATGATCTCAGTAACATAGCATGAAAAAAATACGGCTTTTGAATGAACTGTAAAAAGTTTCATTAGTTAATAGGCTAGGTATCATTGCATAGCACTATCGTAATAGAAAGGACTACATCCTTAAGCAAAACCTAATGAAGCTTTATTCAACAACTATTGTATAAGATTCATTAAAAACAGTATCTTAACAAAATATCCTGATGTACAAACGGATGAGAGAATTATTTTCAAAAATGAAAGAAGAAAAACAACTTCACACAATGCATTTCTGGTCATGCACACGTCCACTATTTAGTGGTCATGTGCAACAGAGAGCAAGTAAATAACATACAACAGATCCAGGAAGTGCCACCACAAGATTGAGAAATATGTTTTAAAAAAATAATTTAAAATAAAATAAAACTTTTCAGATAATTTAACTTGTTTGAGTAACATTTTTATGAAATATTTAGACTTCCATTTTTTAATGATTGTACACGTAAAAAAATATTCTTTAATCAGCAATACAAATATATGAGTTCCTAGTATCAAAAGCATCATTTAATCTACAATGTAGTAACAAATAATATAAATTTTTAAAAAAACATTACTACAGCTTCACAAATTGTTATACATTGCGGAAGTAAATTTCTATCTTCAAAGTAACTTTAATTGTTTAATAAAATAGAAAGATCGTTTCATTATTTTCAATGTAATAAAATAATTTTTAAAAAAAATGTCATAATGGTTGTTGCTATTTGGTTTAAAATATTTAGAATAGTCTTAGTTTACTTTAATCAAGCAACAACTTGAGAATTTGCTAAGTTTTAATTCCAAATTGATTAAGTCGCTAAAGATGTGTTAGTCTTTCCCAATAGAGAAAGAGCAGTATAAAGACACTTTTTTTTTATCTAGTTCAACAAGGAATTAAAATCATTGCATAATTTTTTTAAAACAAAACCTGACAAAAGTTTTTGGTTAAAATTATTTACAGTTCAACCAATAAACAGATTTGAAGTAAAAATTCAAGGATATTATGATTTGCAAACAAGGCTAACAGATAAAATTATTAAGATGGATAACTTATATTAAGTCAGATGTAAGGAACTTTTCACAACACCAATTAGGGTTTGCAAACACAAATTGGTTATAATTGTTCCCCTTTTATATGATGGATGTTAGAAAATCTGGTGCTAGCAGGGAGAAAGGATAGGGAGATAAGGATAAATGGATTTCAGGTTGCTTAGAATGTAGGAATCGTTACATTTTATTTGTTTTGCAGGTTTTTTAATGGGGTATAACATTACATGGCAGACGGGAAGAATCTAAAAGCAGTATATGATGTCTGCCTCAGGCATTTGAGCAAGCAAATAAAATGAAAATTCAGAGAAAACAAAAAGCAAACAGAACTTTAATTTCTTATCTGCAAAAATGAATAAATAATAGTCAATGTTTATGTAAAAAAAATAATTTTATTACGAAAAAATTCATTATTTTTGCCTGTAATTTTATTTTAAGTTAATTAAAATTGTGCTCACCCACATTTCATCAGAAATAAAGATAAAGCTTGTTAATTAATTGTATCAGAAAAAGAAATTACACAAACATAGGGGGAGGGGAGAGAGAAAATTAATCTCAATTTGGGAGGGGATAACTGCAACAAATATAAAAACAGGGTGGCTATAAACACTCAGAAAAAAATTCTAAATTTTTCCAGATTGATTTCAATAAATTTCCTAAATTTTTGTAACTGGTGTATATTACTGCTACATAAAATATATTATAAAAACACTTATCTTTGCTATAGTAAGTATATCTTATATAAAAGTTGAATTTAAAAAAAAAATAATAATAAAACTGTTACAAGATAATTTATTTTAGAAAAAATATAGGACTATTGGGTACCACCAATTCAAATTCATTCATTTTATTTAATTTCCTGATTTTTTCCTCTTCAGTGGCCACCCTGAAAAACATGGTTTCTCACATAGAAAATTAGACTTTAGTCCTCAGGTAAGAAAAAAAGTATATAATGGATAAATATAGTTATGAATCTGCTTATCAGTGATAGCATCAAAAGGTAGAAAACACTAAAAAAAATTATTTTCATGAAGAAAGTATTTTATCTCCATAAATTTAAACTAAGATGCATGGCAAATAAAATTAGATTAAAAAAAATCATAAAATAATGTCTAACTATCAACTTATAAATCATCATACCAAATTACTTAAAAAACCTAATGAACTTAATTATTAGTTTTTTTTCTTTATATAACATCAGTAATTATTAGTACATTTTATTTTTAAAAATAGGGTGGCCATAAACACTCAGAAAAAATCCTAAATTTTTCCAGATTGATTTCATGAAATTTCCTAAATTTTTGTTACTGGTGTATATTACTGCTACATAAAATATATTATAAAACACTTATCTTTGCTAGAGTAAGTATATCTTTTATAAAAGTTGAAATTGAAAAAAAAAAGTTGAAAAAAAATAATAAAACTGTTACAAGACCAATTATTTTAGAAAAAATATAGGACTATTGGGTACCACCAATTCAAATTCATTCATTTTATTTAATTCCCTGATTTTTCCCTCTTCAGTGGCCACCCTGAAAAACATATTGTTAGCGGGGCCTCAGATGAAAACTTAATGAAGATAATATTATAAATTTATTTTAAGAAACAATATTTACCCGCACTTCTTCTTTCATTGAAATGACATCAGAGTAGTTTGATTGTTGTACCAAAGGATTAATCTTTTCAAGTGATGAAAAAATGCTGTCCAGTTTCAATAAGAGTGCAGAAGATTGAATTTTATAATTATCGAATTGGTTCATTAAATCATCAATTTTATTTACTTCACTCGCTATTTTCAACTTTAACATATTTATTGAATCTTCATTCAAATTTTCACTTTTCTTTTCAGTAAGATGAACATCAAACTGTGATTCATCAATACCTTCCACAATCTTATGGTAGCTCAGAAGTTTACAGACAAGACTCATTTCTTTAAAATATTTCTAGGAAAAAAAAGAAAGAAAATATTTTAAAGCAAAGGAAATCAAAAACAAAAGTAACATAAACACAAAAGTAAAGTTTATTGAAAACACAACAGTTTTTAAATCCTTACAATTAATAATAAAGAGCTTATTGTTGTCAGAGGTAGCACACACAGTCTTGTTTATTTTAATGTATTAAGTCTCATTATAATTTATATTTATTTATTTATTCTTTTTTACTTACCACTTTAAAATTTTAGACATGAAACAAGGATTTAGGGACTTAATATGAAAAGGATATCAGTCAAAGACATTTAAAATGCTAACTAGGTTTTATCTATTTAAAAAATAAGTACACGTTTTAGTGCAGAATAAAGAAATGGTACATAACAAAAAATCTATTGTTTAAAAAAATAATTATTAAAAAACCTTTTTTGCATGTAAAATGCACAAAATTTTTTCATACTTTAGAAATTCAAGCTTAATTTATCAACTATTTTTGAGCTGCTATAATCTTGGGCTTGAAATTCAAGTCTTTCAGTTTCTCAAGAAAAAATAATTTTTTCTCTATACACCCATTTAAGTTACCTACAGTCAAAATAATAATAATAAATGAAATTATAAGTGTGAAAGCACTTAACAGAACTTTAAAATAAATTTCAATAAAATTCAATTTAAATTATATAAATTTCAATTTAAATTATGAATTAGATAGGTTTCAGAAGTTATACAATAATGATTATTTAATAATATCTTTTATTATCAGTCAGGAAAAAATAATCACCTACTTTTATACAGATTTGGCATGATTTAAATCATAATTAAAATAACAATTTAAATCACCTGATATTTTTTTAAAAATAAAACCAGTGATTTAAATCAACAAAAGTTTTTTCCCGTTTCTTTATTATTTTTTTTATAAAAAGCTATCAATTATAACTAGCTGATTATTTTTGTATTAAATTTTAAAGTATAAAATTTTTGGTACAAAATAGCTCATAAATACATTCTTTAGAATATGATTTTTATAAAGTCTGATATTGGTATTGAATTGAAGGTTTGACACAGATTGATATTGAAGGTTTTTGACTAAGAAATAATGAAAAGTATATATATGTAGATTATTATATTTTATTTACATGCATATCTTTTTTATTGATTAAAAAAACATTGAGTTAAATAAATATCTTTTTTTTAAAAAAAAACCCCAATTATTTAAATAAACTGATTTATTAAATTTTAAATTTAAGTAAATATATTTTAATTTAATTAAAACATACATTACATAGGGTATGATTTGTAAGTCTTACATCATAATAAGGATTTCTTACTAAGAAATAATAGAAGAGATATGCATGTAAATTATTGTATTTCAAAATAGATGAAAAATAAAAAAGGAGACTAAACACTAATAAGTATCAGAGAGTCATGAAACTTTTAAATTATAATTTTTCATTAAATGTAAGTAAAATTATTTGCACAGAAAACATTTAAGAGTATACTCATTCAGTTTCATGCCTCTTTTTAAATTCAGTGCTTTTAAAACATATTAAAAGTGTAATTTGTTTATATCAACCAGAGTAACATAAAATACATTTTTTTCAGTCATATTTTTTGTGCTAAACTAATTTACTCTCTATTAGATATCCAATTGATGAATAGTCTTCTAATCTGTTACATTTATTAGCAAGTTGAACTTGAATAACATAGCTATGATTTTATTTATTCAATGATTAGTTTTTAATAATAATTTTAACCATTTAAGTAAGAAAAGTTAACTATTTTAGCTAAGATTTTTAAATAATACTCAGTATTGTTAATAAATCTTATCAAATGCTTTGGATAGTAAATTTAAAAAAAAAAACTGATTTATATTTAATAAAAGTTATTTAAATTAAATAGATCAATTTTTTTATTAAAAAAATCATGATTTTTGCCAACTTAGCTTTTATATCAACCCAAGTGAATGAAAAAAAAAGAAGCCTAGGTTAAAACGCCAAATGAGAGCTTTAAAACAAACATTAATTTTATTGAATATATCAAGCATCTATAATTTGATTAATTGGAGTATATTATGTTAAGCATTTCACACACGTCTTTATCTATAAATAAAACAAAAATAAACTTAAAATGTCAGAGAACTGAATATTAATTAAAGAAATTATCTATTGAAATTAAAATACTTACATAAGTATATCTCTTTAAATCTTTTAATGATTCTTCAGAATCAACGTTATTCATATCCAATGCATTATATGACAAGTGAATATCTTCCAACCAAAGACAAATATGTTCCTTAATTTCTTTTTCCTCAAAGTTTAACAGATGTTTAGAAATTATCTCTTTTGTATCATCTAATGAGTTTCTCATTTGTTTCCTCTTTGATAAAACATCCTCTAGACTACTCTGATTGCAATAGAATAAATTTAAGAGATTTTCATCATCCACCATAGTTTTAATTCTTAAAGGTAGAGCATCATTGCACTCAAGCTCACTCTCAAGGACCTACAAATAAATAGAAGTTTTAAGAAATGAAATGATCTGCCCTTTAAGAAATAGGTTGTAAGGTAAAAAAACATCTTGTATTCAGACAAAATTAGGTATTTTCTGCAAAAGTACATACATAAATATGCAAGCAAGGAGAAAATGTTTCTTTTTTTCTTTAAGAAAAGTAAGACTTTGAAAGCAAAATAAATAAGAAATATCATAATCACGACAACATTTAGGTATTTTCCGTAAAATCCCATACATAAATATGCAAGCAAAGCAGAAAATAATACATTTTGTTTAGAATGACTTTGAAAGTAAAACAAATAAGCCATCTTATAAACAGGGCAAAATTTAGGCACTTTCTGCAAAAAAAAAAATATATACATTAATGTGTAAGCAAAGCAGAAAATAATATTATGTTTAGAAAAGACTTTAAAAGTAAAACAAATACGACATAAGATTTATAATGTAAAAAACAATTTTTTTTTTACATCTCTTTTGAAAATAAAAGTTAAAATTTTAATGATAAACAAAATCACTTATTGACATTTTCAAAATTAAAAGACAATTATGACTATAAAAGATACTCTCTATTTATGTCTTAGCTATTTTTTTCATTTTTTCTTTTTTTACTTTTGGTTCACTCTAAGTCTTTACAGAAGCAGCACAAAATTTTTTTTTTACCATATCATAATTAGTTGATAATTAAAACAGTGACAAAATATGTTAAGCTCTTCCCCAACAGCCAGTTGTTGGCCAAGGGAGTGAATGTTACATATTTGTCATTTTTAATTTTCCAGACAAGCTCGTACACACTTGTGTTGGTTTGGCTTCAAGCAACAGCTGGCTACAGAGCCCCAACTCTTTAAAATGTCAGCCTATTGCCTAAACCACTGTGCTATTTAAGCTCAATCTAAACTGTATGGTATCTTTGTCTTTTCAACTAGTCTGAACATTTGACTGCATTCGGACTGGAAGAAATTAAAAATAACACATTACGATTCTCTGGACCAGTCTTACTTTGACAAATATTTTGGTCGCAGTACAGATCTACATTGCTATCAGAATTACGGTGGGTTTATGCAGTGGTCAATAACGAGAAACCTCTAAAACTTCTAGACATATATATATATAAAAAACAAATTAATTTTTTTCAAAAATAAATTTGTGCATTTGATTATGATCAATGTAATGCTGAAAATTAAAACATAAAATTTTTTGTCCTCAATTAAGATCTGAATCGCTCTTACTTACATTATTTTGTATTATTACACAACTTAATAGTAAAATAAAACAATATTAATTTCAGCTACAAGTAATATAAGTACTGAAACTATCTTATTCAATTGTCGATTTGAAAATTAACTGTAGATCTTTCACTTAAATTAAATATGCTAAATAATTTGCATAGCATTTTAACAGGCATCAGAATTGATATTTTTAAGCATTAATAAAAATTAAAATCAAAGAAAAATTTCTTCCATCAAAGAAATCTTACCGAAATGCGTTGCAGGTTTTCAAATAATGCAGCAATATCATGGCTGTTTTTAATTTCTTGCTGAACAAACTGCAACCGTGAACTTGCATCAGAATACCAAACTTGTAGTTCTTCTATTTCTCGGTGAATAAGTAGATATTGGTTTGTAAATGGGCTTGCAATGTTCATTTTCACATTAACATTGTCCTGCAACCTTGAAAATGATTGAATAAATTCTGCATAAGAATCAGAAACCTGGTGACAGTCAACATGCACTTTCACTGTTTTCATCACTTTCTGCATGTCATAGATATGTGGCGTGAAATTCCTCAGATCATGCCTAAGAGACTGGTATAAAAAAAATTTATCATAAATAAATGAAAAAACCTTAACTACAAACAATATATTAGTACATTTGGTAACATTTTACATGCAGATAAAAATTTTCATTATCCTCTTTTTCACATAAAAAAGAGAAAAACAAGATTTATTCAACTGAAAACAAAAAATACTTTTAATAAATTAATGTGAAATTAGGGTAAATAAAAATTTTCACACAAAATGACATCGAAACCTTGATTTTCTAATTATTGATAAATTTAGATTCACTTTTCATCAAAAAAATTAAATAAACTTTTGTTGTTTTTCTACAGAATTCATAAAAGAAATTTAGAACTTAATTTCAAGTTTTTTTTGTTAATATGCATAGTATTCCGTAATGAATGCAACATAGTTTAATAGGTTCTGGAAAAGAAAGTACTACAGCCTTGGCCAATATTTTTTTTTTTTTATAAATGGAAGAGGATGTAATGGTTCAAACCTACATGTCCCAATTAAACAATGAAGAAAACCAATTGAAGTAAACCCAAATTAATTGAAGAAAAACTTACTTTAATAAAGGAAGTATATTGTTGAATGTCTTCAGTTGGACAAGGCTGAACTTTAAAAGCATGGGTTTTATCCATAATCCACCTTTTGTTTCTATCAAGAGTCTCAAGAAGATCATTTAATGAAAGGAAGCACTCGTTCAACTTTTTGAACTTATTTTCGATTTTAGATATGGAATCCATAACTTCAGACTGCATAACTTTGAATTCCTGCTTCGTTTCATCTTGGAATTTCTCATTCGATAGACAATACTTATTCCTCAATATATGAGATAAAACAATTAGAGCATGTTGCATTTCCTGAAGTGAAAAAAAGAAGAAATGATAAGAGATAATATTTAAATACAAAATATCAGTAAAAAAATTAATTTTGTTCCGTTTTCGAGATATATATGAAATGAATCAAAATAAACTGCAGACTAAAAAAGTTTGCAAAAATAAATAAATATCATTAAATAAATTTCACACCACATATTAAATGGTTAATTAAAACAAAATTTACATCAGTTTTTTTAAAATTATATTTAAAAAGAAACTTACCTGAAGATAGTCCAATTTTTCCTTTAAGTCAGCCAAAAACTCAATGACTATAGGAGAGGGTAACTCACAGAAACTCTTCACAGTGACAAAAATGATTTGTAGACAATCACACACTTTTTTGTAAACTGAGCGATGGTCATGTTCTTGTGTGACTGCCAAGCAAGTTGCATTAATCTAAAATTAAATAAAAATAGGTACAAGAGTAAAAATAAAGAAATGTAATAATTGCTTTGTTATGATGAATAAAAAAAATAATTCCTGAAAATTCACTCATCCCAATTAATTCAGAAAATTTATATTTTTTTCATGCTCATCTCATTTAATAACTCTTTATATATCAAATTTTTGTAAACAAATAAATGAGAGTTAAGGTCTATTAACAAAAATAAAATACAATGCTAAAAAAGAAATAAAAATTTTTAAAAATATTTTAACATCTTTCTAAGTTTTAAATGTTTTTTTTTATCTTAGTTATTTTTTACTAGCACTAGCTTTATAATTTCTGATCCTTTCATGTGCGTACGAGGATACAAAAATTTCTTTTTTCAATCCGCTTTTTTGTATTAAAAAATTATTTCAGTCATAATAATTTTTTTTAACTATGTTAAATACTGTGCTACTACATTCCACTCAACTCAATCTTTTCTTTTCCTGTATTTTCTTTTTAAGTAGTTAGTCAGTTAAGTAGTTTACATGTGCATTTTTCATGTTAAGATGGTTTTTTAATGATCTGCTACATTAGATGTTATCTTTTATCCATATTAGTATTTCTGTCCGAAATTCCCTTTCATGGAATACAGCTAACAGCGGAATAAGGTTCGTTAACATTTCCACCATTTTTGTTTTGCTTATTCTCTAAGCTCTAATATTTTTCTTTCAGTCTTTTACAACTATTCATTTGTAAATAATTTATACACAATAATATCACAAATATTTAATTTGTTCCATAATTACAGATTGGCTCTCCTTTTAATGACTTTGAAGGGACCATGAAAAATTGCCCATAAGTAGAAAAGTCCTTAAATAGAATGTGGGGAAAAATTATACATAATGAAAACTTTTCCCTTCATATTTTTCATTCTTAAGGTTATTAATTTATTTTAAAATAAACTTAAGTGTTAAAAACTTTTTCACTTTATTACTATACAAATTATATTAATACATGAAAAAATTGAATAACAAAAACAAAGATAAACAGTAGAAGAAACAAATCAATTTTATTAAAAACAAAAATTTTGATTGCTTCAATTATGGTTTTCATTTTAATAACTTTTTTCAAGTTTTTAGAATATATTAACCATATTTCGAGCACATTAAACTTATCTTGAGTATTATTATAAAAATATTCCATATTGGATGACATAATATATCTTCTTAAAACGTCAATTGCAGTAGATGTAGTGACTTAGTCATTTTCATTTTTGAAGTTTTTATAAATCTTATCTAAATTTTTTAATTTGTTGTTAAAGTATCTTCAACACAACTAAATAAATTGTGTAACTGGACATCAATCATGTCTTTTTCAATCCCTTTAAAACCAAACTTGTTTCTTCACAAAGAAATAAAAATCTACACTTTTAAAAAATTTAACCATTAAGCGGAGATTCAGTCGCCTTTAAATAGAGCTTTTCCTACTATGAAGAAGCCAGGACTGCAACATATCTTCTTTGGTCACAAGGCAGTTGTGAATAAAAAAAATTTTTTGAAATAAAGCTTGGTTTGAGTTCTTACCCTTTAAAATTATATAAAAACAGATAAGAACAAAAACTTCAATGCAAGTTCTACTCACCATACTTTTGAGGTCCCTGGCCTGTTTTAACCAATCTTCTGTATTCTCATAGTTATAACCTGGCCAAATCAAAAACAATTTCTGTTTATCTAAACAGAGTAGTTCACTAGAAGAGGAACATTCAGACACCTCCTTTCTGATTTCAGATAGCTGAAAAATAGAAAAAATATGATAAAAACTTTTCATACTTGTAAGAAATAATGAATATATTTTTAGAAAAATGCATAATGTAGCATAGTTATCACTATAAGTATTCAATTCCAATTCACTAGTATACAAGACATGTTAACTCAATTCTATCTAGGGGTACCTTTTGATACATGAAGGTTGACATCAACAGCATTCTGGCCCCCACATTGGTGACTTTCGGACGTGATCTGAACATGCCTGCCTCGACAGAAATGCTCACTGTGATATGAAAATGCCTACTTTGAAGGATGGAACACAATGAACACATGACTTGCTATTTGTGACAGTGACATTGTGCTCCTTGCGGTGTTGCTACTCAGTCTCGATCACGCACAACAGGAGCCTATACACACTCGGCAACTAATAGCAACATAGGAGTGACCACGCACACAACCGTGATCTTAATACAGTTCTCCCAGCATCTCATAAAACAGCAATGAATTAACTAGTGATAACCATTCTTTGAATTCTATCTGAGATAAAATTCTGAAGGAGTACTGTAGCCTAGCTACCACTACAATTATTCAATTCCAATTCACTAATATATAAGACATGTAAACTCCATTCTATCTAGAGGTACCTTTAGATAGGCTGATATTGTCAGTTGATTTTGTTTATAGCTCAAACCCCACACATAATATAATATTTCATATTTTAAAGACAGTGACATGACTGAGCATGTGGTGTTTTCCAGATGGTTTAAGCAGCAATTTTAATTAGTTTGGAAGTGATTCAGAATTGAATTATTGTACAAGCTTTTTTTTCTCTTTCATTTTAACAAGATAACATTATTAAAAATTGATGATTTTTCACTTATGTAAATAAAGTAATTTTTTGGAAGAATTCCATTAAGTTTTCTTAAAAATTTACTATTTTGACAATGATTGGAGCATTATAGTTGGTCTGGCACAGCAGAAGCTGCTATCTCACAATTATTTCATTTCAAAAGAAGTTAATTTTTTTTATAAAAATGTTACATAATGAAATATTTAGTTAATATAAAAAAAGAGGACAAAGGTCGAATAAATTCTCAAGAAAAATTAAAATATTAATATTTTTCTACTTCAAAATGCTATCTAATGCTATAATGAGAAGTCTTAAAATGGAGTGAGTAACAGAGTAGATAATAACACAAATAAAAGTATTTGCATAACTGTACATCTTATTACATGTGAGATATTTGGTTGCATATTAGCTTAATTAACAATAATAAATTATACATTAAGAAAATTAAGAAAATAATAAAATATACACTAAAAGTCAAAATTTTTAAAAATATGAATTTTAAAAAATCATTCAAAAATATGAGATAAAAAATCTTTTTTTACATACAGAAACATATTTTACCTCTGTCAGTGGGATATTATAAACAGTAGAATCATTAACTTTTTCTTTCAAGTTCTTGTAAAGAGAATCAATTTTGGCATTAACTAACTTATGCTGTTCCTAAAAAAGATGCAAATATTAAAAATTTTTAATACCATATGATATTTACACACAAATATCGTGAAGTAACCAACAAATATTCCCATTATCAAAAATTACAGAAAACAAATTAACTTCGAATTTTTTTTTTGCAGTATTATAACTGTACCAACAATATTTATAAAACTATTAAAAACATATTAAATTTGGAGTAAGACAATAAAAACAAAGCCATCATTAGGCTTAGAGGATGCACAGACAAAACATTTTAAAAGGCATTTTGAATATTATGTTTCTAAGAAGATAGGAGAGTTGAACCACACATTAAGTTTTCATCTGAAACTATGGAAATAAGTTTGTTTTTAAAAAATCAGAAAAAATTCGCACAAACTAGTTATTTATTTTAAATTTTGCTTCCAAAAATTATACTAGTGTCTAATTTTTGTCAATGATATAAAGTGCAAAATCTTCTGAAATGGGGAATTTCATACTGAATTAATTATCAAAAAAGCTTTAAATTTATCTTACTTTCTAATTCTATTAATCAGATTTCCATAAAATTTTTTTGAAAAACAAGTAGACCACGGGCTGTAGAAGTCATATTTAAGTTATCAAATAAAATGAAGTTAGAAAGAAAGTTTTTATTTTATTTCAAAAAAAGTAAAATTTTCCTAATTATTAAAAATACTTTTCCTTGAATATATTACTGGTGCAGGAATGCCTTTGGCAAATACCCTACTTGTCCTATCCTTACAAAGTCTCAGAATAAAATCATTCGATACAGCAGAATGGTATAAATTTTATAATCCAAAAACTTATATGGTGTTCTATTCAAAACTTTTAAAGTAATATTTTTCAAAGAGAAGAAAAAAAAAACATAAGCAATATTCTAGTATTAAATATATGATCTTAATATCCTAAAAGGGGAATTTTTCGTTAAAATTCAAATTACAATAACCAATATTCGTCAGCTTACAAAGAAGTAAGGAAGTTTTATATAAAAATTGTAAAAATCAATAATATTTTCTAAAAAATAAACACAACAGTTGTAATCTTAAAAACGTTTTACGTTAAATCACAACGAACTATAAAATATATGATATCAAAAGAGCTTTGATTAGAGATGGATTGAAATGCATAAATTAAAAAATACCCTTACATTTAAATTTTTGTCTTCTTTTTGCCATTGAGACATTTGAGAGAAACACGTTGAAGCTAAATTCCTTGTGGTGTCAATTCTATGTTTCAAATCTTCTAAACTTTTTGAAACTTGTTGTTGTGCAGTAATTGGAATGGCATCTGTTATCATTACTGTGAAATCTTCAATATTTGAAACCTGTTGTTGCACAACTAATAGCTCATTTTCAATTTTCTAAATAACACACAAATGTGAAAATTTTAAATAAATTAATTTTCTGTACAATTGATAAAGTTGAAACAAATGTATGAAACAAACTAAACAAACCTTGTATTCAATAGAACATTCTTCACTAGACGATTCAGATATATTAAGTATCCAAACTTCTAAATGTTCAACCCATTGATGTAACACATGAATAATCTGAAGAAAATGACTTCCTATTGCAACACTTTGCTCTGAATCTTTAGACTCCAAGATGAGTTGTAATTCTTCAATCATTCGTGATATGTTCTGCATAAAAACATCTTTTTCAGAATCAACGTATGGTAAATAAGAAATGATTGGTAAAGGTGGGGAGAAATTTGCCTGGAATCAAAACAAAAAGAAAACTAAGCAAGGGTTTACAAAAATAGCAACAGAAAAAAAAATATATACAAACAAAAAGCAAAATAAAATAAATAGTATTGAATAAGCATTTTTAGCAAAATTTATCATAGGAATGGAATAAGCTTGAATTTGAAGCAAAATTCTTTGGTTAATAGAAGGATTAACATGACCTCAAATTGGAAAAAAAAAAGTGATTCATACAATTCTTGACAAAGTAATAACTAGAATTATTAACGCATGCTTCTCAATTTGCATTAACTTAAATTTAAAAACTTTTTAAAAAAGGAACGACATGCAAATTTTTAATTGCATACTTTTAACAGTTCTAGATACAGTTATGTAAATTTTACAGTATATCAATAAAGAAAATTTTAAACAATAGCAAAACCTTAATCAATCAAAAAGTAAAATTTTATATTTGGAGTATTAATTTCAAAAGATGGAGGGAGATTAGGGTAGATATTACCCTTGAATTAAGGTGCATAAAAATCTGCTCACTATTTTGTAATACCACACATATTTTTTTCTTTTATTGCAGTAAAAAATTTTTTGACATTGAACACTTATTATGCATTTTTTCTTCTTTTTACAAAAAGGAATGATATGCAAATGTAAAATTGCATATTCTAACATAAAGATAAAATAAAAAAAGATCAAGATAAAATTTGCAAATTATAACAACATTCACAGAAAGCCAATTTACTTACATTAACAAGCATGATTTTATACTTTGTGTGAATTTCATTTCTACCTTTGTAAATGTTTACAGGTCTAATTCAAGCTTAGTTTGACACATATGCTGAGAAATTACACTTTTGAATAATTTTTCAGTTTTATAAGCTAATATCTATTAATGATAAAAAGTAGGTAGGTACTTTATTTATGTTGCTCTATAGCGGCACAATGCATTACTGGCGACATCTCTGAAGATGATCCGAAGACATGCCATCACAACTTTATGAAGTCACTTCCTCAATTTAGACATAGATCTAAGGAAATTTTTTTCAGATCCACATTCTTATGGTACTGCTCAACGATAACAGGACTCTTGAGCCCACAGTTTTACGAGCAAGTATATCACATGTAGTTCGTTGGTGTTATCCAAGTCGGTGATCGAACTCCGACCCCTCGGGACAGGAATCCTATTCTGTAACCACTGAGCTACCATGGATCATTAACTATGTAAAATTGTATATTCATGTATATTATAAGTAACTATGTATTTTGAATGTAAAATTGTATCTCATGGTACTTCTTTTGTAAGCAAAGTGAAAGTATAATGGAAACAGATAATGCTCCAGAATGGAAATAGTCTCATTAACCGAATATATATATATATATATATATGATTGAGAATTGTAAATTATTGTGAATTATAACTTTATTATGAATTGTGNAAAATTAACCAGAGAAGTTTTTAAAACAGCATACAATTTTAAATATATGTATAGAGAGAAGATACCTCTAAGAGAGATTCTGATTGAACTGGATGTTTTTCTTCTGTTCCAAACCATGATAACATATGAAAGTCAGCCAATTTGTCAGTTGAAAGAATCAGATTTGCATCGTTTTCATTTGAGTTCAACAATGCATGATTACTACTTACATCTATTAAAATATTAGCCTGAAAATGTAATAAAATGATAAGTAAAACTAAAATTTAAATGAGAAATTATTAATTACATAAATTCAAGTTTTCTAACTAGTTCTGGAAAATTGCTTTAAATAACTGAGCAGGTTTGCATCAAATTTTTTGAGCAACATTATTATTGAACAACAAAGAATAAACTGGTATTTTTAAAAAAGTGAGAGGGCATTATAAATCTTATGAAGAATTTTTTACAAGTTAAAATTAGCAGAATAGAAAAAATTATGAAATTTACAAAAATTATGGAATTAACAAAAAATTATGAAATTTAAATAAATTATTAAACAGTTTCTCACCATGTTAGAAATTTTTTTTGAGATAGTCATATTGCATTCAGTGTTTTCATTATTCAATTCTGAAGAATCATTTAAATATTTTTGAAGATCAACATTTTTTCTGTGAAAACTTCTGGCAATATCTGAACCCTAAAATAACATAAAAATAGCTTTATTATGGAATTATTAATTACAGAAATTATTTGTTGATAATAAAAGTTATTACTGATACCGAAAGTAAGTTGAGTTTCAATATTATAATCAACTTTTGGGGATTTTAACAAATATTAATTTAACAGCACATACATATCACTCTAAATCTAATGTTACTAAATGAGAAAGGTTCTTTCTAAAGGAATTCCATAAAAAATAATTTAAAAAAAAGCTGAATTCTATAATTTAAACAATTAAATAATTTCTTGGAATATTTCTAAGAGAGTTTCCTCTGCAAAAGGGACTAATTTTTAATAACTGAGGCATCTGCATGCCAATAGTGAAAAGTCAAGAAAAATGGTGTTAAGTAAAAGTCTATAGGATTATAGTGTCGAATTTCTTGTGCTAAAAATATCTTTACAACTCCATTTTAGGCTTTTTACTGCAAGGATTATGTTACGATGAAATAAGAGGGTGTTTTTGACAAACATTGACAAATTTTGTCACTGTAACTGTGAGAGTTACACAATGACATTACAACATTCTTGAGGGCATAGATCATAATACTTATGTAAAAAAAAATTCCGTTCACTCAAATGGTATGCTCTCCAGGTTATATGCAGGCAAAGTTATTTTGTAATACTTATATATACACACATACATATTTATATAATAAATGCATATATATATATATATATATTGATATAGAGCTTACCTGAACTATTTGTTGGGAAGAACTCCTTGATAAACCTTCAGCAAAAGAAGTAGAGGCATCAGATGAGACCTCTGTCATTTGATTATTAGAATAAATTTCTAAATTACTTGTTGGTGATTTATTGAGCTGGTCTTTGTTAATATTACTGGAATTATCTGAAGACTCCTGCTTATTTGCTGACACATTATTTTTATCGATTGCCTTCTTTTTCCTATCTCGCCTTCTTTTTTTAGTTTTGGAATCATTGGTCTCATTCTTCGGTTGATTGTCCATTAAGTCATTACTGAACTCCTTAGATGCTTTCAGTGTCTGCTGGATATCATCTGCTACACTTTCAAGTACTTGAAATCCCTCATTGTTTTGAATAACTTCTTCACAAGAAGGAACATTAGTTTTGAATTGTTCACGTGCATTTTTTAAACTGTCAGATACAACACTTTCATGCAAGTAGTGATCTAAATCTTTTACATCAGAAATTTCTTTCTCGTTTCTTTCAGCAGTAGTAACTTTCGAAACAGGCAAAGAATCTATTTGAGATATTTCTTCTGATACATTGTCAACAACTGCATTGAATTTAAGTGGTGTTTGTGAAAGACAATTATCAGTCACTGAATCTTTCATTGAAGAAATTTCTGATTGCTCTACAGCAGGAAGAACTTCTGCAGCATCTATTTGAGATATTTTTTCTGATACATTGTCAACAACTGCATCGAATTTAAGTGGTGTTTGTGAAAGACAAGTATCAGTCACTGAATCTTTCATTGAAAAAATTTCTGATTGCTCTATAGCAGGGAAAATTTCTGCAGCATCTATTTGAGATATTTTTTCTGATACATTGTCAACAACTGCATCGGATTTAAGAGGTGTTTGTGAAAGACAAGTATCAGTCACTGAATCTTTCATTGAAAAAATTTCTGATTGCTCTATAGCAGGGAAAATTTCTGCAGCATCTATTTGAGATATTTTTTCTGATACATTGTCAACAACTGCATCGGATTTAAGAGGTGTTTGTGAAAGACAAGTATCAGTCACTGAATCTTTCATTGAAAAAATTTCTGATTGCTCTATAGCAGGGAAAATTTCTGCAGCATCTATTTGAGATATTTTTTCTGATACATTGTCAACAACTGCATCGGATTTAAGAGGTGTTTGTGAAAGACAAGTATCAGTCACTGAATCTTTCATTGAAGAAATTTCTGATTGCTCTACAGCAGGAAGAGCTTCTGCAGCATCTTCAATACTTGCAAAAAGTTTTACTTCAGTTTCTACTTTAGTCATCTCAGTAACAGGAGATGTAATAATAGTTTGTGACAAATTTAATTCAGTTATTCTAATATTACTGAGAACACCAGAATCAGTTTCAATCTTAGTTTCTTCTATCATTTCAGTAATTGATTTCTCATTTACATCATCATTTTCTAAAGTTTCAGACAGCAATGGAATTTTAACTTTCTCTTTCTCCAAAGCTGCAACATTAATAGCTTCAACGCCAGAGTGTGGAATGTTTTCTTGTATAGCAATCTTATTCAAGTCAGCAGTTGAAATTAAATTATGTTTACCCTGAACTTCCTTTATTTCACTAGTTCCACTCATAATACATAGATCTGCAACTTTTTCTGATTCTTCTCCTATTGCATCACAAATAGGAACATCAGAATGAATTATATTCTGTTGCATTATAGTTTCTCCTGATGATCTGCCATAGGTATTAACAGAACCGTCACTTATAACAAGTTCAGATTGCTCTCTCACATTACTTTCCTCAATATCTTGAATATTAGGATCTGAAGTTGTAATTTGGTTCTGTTCCTTTCTTTCTTCACCTGATGTTTCAAAAATGTGAGAGTTCATGTCTTTATTAGACTCTTTTTTAAGAACATCACTGATGGTAATGTCAGAATGAATTTCACTCTGTGGCATTCCACTTTCTCCTGATAATCTGTCATGGGTTTCAACAGAACCACCACTTATTTCAAGTTCACATTGCTCTCCGACAGTAACTTTTCCACCGTCTTTATCAGACACTTTATTAGGAATATCACTGATGGGAATGTCAGAATGAATTTCACTCTGTTGCATTCTACTTTCTCCTGATAATCTGTCATAAGTTTCAACAAAACTATTACTTTCTTGAATATCATGAATATTAGGATCTGAAGTTGTAATTTTCTTTTGCTCCTTTATTACTTCATCTGATGTTTCAATAATGCAAGAGTTTATATCTTTATCAGACTCTTTTTTAAGAACATCACTGATGGTAATGTCAGAATGAATTTCACACTGTGGCATTCTACTTTCTCCTGTTAATCTGTCATAGGTTTCAACAGAACCACCACTTATTGCAAGTTCACGTTGCTCTCCGACAGTAACTTTTTCACCATCTTTATCAGACTCTTTTTTAAGAACATCACTGATGGGAATATCAGAATGAATTTCACTCTGTTGCATACTACTTTCTCCTGATAATCTGTCATAAGTTTCAACAGGACCATCACTTTCTTCAATATCATGAATATTAAGATCTGAAATTGTAATTTTGTTTTGTTCCTTTATTTCTTCACCCGATGTTTCAATAATGCCGGAGTTTATATCTTTATCAGTAACTTCTTTAAGAACATCACTGATGAGAATGTCAGAATGAATTTTACTCTGTTGCATTCTATGTTCTCCCATTAATCTGTCATAAGTTTCAACAGAACCATCACTTTCTTCAATATCACGAATATTAGGATCTGAAGTTGTAATTTTGTTTTGTTCCTTTATTTCTCCATCAGACACTTCTTTAAGAACATCACTGATGGGAATGTCAGAATGGATTTCACTATGTTGCATTCTACTTTCTCCTGATAATCTGTCATAAGTTTCAAGAGGACCATCACTTTCTTCAATATCATGAATATTAGGATCTGAAATTGTAATTTTGTTCTGTTCCTTTATTTCTTCACCCAATGTTTCAATAATGCGAGAGTTTATATCTTTATCAGTAACTTCTATAAGAACATCACTGATGAGAATGTCAGAATGAATTTCACTCTGTTGCATTCTATGTTCTCCTGTTAATCTGTCATAAGTTTCAACAGAACCATCACTTTCTTCAATTTCATGAATATTAGGATCTGAAGTTGTAATTTCGCTTTGTTCCTTTATTTTTTCATCAGACACTATTTTAAGAACATCACTGATGGGAATGTCAGACTGAATGTCACTTTGTTGCATTCTACTTGCTCCTGATAATCTGTCATAAGTTTCAACAGAACCATCACTTATTGCGAGTTTACATTGCTTTTCGACATCACTTTCTTCAATATCATGAATATTAGGATCTGAAGCTGCAATTTTGTTTTGTTCCTTCATTTCTGCATTTGATGTTTCAATAATGCGAGAGTTTATATCTCTATCAGACTCTTCTTTAAGAACATCACTGATGGGACTGTCAGAATAAATTTCACTCTGGACAAGAAATTCTGAAAATGGTTTTTCTTTCTTATTTTTACCTGCTTCATTTTCAGAGAGATCTTCACGCAATGAGAGGTTATGATGTTCCTCAACATCTATTTCACCAGCATTGCAGAAATTAGAAGAAGCATTTGTAATTTGTTCATGTTCTTTTTCATCCGATTCAGTCTCTCTAATATCTGATGTTATATCTTTTTCTGAGCTCTCTTTTAATGCATCACACATGGAAACATCAAGATGAATTACACTCGGCTGCATGATGTCTTGGAATTGTTTTTCTTTTTTCATGGTATCTGTTTTACTGTCAGTTAGATCTTCAACAACTGAAAGGTTAGAATACTTTTCGACATTGATTTCATTACTATCAGGAAAATCAGAAACAATATGTTCATATTCTTTTTTCTCATTATCTTTTTCAAGTTCCTCTCCCAATACATCAGAATGAATTATGCTTTTCTGCATAAGGATTTCAGGATATTGCTTGTCCTCTAGAGCTTCTTCAACACCTGCAAAAGCAGAAATTGGTTCTGCATCGTGAGATGCTAATAAGTTATCTTTTTGTTGGTCATTGATTAAACTTTCATCACCCATATACATCGTTTCAGAATTTTCATTTTCTTTTTTACAAACAGTTTTAAAATTAGAATCTAAACTTTGCTCAGAATTTTCATCAACAAGTATTTTTTCAGTATTTTTAAAATCTAAATCAGTTTTGGATGAATCAATATATTTTTCATTAAAGATTTCCTCCTGATTAGAAAACAAGCTAGAATTTTCCGATAAATCACTACTCAAGAAAACCACATTTTCTTTTGCCAATGTGGAAGATTTAAATTCTTCTGAATAATTCTTAGAAGTCCTTAAAGTAGAAGGAGGGGTTTTATGTAAAATTTGTTCCTCTGAAATTTCTTTGTCCAAAGCTGTTGAATCGCTTTCATTATTTTCAATTTTTCTTATGTTGTTATTAGAATTTAAATCAATCTTAATGTTTTCAGGTGAGACACCTTTTTCAGAAATTTCATCTGAAATAAACTCATTATCTATTTGACTCATTAATAAAGTATTCTCACTGACAGTGGTTTCCAATATTGGCAAAGGTGAATCAATATTGTCATTAGAGTCTTTGCTGCTTTCAGAAAAACTGCCGCATTCTATATTTCGTTCATCCTTTAATAAAGAACTTTTTAATTCAGTCTCACCATCACCTGGAAATATATCAACTCTATTTTTAATGCATTTTTTATCATGATCTTCAAACTTTTTAAATGAGGATTTTTCCATTTCATGATTAACATTGCTATCATCCACAAAAACACTTTGGGTTTTTGAAGTAGGATCTGATGAAATCTGTTTTTCTATTTTAGTAGGTAATGAAGAAATTTCATTACTAACGTCTTTCACATTATCTGCCACTTTCTCAAATATGGGTTCTTGTATTTTAGAAGCTATTTCAGACACTGATCTTTCAGAACAGTCTTTCGAAATAGTTAAGTCATTTATGCTAGAATCGGAGGGACTTTTTGATGTAGCATTTGAAACCTTCAAAATGCTTGATGTAGCCTGGTATTCCAATTCTATGGGCTCAGCAGAGATTTCAGTCTTAATCAATAACATATTATCAGCACTATCAGTTAAATCACAAATCAGTGGTGTTTCTTTGGTGTCATCTGTCATGCTATTTAAGTTTTCATTTTTTGTTTCTATTCTATCCACATTAAAAGAACTAGAAAATATAGACTCCTTAGAAATGTTTTCTGAAGTAATTACATTTTTTATGGAGGCAGATTCCGCAGGATTTTCCAAGATAGGCTCTTGGCAAACATTTTCAGTTTTAAGCACCTTTTCAGGAAAAGATTTACCCGATTCTTCAATATTTGGTAAGTCTTTTTCTTGCTCGGAAGTAATAATTTGCATCTCAGTACCATTGACATCCTCTAATTTATTTTTGTCTAATTGTTTATTTGCACTTTGAACTGATATGATTATTGTATCAGTAGGAGACGAGAGGTTTTCATATTTTGATGATATTTGAGGTATCTGATTTTCTGTAGTGCCAATTACTGGTTCTACTTTGTTAACAGATTTGTTGAGAGAATTTTTGTCCATGGAAACCATATTTTGCTCTTCAGGTAAAAGAGTTTCTCCATAAATACTTTTTCTGCTTATTGGTGCATTTTCAATTTTGCAATCGGGAATTACTTCCTTTTTCTTATTCTTCCTAGATTTTTTAGTCTTTGGCAAGTTCATTTCCTGCCTAGAATTAGATTTGTCAAAATGTTTTGATTCAGAAAACGTGTCACTAGAATTTTCACAACTGTCTGTCTTAACCAATACATTATCAGAACCACTCTGAAACTCAAATTCCTCCTTAAATGACGAAATACTATGATGCGAACCAGAATTAGATTGGGTTTCAGTTTTACTTGAAGATGCAACAGGTTTTTCTTCAGAGGGAAAAATTTCCGATGGTTCTGTTTCTGAAATGAGTTGTGTATCAGATTCTTCTATACTTGGATCTTTTTTATTCTTTTTCTTTTTCCGTTTTTGTTTCTTTTTATTGGCAATTGAGCTGCCACTCGATTCAATAACAGGAGAATCTTTAATATCCATTTTAACAGCAGAGTCTATGATATTGGTAATAACTTTCTGATTCAGATCAATATCAGGATTTTTAAATGCTGTACTACTTAGATCTTGATTAGAATCGAATTGTGCTTTTTCAATTGGAATAGAATCAGTTGGTGCCTTATTAGATTCTTCTAGGTTTCCAATAACGTCATGATTTTGTGGGATTTCACCTTTTATGTTCACGGCTATGTTTTTATTTGAAAGATCATCACCTGATTCATTTATGTGTTTAGTTGCATCTTCTGCAGGTACAGAAAATTTAACTTCAGCTACTACATTTGAAGATTGGAAGAAGAAAAATGGAGAGTTTTCATCAAGAGGGACTGGCTTACATTCAAGCACAGGTGTATAATTAAGACATTGGTCTGATAGTATTGATCCAATTTCTTTTTCATTTTGAAGTCTTTTACTTACTTGGCTATTTCTATCTGTATCTGTCAACAGAACAGCACAAGCTACTTCAGGCACAACGGAGGTTTCCAAGGGCAACACTCTGTTACAATTACTATCAATTTCATCTTTTGCAATAGACTTTTCGTGGGTTGGAATGTTTTCTGATGCTGATGTTTTAGATTTTTTTCTTTTATGCCTTTTGGACTTAGGCTTAGTAGAATCTTGGTTAATGGAAAGATTTTCAATCACAGTGTTGTCTTTTATTGGTACAGTTTCGATCAACATTTTGTTATTTTCACCAAAGTAATTTGTTTCTGGTATTTTTATTTCTGTTATACTTTCAAATTCATCATAAGATTGTAATTTTTCTGCTGCAGCAATTCTGGCTTGACTAGTTCCTGAATCACTGATATTCTGTGTTATATTATTACTAGGTTCATATTTTTGGTTGCTAGGTAAGTTTATTTCGTCACTGACTGTAACGCTATTAGTTTCAGATATAGATAGATTCAGGATTTCATCTGCAGATATTGCAGAACTTATTTCTTCCTCTTTAAACTCAATACTGAATTTGGGTTCAGGTTTTTCAACACCTACAGTATCATTTTCTGAGATGATGGATCTTTCAGTAAAAGAAAGGCAAGTATCAGGAATACTCTTTTTTAGCAATGCAGTGTGATCAGCATCAGGTGCTTTACTATCAATGACTTTTTCAAGTTTATCCTGTTTTGTTAATTGAACAGTATTAGTTTGCTTCTGTGGTATTTCAAATTCTTCGCTTAGAACATTTCCCGAGCTCTTATACTGAACTTCTTCTTCGTGGCTAACTCTGTGGAGTTCTTTTGTGGGTTCAAGCTTTTTTATATCTGCACATTCTTCTAAAACTAGCCCATCCTTTGAAATATTTAAGTCACCTTTATTTGTCGATTGTGAAGATTTCTTCTTGTTTTTCTTAGCTTTTCCTTTCGTGATAGTTTCCATGCGATTATTTAATGATTTTTCTGAAATATTAGAAGGTTTATTCTTTTCAATTTGAATTCCTGAGTTAGGAATATCATCATTTGGGTTAGAGTTCTCAAAGTTCTGAGAATGAAATATTTTGTCAGTTTGCTTAACATTTAAAGATATTAGTGGAGAACCAGTTATTTCACCAGTCAGATTACTATCAAAAGGTATTTTTGATTGATCTAATTCCGTAGTAACCTTTTGAGTCATCATTACATTTTCATTTTGAGATGAGTCAGATTGTATTATTTTTTCAGGGGCACACACATTACTCTTTTTATTTATTTTTTTCTTAGATATTTTCCTTTTCAAGTCTGAGTTTTTATTTTCAACTAAATGCTGTGAGGAGACAAATGAATCCATATTTCTATCTTTTTGAGAGGGAATAATTAAATCATTATTGTCTAAGGAATTACTTTGATAAGATTTGTCAACTGGTACAGATGTTTCAGACACATTAGCTTCAGATATTTGTAAGATGTTAGGATCAACAAATTTGCTTGAATTTGCAGATATTGCACTAGAAGACAAAACTGTTTTACTAAGAGTCATTTTTTGTGCTTTAACAGTGACTGTAGATTGCACTTCTTTCTGAATCGACACACTTTGATAACTTTGAGTTTTTGTAGATGAATGGGCGCTCTTTTTACTGATTTCAGTTGTTGATTTTGTTTCAAAAGTGGAGTGACTTTTGATAGTTTTTATAGCTTGTTGAGTAAAGGAAGAAGTAGTAGCTGATGATAGCTGACGCATCTCATTATCTGACTTCTTGGATGAAGAAACTTGCTGCAAGTTTTGAGAAGAAAAAGAACTTTTTACACTTTGTTTGGATTCACTGACTATAGCTTGCTTAGTTATTTTAACAGTATCCGTATCTGCTGCAATATTTGGAACTAAATCCTTTGATGCTAAACATATTTCATCATCTGTCTTCGTAGCAGAAGAGACTTGATTTAAGTTTTGAGAAGGAAAAGAACCTTTTACACTTTGTTTGGATTCAGTAACTATAGCCTGCTGAGTTAGTTTAACTGTGTTCATATCTGCTGCAACATTTGGAGCTAGATCTTTTGATGCTAAACATATTTCATTATCTGACTTGTTGACAGAAGAAACTTGATTTAAGTTTTGAGAAGAAAAAGAACTTTTGATACTTTGTTTGGATTCAGTGACTGTAGCCTGTTGAGTTATTTTAACTGTGTCCATATCTGCTGCAAAANAAAAGAACCTTTTACACTTTGTTTGGATTCAGTAACTATAGCCTGCTGAGTTAGTTTAACTGTGTCCATATCTGTTGCTACATTTGGAGCTAGATCTTTTGATGCTAAACATATTTCATCATCTGTCTTCTTAGCAGAAGAGACTTGATTTAAGTTCTGAGAAGGAAAAGAACTTTTTACACTTTGTTTGGATTCACTGACTATAGCCTGCTTAGTTATTTTAACAGTATCCATATCTGCTGCAACATTTGGAGCTAAATCTCTTGATGCTAAACATATTTCATTATCTGACTTGTTGACAGAAGAAACTTGATTTAAGTTTTGAGAAGAAAAAGAACTTTTGATACTTTGTTTGAATTCAGTGACTGTAGCCTGCTGAGTTATTTTAACGGTGTTCATATCTGCTGCAAAACTTAGAGCTAGATCTTTTGATGCTGATCTCTCTAATTTAGGAACTAAAACAGAACTTGAGCCGGCTTCCTTTTTAACAAGAATAGTACGGTCAACAGATTTTGAAGCTGGAGAATCAGATGTAGTATCCTCTATGTCGGGACTAGATATCCCAGATTGAATTCCACATGTAGCATTTTTTACTGGACAACTTTCAATATCTTTGTTAGGAAAATACATGCTGGGATTTGTGATGTTCACCTAAAAAATAAAAAATAATAAATAAAAAGGTAGGACATACATTTTCTTTCAATAAACACAGTAAAAATAAATTTACAGTAACATTTCGTAAAGGCTATTACTGTTTTTAAAAACCTTAGTGAATATTCTTCCGGTCCACAATGATAATTTATTGATACAGTTAGTGTCAGTTATTAAAAAGTTTCAACCCTAAGTCTTAACTTTCTAACTTGAAGAGCTTGTCAAAAGCACAATTAGTTTTTTATACGTTTGCGTATCATATAATAGTATCAATCTTGCTTGGGAAGCTAACATCAAGTTAGCCATTGAATCTGGATACCCTATAGTAATTGGTATTTCAGAACCAAAAGAATACAAATACAGAAAAAAATAGCTCTAAACTTATAAAATTTATTGAATCATGAAATTTTTAATCTAAAATGAAACAACAGATAAAACTAACTCTCAAAATTAGAAGAACGGGATAAAGACTGGATTTACTTATCTTTGTACAGATCATAAAATGTTTAGCTGATTAAAGATTATAAAAAGGTCCAATTATTTTTTATTTATGATGTAAGTTAAATAATGAAAATTTAATAATAGTAATTATTTTAAATAAAGCAAAACAATATTAACAAAATACATGCAATTCTATTTAACTTTTAAACATCTCAATTAAAACATTATTTAGTAAATTAATTTTTATTACTTTCAAAAGAGAAGTATTTAATGAATACTATACAGTGCAAATTTTCAGCTTATTCATATATTTTGAGAAATAAAAAAAAAGTTCAAATTAACTTTATTATCAATTATCCTTTGATGTGGTTACTTTATAGAAGAAGAAAAAAGCTTTTACACAAATATTTTAATGCAATTCATAATGTAATGTTGCAGCATGCAAGTTGTAGTATAAAGCAAAACATATAATGCATACATAATACACACATGTTTTTGAAAAAAAATTTATATTATGTTAAAGACAACACTTCAAAACAGGCTAGAATTTTTGCAAAGTTTAAAAGCCACACTTTTATTCTGAATTATCAAGCAAATAAGAACTAATACATCTAGAAAATATTAATAATGAATTTTAAAAAAAATTGTTTGGTTGCTTTATGAATTGAGAGTACATGAAATGGGCATGCCATAAATTTTAAATAACTATCTGAGATTTTGATAAGGAAATTTTTAATGCTTTATTATCTGCATTACATACAACACTATTAAGTTTAAAAATAGTTCTTTCAATGAAGACAGCATGCTTTGTTAAGAGCTTCAAACAAATTCCAAATAATGTCATAATATTATTAGTAAAACAATCCAAAAATGTTAGATGTCATCAAGCTAAATACTAGGGAAATAAACCTTTGATATTTGTTTGGCTTTATCATTGCTTGACGAACGCTCTGAGACATGTAAGCCTTCTTCCTCCACCGATTGATCAACTTGATCATAAGATTTATAAAATATATTTTGACAGTCAGAAAAGGTTTTAGAAGAATAAGAGGTAGTTTGTGTAAGAATGAATGGAATGAGAGAAAAACTTGAATCATCTGTAACAATGAGTGGGAAAGGATATAAATCTAAAAATTTCAGCTTAGATTTCTTTTTCTTTGATTTTAAAGATAAGAAAGAATAATCCAGCATTTTACAATGCTTAGAAATCACTGTTAATTTAGCATCAAAATAATTATTTTTTTGAATAAAGGGCAAACCTACAATAGTGTCAGTAAAAAAACAAGCTTTCCTACCATTAAATATGTCACATATGGAGCTACTATTTTTCTCCCAATTAGTCATTAAGTATGATAAGTAATTTTCACTCTTAACACAGTAAGTTATTTTAATATTTTTACAAGACAAACACATTAAGACAACATCTCCGATATCTGTATTTAACGATTCCCACTCATCAATATGAGGGCAAGAATTTAGGAAAATGTTAAATTGTTTGATCAAAGTAATACAATTTTTAAGGCATAGCAACTCCAAAAGTAAAGCTTTGGCTTCTTTGAATGTGCTATTAAGCTGCTTATCAGCAATAGTGAATGTGCAAACAATAAATGTTTCCACATTATTCTCTGTTTTTTGCGTAACTTTGAAGAGTTCACAAAAAAGAGGATGATGGTAATTCATGCCCCTGCTCAGCAGATGTGTTCTAAGCACATCCTCCCCAGGTCTGAGCAGAGGCCTAATCAAGTTTTTTTGGTTCTGTTCCGTAGTTTTAGCTAAAAAATGCTCAGATTCATTATTCATCCCTCCATCTTTCGATGAAGAATTTAACTTCGGACGATTTCTGTTGTCGGAATTAATCTCTAAAAAAGACTTTTGGTGAGGGTCAGAACTTGCATTGCCCTGATCTGGCGGCTTTGTAGGAATGCTACCAAAGGAATGTTGTGTTTGACTAGAAGTGGGTTTAGGAGAAGGACATTGAGATCCATCGATCACAGGACTGCTTATGCGGGCAACTTGAGCATAAGTCAGTTTTCGAGATTCGGGTGGTGATGCACAAAATGATTTAGTTTCAATTTGGCTGTGAGAAGACTCAGTTTGAGTCACATGTTGCTCACCACCCGAATAAACAACTGTTTTTGAAACAGATGTGGATGATACACGAGATTCAGTAAATTCTTTTAGGTTAGATGGCGAGGGTGTTCTAGTTTTTAAGTCAAAAAATTTGGGAGACGCACTGCGGGCAAAATGTTTTCCGATAGGGCTCATGGGAATTAAATTTTTATCTCTAGAAAGTTCAGGAGATTCTGGAATTTCAATAATCGGTTCAGAAGCTATTTGATAGGATAATGATTTAAAAGCAGATGATTCAAGTTTTTCAGAAGACGTTACACCTTCGTCCATATCTATGATTTCTTTTTGGTAAGACGAAGTTCTGACTGTATTATCTGAATCATTACCAGGTGGGGATGGTGAACGTGGTACTGGGCTTGCCCTTCCTGACAAAATGTCAGCATAAGAAGGTTTGGAAAGAAAACCTGAAGCCCAAGAAGAGCCTTCAAGAGGAGAAGTGCTCCTAACAGATCTCAATGAATCAGAAGTCTTATCTTGACTGTCATAATGTTTTACTTCTTGAGTTTTGGGGGTACTTTTTACAATTTTACTTGCGGTTTGAGTAGTAGTTTCTTTAATTGTTGAAAAAGATTCAGTTGTTTCGATCGCCTCCAGAGACTTAGGTTTCAAAATAGAAAAATCTTTTCTAGATGTTTGAGGAGAAGCATTATCAACATGATCTTTAATTTTTGTGGTGCTCTTGGTTGCATTTTTTTCACCCATTTTTTGAGATGAAAAAGTGGGTGTAAACGACCTTGGAACTGGACTGCTTATAGGGCTTGAAGTCACTGCAGCGTAACTTAGTTTAAAATCTGCAGGTGAAGCCGGTGATTGCGAATGCCTGACATATTTTTCTGTTCTAGTTGAGTTTTGAGATAAAGGACGTCGTTTTACAACGGGGGAAGTATTTAAGGATAATGGGCGACGTCTTATGTCTGGAGAATGAGGGGACTCGGGTGGGATATAGATTTTAGGAGGTGGAGGAAGATAGACAGACATGGGCAGTTGAGTCAATTGAGCTTTGTATGGTTCTTTATCAGGAGTTCTCATTTGATGAATAGTCTTGAGATGATCATGGATAATTTTTATTTGCTTTCCATAGTTCTGGATCTGTTCTGCTAAAGCCTAAATATCACAATTTAAAAGTAAAAAGTAAATACACACAAACCACCATCTGCCTTAAGAATAAAAACTCACTTTTAGAAAAAAAAACACAAACATAAGTAGAATTTTTGGAGTTTTTTAATCCTAATATATTTCTGAATAGTGGCCTTCAAGTTAAATATGAACATTGTAAAAGAGTTCATAAATATATCAGCTAATTAAAAAAAATACAGCACTTTAGAACATATACATGTGAAAAATACAGCATATTTATGTCTATTACCTCGTAAATTTTAAATATTGTGAGACTGATTCCATAAATTGAAGTAGTAATATGAAGCAATTTAAAACTTTAAAAAAGTTATAATAAGCATCTTCGTCTAAACATTTTATATTTTTTGATAAACAAAATAGAAAAGAAAAAAAAGTTCGTAAAAAGTGAATTATGTTAGCTTTAATATTAAACATATTTTTTTCAATTAATTTAAAAATTACTAACATAAAGTACTAACATGCACACTTCAAAGTACTAGAATGAAAGTGAGAAATAAAAGAAGTGAGTGTGAAAAAACAGTGATAAGCCTTTAGAATTCTTATCAGATTTTTTCCCCTAACTGTTTAATTGTGGAACTTAATCAAATTCAAGATGATAAGACTTTGCTATTTCACTGAATCTTATTTTATCTCTCTCCTTCATTATTCAAATGAAGATGCAATGATTAGGAAAGATTTTTTTAAAAATTACTCAATTATGTTAAAAGTAAAAAACATAAGGCAGTATTTAGAAAGAGAAACAAAAACTAATCAATACCTAATTTGGATATATAGTAGCAGTAAAGAAGCATTTTTAGATGTTATAAAAAGTGAAAATATTTTCAATTGCTACTGATAAACAAACTGGCAAAAAATAGAATTAAAGTATTAAGTAATTTAAAATTAAACTGGGTTGAGCTATACAATTTTTAGTGATGAAATTTAAATCTTAAATTATCTTTCATGTATATCTATCTTTGTAGCTGTTCTTACAGTTTTTATTAATTAATACATTTTAATAAATGTTTAGATTTTAATTTTTCCACTAAAGAGTAAAACTTTGTTTTTTACTACATAACATTCTTTTACATTTTAAAAAACAGCTAAATATGATCTAACTGCTTAAGTTTAATGTCTAAAAACAATTAAAATAATTTGGAAAACTAAATACTTTATTAGTCTATGTAAATAAACCTTTTCCAGACTAAACTTCAGAAGAACATTAATAGAATTATAACACTTTTCTTTTTACACAGTAATTTTACAATAACTTAAAAATAAAATCAATAAAATGTTTCCATCTACTGATAAAATTAATAAAGATTATGAATGTATATAAATACTGTAATCAGGTACCTGTTGAAGTTCTTTAATCTTTTCTTTTTCTTCAATATTAATGTTTGGACTAGAAGCCAATTTCAATTGGTGGTTGGCTTGAGACATTCCATGCTTCAGAGCTTGCAAATCTTGCTGATATTGATCTTCTTGAGAAACGCAGACTTGTAAGGTTTCGCAATGTTCTTCTAATTGGGAATGAAGGTTTTCCAACTCTTCTTGAACGCTTTGACCACGAGCTAAGATGTGATGTTGACCACTACACTGGGAACGTAAATGAACTTGCAGCTTTTCAAGAGCCATTAAAACTTTTGTCTTTTGAACTGCCATGTCTGACATCATTTTCTAAAAAAATAAATAAAAAGTAAAATTACCCATTTGGCTGATTCTCAAAAAAATAGGTTTTTTTTCCTTTTACATTCTTCTTTTATATTTCATAATCAACCAATGACATAGCTAAAAACTTTTACTGGGCTGTGAGATATCATTAAATTAAAAATTTTTTTAAAAAATTTACTATTAGTACATATAAATTAAACAATTTTTTAAAAATAAGTTTTAACATAAAAATTAATTCATAAGAAAATAGAAAACAGTGAACTTTTTTTTTCAATCCTAAAAACGTTCTTCAATCCTTCTGAGAGCAAAGCAACTAATAAACCTTGACTAAAAACAACTACTTATAATATCACGGAAATTTGAATGCTTCATAAAGTGCATGCAGTGTGCAAAAATAAGTCAAAATTCATTAGAATTTTTTAAAATGCAAAATCGAATTTACTTTGTTTAGAATAAGCCTCACTTTAAAACATAATTTCGAGAGAAAAAAGTATCAATATTTTGTTAAATAGAACCTTTCTTTCTTTTGAAAAACCGATTTTAGAAATAAAAATTACTCTATTACACCAGTTAAACGAGTATTGGCGTGGCATAATGTAGTATTTTAAATAATATTCAACTCTTTGGAACTTTTACAAATGAAATTATTGGTGAAACTGTGTCCTCCATATACCGGTTTTTTAATGGAAAAGCATATAAATAAAATTGTAATATTTCTTGTTGAGCAACATATAACTTAATAATTAGAACTGCTATATAAAAAAGTTAAGCATAACTATATATGATGTGACCCGTTTCTACCTAAAATATCAAAATAATGTGAAATTAATTTTATTATCCTAAGAATAATCATTGGATAGAAATAAAAACAAGACTGTACTTCTTTTGCTGTTAATTGATCTCGTAAGCTTCGCTTTTTGAAATGAGGAGATTCCAAATTGGATTTCATTTTGTCTGTCCACATAGCAACTTCTTTGATTTTTCTTTCACACTGCTCCCATTCCTCAATCATTTCTTGAAGAAGAGATAACTGTTCTTGAAGCCTACTGTCTGCACTGCTTTCATCCTGTTCAATGTTATCAAGCATGTCAGAGAGATCTCCAGGACTGCAAGCTTCACCGATTTTTTCCAATTTTTTTGACATATTCTTGATATGTATTTGAACTTGTCCAGACTCCTTAGACAGATTCTATATAGATAAAAAAATTTTTAAAGTTATCGTAATAAAAAATCAGAAAGTAATATAGAATGAAATGGATTCATTTCGTAATTTCACAGGTATGAAGAAAAAAATAAAAAGAGGAAAAGCATGAGAAATATATGATAACATGTTATTATTGCATAACCTTATAATAATTCATTTGCCATTTTTTTAAGTTTTAACAAAAGAATTGATGAATTAGATCAATAGGTAATAAAATATAAATGTAACTTAAAATGATGGAATGCAATTAAATAAAGTGTTGATTAAATAAAACTGAATTACCATATTCATATAGAATAAAACAATTCATATTCATAATAGGAAAGACATGGATACCAAATCCAAAAATCTCAATTTAAATGATAAAAGTGAATGATCAGAATTACAGTTTACAGAAATTAATTAGTGAATGATCCCCTAATAAGTCAAAGTAAAACACCCAGCACTTCACCAACCATTATCACTTTTAAGATTAAAATCAATAAGATCACCAGGATTTGATCTCAATCTTAATCAATCAATGAATTTAAAGTTTTATTTGATTATTTCTTATCCATTTTTTAAGTGTTTTATAGAATACTATTGGCAATGTTGTTTATTTTTCATCCTTGAACAAAAGACAAAAAATTTGGAAAATGCTTTTTAAAAAAAGTTAAAAATAGAGGAAAATTATAAAAAGAGTGGAAAATGGTGAATCTCATGTTTGAATTTCATAGAACCACTGGAGGATTTGCTAATTTCTATTTCTAGAAAAATAGACTAAGAAATTAGTTAAAATAAATATTTTACACAAAAAAAAAAAAAAAAANAAAAAAAAAAAAAAAAAAAAAAAAAAAAAAAAAAAAAAAATTAGTAGACTATAATGAAAAAAGGTTAACCTGCAGATCGGAAAGTTTATTTTTAGCATCTTGCAAGGAAAGAATTTCAGAATCTTCAGATAGATAAGAGTCTATTCTTTGAACCCAAGATTGAATAAAACTTTGAGACTCCAAGAACTGACGTAATGCATTGACAGCTTCTTTGAGTTGTGATTCTCTTTCATACAGCCATGATTCAACTTTATTTAGCTGATCTTCTAAGGATGAAATGGAATTGGAAATACTTTGCTTTTCATCCAGATTATTAGTACTTTCAGATATTAATATGCCATTTCTACGAACTGAATCCAATTTCGATTTGACAGGAAGAACTTCAGAAAGTAATATCTGAAAAAAATATAGTTTTAAAAGATATCAAGCAAATTAACAAAAAAAGCATATATATCTCATATCTAACATAAGTATGATTTTTATTAATGATTACAAAATTACTATACAGAAATAACAGAACAAAACAAATATATAAATATCAGAATTCAATGACAAATAAAAAAAAACTAATTCAGATATATGTATTAATTTTAATTTTAGATTACTGCTGAATTAAACTAAAATATTAAATTCATAACAGTTACACCACAGATTTAATTGCTTAAAAATTATTTTTTAGTTATTATGAAAAGATAAAAATAAATTTTTTGTTTTGTTATAAAATGACCATCCAAATTCCGCATTGGTCCCCTGGAGTACCAAGGAATATTTTTTCACATTTCTATCCAGTGATAATATATAAGTGTGCATAATAGTAATCTAGGAAGGACTAGTTGATCATTTATGCTTATAGACATTGCATATTAATTAATAATATATTGCATATTAAATAATATTAATTAACATTGCATATTCAATTAATTAACATATTATATTAATTAATTGCATATTAATTAAAATGCAATTAATGATATGGCATATATGGTGTAACCTCCTGTTATGGACACTCCTTCAAAACGGACGCCTCTTAATAGAGACATATTTTTAATTCCCTGTTATTCTTCTATGGATAAACCATTATGTACATTTGTCACAAACCGGACACTCTCTAAACCGGAAGTGGGCAGTCACCTCTTTCCTGAAACGCTATCTCCTATCTCTTCAAACCAGAGACTATTTTTTCTAAATTTAAAAGCAAAAAACTTTTTCTACTTTGAATTGCAGGAAAAAAAATGCAACTTTTCAACATTTTTAAAGCATGCGAATTTTTTGCCTTATACAGTCAATTCGCTATAACTCGAAGTACGATAACTCGAATATTACTATAACTCGATTTTTTAATGAGGAACCGACCCTCTTATCTTCAATTTCATGTTAATTATTCTCGATTACTCGAATTTTACTACCTTTAACTCGATTTTTTTTGGATCTTATGAAGCAAGAAAAAAAACCTAGGAGCTGATATCTTGTTCCTTCCTTTGCAACACACACACAATGTCTTTCGCACTCTTCATGGAGAAGCTAAAGCTGTCCCTCTTGAAGTAGGTGAACAGTGGTTAAATGAAACGTTACCAAATTTACTTCAAGGATACAGTTTAAATGATGTTTTCAATAGTGATGAAATGGGTTTATTTTTCAAATGTCTTCCAAATAAGACTATGATGTTCAAGGATAAAAACTGCTCAGGGGGTAAAATGAGCAAGGAACGTTTGACTGTCCTAGTTAGAGGAAACGCGCCTGGGACAGAGAAATTGCCCTTACTTGCTATCGGAAAATACCGAAATCCCCGATGTTTCAAGAATGTAAAAACGTATCCTTTGGATTACAAGTCTAACAAAAAGTTTTGGATGATATCGGTATTATTTGAAGACTATGTAAGAAAATTGGATCGGAAATTCTTCGCTAAGAAAAGAAAACGGATACTCTTTATGGATAAATGCACAGCGCATAGTGATCTACCTAATTTGAAAGCAGTAAACTTGCAGTTTCTCCCGCCAAACACAACAGCAAAGTTGCAGCCGATGGACCAGGGTATCATAAAGTGCTTCAAACAGTCTTATCGTAAATGGCTTGTCAGAAAAATGATCTTAAATATTGTAAGCATTTAGAAGATTTGTAATTAATAAGCATTAATTAAATAATCCGACAATATTTTGAAAGTTCAAAACCGAAACTAACAGAAGTCGAATTTCCGATATGTCGAAGTTTTTCGTCAGTCCTATCAGATTCGAGTTATCGCGAATTCACTGTATTACTAAAAATATCGTTAAGCTATTTTACTACTAAAGAATCAATCTTTTTTCTGTAACTTTGTAAAGAAAGAAAATAACATGATACTGCTCATTTGGACAGCATCTTTTGATCTTTTCATCTGGGCGACTCAGGTTATGAGACCTCACAAGCTGAAATGAAGTCTTAAATACTCTCAATGCTTCTTCCCCACTGAAAATATCTTTCATTTTTTCATAAATTTGAGGACTGTATTTAACACAGTTGGGTTAAAAAAAAGAGAACAGAAATATAATCTTTGAGGTGTTTATATAAATGAAACAATTATTCAGACACTTAATAGATGATTAATTGTGAACAGATCAATTCCATAGGTTCTCCTACCTTACAGGTAAGCATTGATTTCTTTTGTTTTCTATGAATCGCAGAAGGTAACCTAATAACTGAAACAGACTTAGGTCTAAAAGCTCTTATTCGGTATCATATGACTAACTTGAATATCTGTGTTAATAAGAAATTTATATTCATTTATTTGTAGGTACATCTAAAATTATGTATTTATATCAAAACTTTTCTTATATATATTTTTTTGAATAGAAAAAAAACATTTTTTAAAGTATAAATAAATATCTTTGTAGATAGTTATTGTAGACTATTTAATTATTTCTACATCATTGAAAATATTCAAAAAACAATTTAAGGTGATAAACTTGGTTATTAGGGTACCCTTCCTGCAAGGAAACGATTTTTTCGGTCCCAGGAATGGCCAGTCACAGAGGTTTCACTGAATATTTATAAAATATTTTTACTACTTCATATGAATATTTATAATTTTTAAAAATAAATCTTACAGTAATGCATTCCAATGCTGGTTCAGGCAACTGTGACTTATCCTGAAGTTGTTCTTGAGCTCTTTTAAGCCACTCTACAACTGCATCTAATGCCTCAGTATAATCTAAGCGAATAGCTCTAGCTTTTCTATAATCTCGTTCCATGTTTTCAAAAGCTGAAGAAGTGGATTCTGATAACAATTCCAAAGAAGAAAGAGCTTTAGTAACAGAATCTGGAATTTCGTATTTCTTTTCACTAAAAGAATTTTTAGTACGAGTAGTTACAGTTTTCACCGTCTCAGTTACTGTGGAAACTTCCTCTTGTATTTCCTATAAGGCATAAAAAGCTTTTTAGTAATTTTAGAGTTCAGCCATAAAATTTAAAAAAAAAAAAGAAAAACTGCAAATAACTGCACATCTAAAATTTATTTTTAAGGCCAGATATGAAATTTGATTGCAGTCTATCAGTTTCTTAAAATGGAAACATTGCATACATTATGCTAGTCAAACTAAGAATTTACTAAATTATTCACATTTAATAATAATGACTAAAAAAACTTTTAATAATAAAAACAAACAAATAATAACATAAATAAAAAGAAAATGGCAACTTTATATTATATTATATATCATATTTCAAAAAAATGTTGCAAAAATTATTGAAACTATTCATTGGTTTTTCTAATGGTAATCTTAATACTTTAAGACCCATATTATAAATATTAGGTTTATATTACAAGTAAGAACTATGAGTTTTTAATTATTATTAATATAAATATTGATTACAATTTTTTTATGTTATCATTTAGGCAGGTTTTTTCAGATTAAATAAAATTAAAGTGTTCGCCAATAAATAAATTTCAATTTTACACCTTTTTATTTCTAATCTATATTATATAAAACGCTAATACGTACATATGTATGTATCAATAAAACTGATGATATTTCTTTCTCGCGCTGGCAACAGTTTTCATTTTTAATTGATAGGATTCGGCGCGCAAACATCTCATTAGATACTAAACATTTAAAATGAATTGATTCATTTGGAGGTAAGCATATATTTGTATCAATTCAATATTTGTATTTATACTTTGCATGTGANTTTAAAACAAAACTTACAACAGTTACTTTTCTCAACAACTGAAATTTAGAATAGTGTGATTAAGAAAAATATGTGAACTGTTTGCAATTAATATTGAAATGCACAGGTTTAGACTTTTCTACAGTGAAAAGTTTTCGGAACTTCAGTGTTAAAAGAAGTATACAAAAGCTAGACGTTAAGAACGCATACAATGAGCGAGCAAATCGAGCATCGGATTGCGAAGCATTCCGAAATGAACTGCGAAAGCAGTTCCGGGGGTTGGCGAGCGTCAGCGAGCAGGGGGTGAAGCCTCCTAGTTATTTAATATTTTCTACACAAACATTTCGGTTTTTGAGAGTATTTGTCAAAAGGAAAGTTTAGTATCAAAATAATTCAAGAACATAATTGATTGATCATTTATAATTTTATAGGTATGTTTATTTATAAATACTTCATATTTATAATAGCTAATAATCATCCTTAAACTAAAATTTTGGGTTTTTGACCCTTGTCAAAAAGGGGTTTTGACATGACGAATAAAACTCTAGTTAAAACCGGATAAAACTGCCAATTGACAAAAATTTGCCAACCCTGGAGCTGATGATTTGTCTTCATTTAATTACATTTAAAAAGTAAGTGAATAAATGTACAAAAATTTTTTTTAGTAAATTGTAATGCTAATAAAAATTTAAATATCACATATTATAATTATATTGTCAAAATAATAAATTATGAGACATTATGTCTTTCAGACCTGACACATTATCCAATTTTAATTTTATATTTTATGAAGTAAAAGCTGAAGTTTTATCAAATAAAGCTTTTCAGAATTTGTTCATTTTTCTTTCTTGCACACAGAATATTTTTATAATGTATTTACTTGCTAAACTATTACACATGACTGATATATAATACAAAAATAATAATTCTATAAAATATAAAGCTAATCAAAAACAAATTATTTTATAGTCGATATGTAGTCAATAATAAATATTTAGAATATAAGCAATTTCAAATAGTATGGTATGAATTTTTTTAAATATTTTAATATTTATAAATAAAGCATTTTTAAAATTATCAGTGATGTTGTATAGCATGCACAAGAAAAAAACCAAACACTTTAATAACATTTGATCTCATGATCAGATTATCACACACTAAATTGCAATCTTAATGATTTGAGAGATTGGTTTTAAATATGCTTAATTTATGAGTACAAGCAATATTTCAAGTTACAAAATCAGACACAAAACATACTTTCTCTGAATAAACATGTCTTTCTCTTGACAGATTCGGATTGTTGACCCTAAAAATACGGAGGTAGTCCTAAGATTACCAATTTGTTTCATCTGGAGAGCTCTTGAAAGTTAATGTTTATTTTTTGCATGTTTAGCTGCATTTTTGGAATTGCACATGATTGCAGAATATAGAAAGAATGAAAATATGAGGATGAGAAATATCTTAAAATTCAAAATGAATGAATTTGAGAGCGAGAGGAACACTCAAAAGATGATTAGATAACATGAAAGTTCTAAAAAATGAAAACTAACAATTGGAAACCTAAGGGTAAAAACAAAGAGATTTGAAATAATAGTGTTCAACAAGACAAGGCCCACAGAAATCTATAGTGCAATGAACGAAAAAGAATTAAAAAATTACTAGTACATGAAAGTACCATTGGATAAAAAAAAATTATAACTTAGTGCTAAAAGTTTTTGAATAGTTTAAATGCTTGACATATAGTGAAATAAGCAAAATTTTAAATAAATAAAGAGACCAAACTTTGGATCACTCTCTTGATCAAACTATTTGGACCATATTTTATAGGCTATCTCTTCCTATTTAGAGGGAGCAGAATCTATATCTGTAGAAAAAAAAAGGTAGGTATGCCTAACCAAAAAAAGTGTATTTAATTTGATTTAGTAATTGAAAATATTAATTATTAATTTAATTAATTTAATTTAATTGTTAGCACAAATTAATTAATATATTTATGGTTATCCTTTAGAATCAATGTGATTCATAATTAGTATATGATAATCTGACTTATAGATTGAAAATTATTAAGGTGCTCCATTTTCACTAAACACAAGTTACTTAAAAAACTTTTAAGTGTTTATTTCTATTTAATCAAATTATAAACATTGATCAAAAATTTAGCATTAAGTATAAATTATTTAATGAATACAATACTTTTTCACATAATTCATTCAAGAAAATTAAGTGAAACATGTCATAACTTACTGTAATTGTTTTATCAATACAGTCAAGATCATCAACATAACAGTCCAGAAGCTTGATTCGATCTTCTATTTTATGAATAACATCAGTTAATGACAATATTTCTGCTTTCAATTTTTCAAGAACTTCATTTTCTTCAGCAACTAATTTTTGCTTAGTCTCTATCTCAAGCAATAACCTAAATTAAGATAAAAATGAAAATGTATAGAAATAACTCCCACAACTATCAATTTATATTGCATAAATTTAATGAAATGACTTTTAAAATAAAACAAAGATACCTGATAAATAAGAATTGATAAAAACACTGATAAACCTGAATTTAAAAATAAGTATTGACATGAATTAAAATTTTTCAAACACTTTTATATTTAAACTATTAATAAATTAAATACTATTTATAAATGTTAAAACATAAGCTATGCAACATTATTTTGTAGCTAAGTTTATGTTTATGGGTAATCCTGCTTCTTCCATTCATTCATAAAGAGGCAAAAGTAAAAAAAAAATTAAAAAACAAATCACATATTAAACAGATTTATTAGGTAATTATATAGTAAAAATATTTGGATTTCATTAAATTATTGAGTACAGTGCTTAAATATTAGAAAATACACTGATTTCAATTACTAAATAATAATAAGCCTTTTTAAAGACATGCAAATGCAATAGTTCCACATTAATTGCATGTTCGAAAGTTCTATGGTATAGAAGTTTTGATGCAAACATTTTTTCTTTTAATTAAGGCAATTTAATAAAGATAATTTTATTCTATGCAGCATAAAAATATGCTAGGGTTGTAACAATTTAAAATAAATGTGATTAAAAAATCAAAACACAAGGTATAAAAGTTTATTGAAATGTCTATAAATTCCCATAAATACTTTAATGCATGCAATATAAGACAAACTTTACCTTTCATGTCTTTTCTTGATATCTGTAAGATGGTTTCTAATATGTGTTTCGACCTCTCGGCCATTTGGAATTTTATTTAAGTATAAAAGAATGTCTGATGACAAGGAAAACAAATTATTGATAGCATCACCGGTTCTCCTAACTTCATCCTTCAACTCCTAAAAAGAACAACAATCCATTACATTCACTCTACTCTCGCGCAGAAATGAGAAGAAAAAGTAAATATTAGACGTCACTTTGCGGTCAACCAATCAAAAGTTTGGCTACTAACTTTGTTGACCTCGTGATGCAATCGCTTAAATTAGAGAGTGTGTCTAAAGCGAAAGTTCAAAGAATAAAGATAAATTTTATAAGTCCATGACAGACGGTAAATGTTCTGAAGCGTTGGTGCCCATTTAGTCTAAAAACGTATATTTTAGAATTTGAGATCAAGTTTTTAATACTGTGGTAAAATTTAATACATCACATATGATGTTAATTTTTTACCTTTTTCTTTTTCAAATTAAAGAATTGTAATGGGTGGGGAAAAAAAAACTCGATTTATTCGATAAAAACTCGATTATAAACCTCTTTCTTCTCTTTATTTTTATTATCTTCTTAATATACATTTTTTATTAGATATTTTTTGAAAAATATTTAAATTAAAAATAATTATAGTTTACAATTTTTTTAATTAATTTAAAGAGTTAAAAATATTAAATTTAAAATTAACTTTTAATAAAGTATATTAAGATAATTAAGTGAAGGATTTAGGGGAAAAAAAATACATTGAAAATTATTGCAACTGAATTGCTGCTCAATTGCAAATGCTACTTTTTTCTATGCATTGCAGCTGCAATATTGCATATATTGATCTCTTCATTCATATTGGAAAAAGGTCAGTCTGTTTACTTTCAAAATTCCCAATTCTCCTCAACATTGTAGGCTTAATCCTCACAACTAATCTTTCAAAATCTTGACAATTTTTCAAAAACGGTGGATTTTTTGCGTCAGTCGTGAATTTAAAAATTGTTGAACATCAATAAGACGCCAAAGAAAGTATGTTTTTTCGTGCAGTTGATTATAATAATGAAATAGAAAACAACTCGTCGCTTTAAGCACCCATTAAAAAGAATGAGATTACTTTTTTGTCTCTGCGAAAGATAAAATGTTAGCGTAGGATGAGTTCTTCATTGCGTAAATTTCTCATAAAGTCGTTGATCAATTGGAGTTAGAATGTATGATAATAAAAAAGTGTAAAGTGGGCGACCTTGATCTTAGAAAAAGTGTTTCTTTTTTAAAAAATTCTCATTATTGTCCTAATTTTATCTGATAAATAATTCCGTGTCTATGATCATGGCGTCATGCTTAAAAATACGCGATGATGGTTCAACGTTTAAAGAATAAAAAATTATTCGCATTTCTTTTTGTTTTTCCTTCCTAAAACCAGAAGGATTGAAAATAATCCCAGTAAGTAAAAAGGTGTACTCTTCAGCTAGAAACATTTATAAAAATAAATGAAGAGAAGCTTTTGAAATTTTGAACTAAGCTGAATTGTATTTTAGATTTTTATTTACAAAATTCTATAAGATGGCATAAAATTAAAAAAAAATCTGTATTAGTTGTATTTAGGAAAAAAATTATTTAGCTGTATAAAAAGAACGTAGCTCCCACTTTGCACAAGCTAGACACATCAAGCAACAGGAAGCGAATAGAAAATAAAACAAATATGTATGATGATAAGATATATATTATATAATAAATTATACAACATATTATACAATATATATTCTTTAAAATATAATTTATCATATACTATATAGTTTATTTTATATTATGTAATTTATTTTATATGGAATATATTAAACTCCATTTAGCCTAGTGAAAGAGAATTTTGCTTTTACAATCACTAAACGAGAGATTTCTATATTTTACTTAATTATAACATTAACAATAAATTTTTAACTATAATCTATAACTTTTTAATCTATAATTTTCAATCTATAACTTTTCCCATTATGAGTTTATTGGATATTTTTTGAACATTTTCAAGTATTTTTTTAATTAGTTTACTTAAATTTTTAATTTTAGGGAATTTTATTTTATTTTTGAGTTTTTACCTTCTGAATCCTTCTTACATGAAAAAAAAAATCTCGCCTCTCACTGAAGCATTTTTCTTTTACTTTTCAAAAATATTTTTTTAAAAATTGTTATTCAGTTACTACTTCTTGGTGCTCTCTCGTAAACTTTCTCCAAGAATAAATTGCTTACAGTCTTTTATCATTTTTAATATTTTCCACTAATATGACGACTACTTATTTTTATAAGACATTAGTTTATAAAATACCATTTTATAATTTTTTAATACTGTGATTGGTGCTCTCTCGTAAACTTTCTCCAAGAATAAATTGCTTACAGTCTTTTATCATTTTTAATATTTTCCANTTTTTTTAATTAGTTCATTTTAATTTTAGGGAATTTCATTTTATTTTTGAGTTTTTACCTTCTGAATCCTTCTTACATGAAAAAAAAATCTCGCTTCTGACTGAAGCATTTTTCTTTTACTTTTCAAAAACATTTTTTAAAAAAAACTTGAATTTTAAACTTTTTTTAAAAATTGTTATTCATTTACCACTTCTTGGTGCTCTCTAGTAAACTTCCTCCTAGAATAAATTACTTACAGTCATTTATCATTTTTAATATTTTCCACTAATATGACTACTTATTTTTATAAAACATTAGTTTACAAAATACCATTTTATAATTTTTTAATACTGTGATTGGATGGAATGAATGTGCAAACGAATTAATAATGAGTTAATGAAAGAATGAATGAATTGAGGGAAGGAAAAAAGGAAGAAGAAAGGAATAAGTGAATAAGGAAAACGGTGAAAATGAATATAAATAAAATGGTGAAACAGATTAAAAATAAATAAAAAAATTAATTAACCTGCGATTTGTGGTAGGGCAATCGTCGAACTCAGTTTTATCATTTTATGTTTATTAATTTTTGTAAATATTAGTCTGTATTTACCATTAGATTAGTAATTGAAGAACAGCGGTGGAATTTTGTATTTTTTGTAATTAAAGCTCTAGCTCTATGACTACATCTTTCTAAATGAAACAAATCAAAGCTTAAGAAGTGAAAGGAAAAATGAAAGAATCTTGTTTCCAGCGTATCTTTCCCTGAATCATCAGCATACAAATGGCATAATCGGCAATAAATGCTACAAAAGCACAAAGATAAAGATAATCAAAAATGTCATTAGCATTGTACATCCATTAAAAGCAAACTTTCGTTTTATACTATTATTATTATTGCAGAAATGATGAAAATATACTACAAAGCAGGAATAGGCGATTAATGCGAATCCGAAATGTAAATAATTACATCATTATCATTCGAATAAAATAAATACAAAATAAACTCTTAAAACACGAAATAGTTTCAAAATAGTGATTGTGAAGTCAAACAATTTAAATATCATATGATAAATGTCGAATTAGTACAGTAATACGTAATCATTTGAAAGCTTCAGAGAAAGGCGAAATGAAATACTATCCGGAATGAAATAAACTACATATCAAATTACTAAAATTTTAAAGTGTCGACACAATATACCCATTCAGACACATAGTTTCGATGGAAAGAAAAGTTAATTTGTTCAGTTCATTCATTTCATCGAAGTTCAATTATTAAAAGAAATCGTTTATATTTTTGATGCTTTCATAACATTTGGAAAAATAAACGAGTCATAATTTTTAAACATCTAAAGGGAAAGTTCGTATTTCCAGCTCTTTCTTAGCGTTTTTTCTTTATATTGTCTTAAAACAATCGTTGAACAGCCGAGTCAATTTTTGGGTTTACAACTACTAATGTACAACTCCGTAGCCTTGTAATTTTGAAACTAATTCAGAAGACAAGGGAACTCCTGGATCAAGTATGGGGAGAAATTTGCCTTAGTAAAGGACTTTTTAATGGTATTAACCCGTATTTGCGTTACACGGAGAAGTAAACCACGAAAACCTCTCACGGTTAACCTGATGGTAAGGGGACTCTAACCTATGATCCGTCTACCACTGACGATATTTTGACGGATTCGAGCTCCGGTTCACCTCATTGGAAGGCGAACGCTCTATAACTTGAGCCGTCACGGCCCCTTTCTTAGCGTGTGGAAAAAATGAATGATTCTGTGAAATATTTACACGCTACTTAGTATTTCCAAAATTAATATAGTTTTTTTTTCAGGAAAAAAACTGCGTGCCGTAAAAGTGGTTAAAGACGGAAATCTTGAGCCTCGAGCTTTTGAGAATGGGAGAAAGGAATATAATATAGGAGGATATAAGAGAGGAGTGAAGCTTACATAGAAACTTACAACTTACTTACAAACTTACAACTCTTTTGATAAATAAGGAATTGTTTTCGATAAATTTTTTTTTACACAGAATTGAAAAAGAAAAATTTCGACAAAACCAGACCAATAATTTAGAATTTCGAAGGGTTTTGCTTATTTTTACCCACCTGACATCAGGAACTTATCTAGAAATGGGGGGGGGGGCATAAAATTGTCAGGGGCCCTCCTGTTCGTAATTTATTATATATACTGANTTTATATATATATATATATAAAACTAGTTAGTTTTATTAGTTTTATATGTATATATATATACATATAAAACTAAGAACGATATCAAATTAATCATTGAAAACATCAAAACCTGTCTGATTGTCTTAAACAGAAAGAAGAGAAGAAACAGAGAGTGGCTGAAAAGATGATTTTTAGAAATGACTCCAAGTTTCCCCAAGCAATCAAATTGGTTTCGAAGTTTTTCATCCTTCCTTACCCCCTTGTGAGTTGATAGATTTCGATACAACAAGATTTCTCTTAAATACAATATTAGCTTGAGACCCCTAATGTCTGTATACTTCTTTTACCTCATTTTTGACAAGGATTCTAAAGATTTATCTTCAGCGTGGTGATTACTGAATATTCTGTATAGAAATAATACCCTTTTGGACGAATCTTTGAAAGAAAGACTAATTTAAAACACTATCATGGTTTAACCAAAAACGATTCAGGGTTTTACCAAGAATAGAATTCAAGCCTTAGACACTTCACCAAAAGGCGACATCGTCACAGAGCTTTAAACGAAGATAAATGCAAACTGTGAAATACATAAAACCAACCTTTAGATGCGTTTCTTTAACTTCAGTAGTAGACACAATTTCATCGTATTTTCTTTCATGCTCCATAAGAGAAGAAAGCACATTCCTGTCCACCTCAGAATAAATTTCCCACTGATTTAGAACATCAGTAAAAGTCGAAACAAGATTTTCTACGAGACACAAACGCTCTTGCCATTCAGAGTTTATCTTTGATATTTGATTGTTTATAGCTTCAGATGATAATTTATTAGCCCGGCGATCTAGAACTCTCGCTTTTTCGTTCAGATCATTGACCAGTGCCTGATCAGTTTGAAGTTGGCGAAGAAGATCTGATAGTTTCTTGATGGAGGTATTGAGAGCAGAAACACTCACTGGATTCTCTTGCGGAACTGGTGATTTCAATTTCTCCGAGGTTTTATTTAAAAGTTCAGTATACTCTTTCCACAATATGCAGTCGATTTCTGTGTCGGTAATTATTTTGTCAGCCGAATTGATTATATCGTTCAGTTTTTTCTTCAAGGTATCAATTTCCTTTTCTAAAACAGGTACCTGATCTTCAACCAAATTTGGACGTATTTGAGAAGATAGTTTTTGTATTTCAGCTAGTTGGTTTTCGTAGAAGCTTATGTCTGCAAAATATCTCTGAAAAGACACAAATTTGAAAATAAGTTTTATTAGGAGAGATAAGACCACAGGAATAACTAAAATAAAAAGTATAAATTAATAAAAAGTTAAAAAAAAGCATTCAATTAAAACACAGCATTAAGTGCTTTATAAGCGTATTGAAGCAAAATAGTAGCTTTGAAGTACTCGATTTAAAACAATGTATTTTATACAAACATACAACAAAAGTATCGAGAAGCAACAAAAAAAATGCTACCTTAAATGAGTGGCTAAATTAATGACTAAGACAGTTTTTTCTCTCCTCTCCTATATTTTTAACTACGTTATAGTATACAACAACCACCAAAATATACATACAAAACCATTTTCATAATATTCATAAAATTTGTCTCAGATGAAAACTTTAGATACAGAAAATTTTAGACGGTAATGATATTTAAATGAAGAGTCAAATGGCACAAAAGCTGGATTCGACTATTCTGCGCCTAACTCAAAGCAAAAAAGATTAGGGTGTCATGTTCTCAATATAAATAAAATGCATGTGACGTAAAACAGAAGGAAAAGCAAAACATTAAAACCAACAAAATAAATTCATTTTGTCTTGGGGCTGTGAATTCCGAATTAAGATGAAGATGGTATAGTACGCGAGGGGAAAAAATTAGAAAATGTTCTAAGTTTTTTGTAAAATTTATTGCTTACTTATTGTATGTATTTAGAGTGCAATTTAGGGAACAAGTTAAAATTTATTTTGGTTTTTTATATTGAAATGTTTTTATTAGCCCAAATTTACAAGAGCTACGCTAGGTTACATCCAAAACTAAAACAATACAGTTTTTTTTTAAAAATTATAAGCCTTAACAGAATGTATTTGATGCCCCCAAACAAGATGAGGAGTTTCGAGGAAGCAAGTGTTTCTGCAATTGCGTGATGCACTTAAGCTGGAATATATCACTTGTACAAGCACGCACGAATGCGTCATTGAGAAAAGTTTGCAATAGTGCATTTTATGTTGACATAAAAAGGCAATATACAATGATCAATTGGAAGGAAAGATCAGTTTTCTATGAATTATAGTGATGTGAATATGGTGAACGATACTAACATATGATGACGGTCTGACTCTAAGAACACCAAGTGTACTTATGAAAAGCCGCTCAGTTATAATGTATCTCCTAAAGTGTGCAACAAAACTATATGAGCTTTTTTTTCCTTCTAACATTTAAATTAAGTGATTATCTTCTGCTTGACATCAATTCAGTTTTTTAAAAGAAAAATCACCAACTATATTATTTCACATACAAAATGAGATTTTGTACGTTAGGGTAAAAGGAGTATATACAAGATAAATGCTTAAATTTAAATAATTATACACTGTTTTCTTTTCCTTTTTAAGTATCTGAGTGAGACATATAGTCTTCTCCTGAAAAGGATTGGAAAAAATGTCAAATTCAATTGCAGATGAGCCGAAAACGGCTATACTGAATTGTAGCAACCATACTGTAATAGTAGGAAATGTTGTGATGTAGTCTATATCAGCTGATTAAATTGTGTTGATGACAAGTATATACATAGAAAAAAAAGAATGAAAAGATCACGGGAATACCTCTAGATTATGTGACACATGTATACCTAAGGGAGGCAAATTCACCAAAGAATTTATCTTATTCCATTATCGGCGTTGGACAGTCAATGAATATTTGGGCTTACAGCTATCTGAGTTTAAATTCGTAGACTTGCGATTTTGAGCCCAACACAGAAGACAAGGGAGCTCCTGGAGCAAGCATTGAGGCTAACTAGTTTTCGTAGAGGACCTTTAGATGGAATTAACCCGCATTTGCGTTACATGGAGAGAAGAATGAACATAGATATAATTGCATGGAGAACCACGGAAACCTCCTATGGCTAGTCCAACGGCAAGAGGACTCTAACCTATGCACAGTTTACAGCTTAAGATATTTTACGTCAGCACTAGGGTCGGTTCGAGCCGGGTGAAAAATTCGAATTGATTAGCCATCGCTGAGATTCGAATCTGTACTTCTTTGGGAAGCGATCGCTCTATCCCCTTCAAAGGGTTTGCCCGTTAAAGGTGTTGGGCTATGGGTAATCAGAAAATAACATTTACCTGAAGATCCATTAGTTTACTGTCGACGCTTGAAAAGTCTACACCAAGGGAAGAGAATTCGAGTAATTTTTCTGCACCATCCAAGAACTTCTTCAGGTTGGCAACTAAACTCTCAAATTCTTTTCTCATTTCAGAGGCATTCTTCAGATAGAGAAGTTGTTCTTCAATGATTATAGGTAAAGTTTGCTGCAGAACAAGGCATTCTTCTATTTGTTCTCGAATCGATGCCGGAAGGGAACTGACCTGAACCTCATTCTCAATTTGTTGACAAAGAGTGGAAGCATCATTCAAACGTTCGCTCAGTTCTGTAGAAAGATGCTATAAAAATAAAGAGTTTTAGTGAGTACCATTGATAATAACTTGGGAAAATAAAAAATAAGACAATCCAGACACATTTATTTAATGCATTTATGCTCATTATACTTGGGAACAAATTTTTGTTGCATTTATACAAATACTATATCTTGATTAATTTGGGTGTTGGGATTTCACAACTAAAATTAATTTTTCTGGGTAGTGTTTTTTTTTTAAATGACACCTCTAATCTATTTTTTGTCAAAATGTATAAATTTAGATTTTTTTAGGTATAACAGGGGGTCGCATAAATGTTGCGATAAACTACTAGGGGAGTTAGGGTACATCATCAGGATTAATATTGTATAAGGTCACATTCCAGGAAATGTCATCTTACACGGTTAGAGGTGCTTCCCTATTATTAAAACTGTTTAGAAGCTCACAAAGAAATAGTTCATGATAGGAAAGCGCCTCAAGCAGCGTACCACGACATTTCCGAGTATGGGTTCCTATACAGTTTTAATTATGGGGATGAGCTGTACTTCTTGCCGGCAAACTTCTAGGGAAGTATGTCGCAATATATATATATATATATATGAAAGGGTAGCAGTCATGGTGAGTGATGTTAGGCCACGCAGATAGCAGTTGGAAGGCAAAAAATATTTTTATTAACTTCACATAGTATATTTAAGACATTTTCTAGCAAAGGCGGAGCTCAAAATCGCACTCAAAAACTGTGTGCTCAAGTTTTTATCTTAGGGAAAGTAGCAAAGGAATTTCCCTCTATTTTGTTATATTTGAGGGGAAAAGGGAAGTCCCAAGGATTAGTATTGGTTTATGAAAGAGATCGCGCGTTCCCACACAAAGCAAGGGAAATATGTCCTGCTCTTAATTAAATGCATAGTTGAGCCAAAAATAGATTTAAGAACAGGATGTGGCTTTTAAAAGTGTGAGAAAGTATTTCAAATAGAATAATTAATTAGGAATAAAGTAGGAGTTGTTTTATAGCAAAGAAACTAACATAAAAAGATTAATAGAAGCTTTTTATGTTACATATATATATATATATTTATTTATTTGTGTATGAACTAATTTATTTATTTGGCAGAGAAAATAGAACTAATAAACCTGGAAAACACAACATTTGTCGCAAATAGTCTCGATTTATGATGATTTATGACATCTAAACTATGTAAAACACAGTTGATTAAATTTCTATTTAATATGGTAGAAATAAAATTGAAGCAGTATGCGATTTCTTCAAGAAAAAAATTCGACGAGTTTTCCAGAAAAAGTTTCTTAGGTTTATAATCAATGCTTAATGTATCTTGGTGTTTAAATTATAAGATTTCGTCATATATCTTTATGTTTTGCTTGGTTTATATGATATCAAGAAACTTTAGAGTTCACTTTTTTTCTAATTTAAAAATAATGCAAATCACACAGACAAGACTTAATTTTGCAGGAAGAAAATGTTTCAGAACTTTAATGTTAATCTTCGGAAATACGAAGAAGTTTTTTTTTTAATAAATTTTTTACGACGAATAGAGATAACGAATTTTATAGCATTTATCATACTAAGTTTTCATCATATCCAATAATAATTCGGAAAGAAAAGCACTCTGCATTTTTTTGGGGGTAACCTTTAAAATCCACAGAAATGGAAATACATACCTTATGTTTATTTATTTCCTTCTGAACACTTTGAGAAGAAAGATTCAACATCGGCTGAGATTGCAAACTGGCAACACCATTCCTCATTTGCTCCAAAATACAATCTAATTCCTGTACGCATTTCTTTTGTTCTGCAATGAGATGCTCATGCTCGGTTTTCAGATTAACTACAGTCCTTTTCAAATCGTTAAGCCTTTTCTTTAACTGTTGCAGTTCTTCCATAATTTTATTGCAATCACTAGCTGTACCTTCTTTTGCAATCTGATCCCCTTTGTCACTAGCTTTGATATGCTGAGCTTCACATTGCGATATATCCTCAAACACACTTTGGTATTTTGTAAGCTTTTCATCAGGTGGAATACTGTCGTCATTAATTCGAGTTACAGTCTCGCTACAGTTTGAGATTGTTTCATTGATCTCTTTAATAAGGTTGTGATACTGTTCTCTGTTTGCATAGGACTGTCTTGTTTTTACAAGTTTGTCAAAGACTTCTTGCATCAATTCCTCATATTTAGATATCAAGGTATTGAATTGATCAACATAACTTGGAACTGGCTGTATGCTTTGCAACCTATCTTTGAGATCTTGTATTCTATGAAAAATAGATTCATAATTTTGTAAAACAGTTTCTATGTCCGATAAAGATAACCCAAGAGGTTTATTTAAATCTTGAACTTCCATTTTTATCTCTTCGAATCTTCTTGAGCTTTCTTCAAGCTGTTGCTTTTGCTCTTTCTGAAGGTAAATCGCTTCGTCAATTAACAATAATCGTTCTTGCAAGGCTTCCTCCAACCGTCTATGCTTTTCCTTAAGGGTCTTCGTTTTATTCTGAAGATTTATTTTGTCTGCATTTCTCATCTTCTTTTCGACTACTTCAGATATGTGTTGGAACTTTTTGATCTCCTCTATAACTTCTTTACTTTCCTCTACTAAAGACTTGTAAGTTTCTTTCTGTTCCTCTATAACTTCTAAATAGGCATCCAAACGCAAATTACTTGATACTATTGTCTCTACCTTTGTTAACCAGGATTGAATGGTTTCTAAGGACTCATTGAATTGTTTTTGCTTCTCAATCATCTTATTGATTTCATCTATTTGTTTCTCTAAAAGTTTTTTCAGATGGTTTAATTGCCTCTTAACGTCATCAAGAAGGGATTTTAAGCAAACTTGATCTTCACCGTTACATAAATCTTCTAAATCAGAAGCTGATTTATAAAGATTTGAGATCTCACTTTCTTCATACTTCTTTATTATTGTTTCTTCTAACGTAAAAAGAGATTTTGTTTCCAAAAGTTCTTCCGATTTACCCGAGAACCATTCCATTCTATTTACGCTCTGTTCTTTTTCCCTAATCCATTGCTTAATTTCATTCAATTCTTTCTCAAACTGAGAGCATTTGGATAGATGAGAGTTCACTTTTTCCAATTCAGACTCTATAAGTTTACATAATTCTTCGAACTTGGTCTTCATACTTTGCACATCTTGAAGCAAAACTTCAGTCTCTTTCTGGTCTACACTAGTGCACAGATTTTCCACTTTCTTTTCACACGATTGCATGACAATCTCTTTATTCTGTGTTTCTCTTTGAATAGATTTCACTTCTTGCACGGTGTTCTCAATGGTAATCTTCTGAAATCCAGGTTTTGGTAATGTCTTCATTTGCAGTTTTTTCTCATTAATCCATTCTAGAATGGAAGCAAGTTCTTCACGCAATTTGCTTTTATTTGTCTCAACAAGCTCGATGCTTTCTATTTTACGTAAGCACTTATTTCTGAGATCATCTAAGCGCTTCTCGATGGCAAAGATTTTGTTGTAAATATCTGATTGACTTTCCGAAGACAATTCATTGCTCAAGCTATCGGTCATACTTTTCAGTTTTGTAATCAGCAAATCAACCAGTTTCAGATCTTCAGAACATTGATGTAATAATTGCTTCTTTTGAGAAGAGGCTATTTTTTGATTTTCAATATTACCAATTTTTTCATCAGATAGTTTTATCTGATTTTCAACTTCAACGAAAATAACTTTCATTTCTTCAATAGCTAATTTCTGAGATATATACTTGTTCATTAACCTATCTACTTGAGCAGAGAGATTCTTTAATTTCTCTTTTAAGATTCCAATATTGGAAACCTCTTTGAATTTTCCTTTTCTTTTTTCAACGCTATCTATATCGGATTCCTTTTCGGTGATTTGAATTTTAATCTCTTCGATCTCATGCAGCCTGTTGCTTAAAGACTCTACACTGAAAGAAATGGGGTTGGCTTCGAGGGATTTAATGAAACATTCTTTCTCTTCAATCCATTTTTCAATTTCTAGTTTAAGTTTATTAATACGCTCCCAGTCGCTTATCAGGCCTTCCAAAGAAAGTGAAAATGCCTTTAACTGCTCAATATAGTCCTGCAACTGAATTTTAATTTGCATTTCTTTCTCAGGTAGTGATGAGGCAAATCCAACATCTGGACTTGACGGTCGACTAATTGAGGAAGTGGCTTCTACACACCCTTGTATTGCATTTTGAAGCTGTTCTCTACCATCTAGAAGTTTATTTAAAATCTTTTTCGAAGTTTCATACCTGTCAACAGCTTCATGTGAGGAATACTTCAATGGGTCTAAACCAGAACTTATAAAAGGCCTTGCTTCGCCTAAAAGTTTTTCACAAAGTAATAGACTATCCTCATAAATTTTAAACTTATTCAATGCGTCATCAAGCTGAGCTTGAATACTTTCTGCTGTAGCTAAAAGAGAATCATAGCTGTCTTGAACATTGCTAATTTGCTGTTCGATTTGATTAACTATTTTCGTATTATAGTTCTTATATTCATCTTTAATGGTGTTGCCTTTTTCTTTCAAACTATCAATTGAAGATTGATAGTTCTGGATTTCTTGAAGAATGATTCTATGTTTCGCACTTTGTTCTCGAGTTTTCACCAGGTTCGATATTTGTAAAGAATGGTGGGACATTAAATTATAAGACATTTGGAGAAGCCATTTTTCAATTTCTTGAAGATCTTGATTGTAAGACTGCAGGTTAGAATATTCGTTTTGAAGCTGTTCTAGCAAATATTTTGATTTTTTTAATACTGCCTCAAAGTGTTCAGATATTTCAGCAATCTTTACCTTTTCAAAATCCTCACCCGTTTTTAAAGATAGTTCATTTGATTCGTTTGTTAAATCTTTTAAGGCAGACCTGTGATTTTCAATATCTGTTATAATTTGCTTAAAATTTTCCACCTTAGTCCTTATTTCAACGATTTCCCCATTGGTTATAATTTTTTCTGGCACTTTTAATTCTACGCTAGACAGCCAGTCCTTGAATTTAGCCTTATTTTGCGATAGTTCTTGAAGCCTAGACAATATGGAGGACAGCAAAGCAGTATGTTCAGTCACGCTTGTAGCAAATTCAGAATAGTTTTGCTTCATTTCGTCTATTTTAGATTTGATAGTGACTTGAGCTGTTTCAGGTAAAATGCACATAACCTTATTACCGCAATCGCATGAAGCAGAGAGTAGTCTTTGCCCTTCTGGAAGGTTAGAGTTCAAGGATTTAAAATTTTTAAGCCTGTTTTCAAGAGCTTCTTGATCACCTTTAATATCACAATTGCTATCGAAAACAGCTTTATTGTGATCATACCACTGGGTAAACTCATTACAAGCCTCTTTAAAATCCCCTTGATTAAGGATGTATTTTTCAAGTTTTGTTATTGTATCTGAAACTATCGAATTTAAACTGGCATATTCTCCACTCAACGATAGAACCTCATCACGACACGGAGTAAAAGAACTTACTTCAACTAAAGTTTCACACACTGCATTAAGAGAGTCTGCATCATGTTTGTGCTCTTTTATCAAATTTTGTGTTTCTTTTAGTTTCTGAAGTCTCTCGGCATCAGAAATTTCTGGATTGGACTCGATGTAAGGTTTAACTTCATTCTGAGTGTCTGTAACCCAGGTTCGGAATTCAGATAGAGCTGCTTCATATTGAGACCAAATATCATGACAACGCTTCAAACCTGATTCCAAATCATTTACCAAAATATTTAAAGATTCTAGATTTGAGTTCAAGAGTTCAAGTTCTGATTGGATTCTATCTCTTCCAATATAACCCAAGTTATTTCCCGCACTTTCCCCATACTCATTTGCTTTTTTCACTAATACTTCACCTTCCTCAAAAGATTCTTTTAGTTTTTCGAATTCAGATAGTTTTTCAAGAATCATTGAGACGCTACCGGCTTGTAACCCGATGTTGTGAAGGTTCAATTTTGTTTCACGCAACCAAGTTTCAGCGGTATTATAGATGATTTTGTATTCTTCAAGCTCTTCAATTTCTTTTTGCAATTGTGTTGTACAAGATTGAGATATCAGTAAAAAGTTATTGTACCTTTCCAGTAAACTTTCTATCTCGTCCTTCATATTAGGATGATTAACAGCATCTCCCTGCAAGCGCTTTGCTGTTGGCTCATGAGCTTGTACATCCTTAAAAATTGTGCTATATTTCTCTAATATAGATTTTTTTTCAATGAGTGAATTAAGTTCTTGTTTACCAGTAGCTTCTATCTCACTTTCAATTTCATCCAGCCAAACTTTAAATTGTCGTAAAGTCTTGTTGAATTCTCCTACCATAGCTAGTCTTTCAGTCAGTTCAGCTTGAACTTGTGAAATGTCTTTCAACAAGGCTTCAAAATCAGCTTTCAAGTTATCAGCATCTTCTTTAATGCTACCCGTACCACTTGGATCAGTATTTAATATTACTTTTTCTGTCAATTCCATGGTGTACCTTATTTTGTTTTGAGCTTGTTCCATGCTATTCGACAGTGCTTTTAAGCTGCTCAGTTTCGCATTAATTTCGTCAACACTACTTGATGGTCGATTGCAATCATTCAATCTTTCTCGTGAGACATCTATCAATTCGATGCATTCGCTGTACATGCATTGTTGCTGTTGGTGCTCTTGGAAGTGATGCTCTAATTGATGCATGACTTCCTTTGAGAATGACACAAGTGATCCATATTTTCTTGAAAGCTGAGTAAATGCATTTGAGATACTCGAGTCGGAATAAGTTTCTAAAAGCAGTTGAGCTCTCATGTTTAGTTTGTCAAATTCACCCTGGTAATCAAATATGGTTTGTAGATGGTCCTGTAAACAAAATTTCCTGTTAGCGTCTTAGTTATGTAGAACATATTTTAATTAAAAAAATTTACAATGACAACATAAATATCAGGTGATTAAGCATAATTTCATATTATTTTCATTTAAAACTTAAGAGTCGAGCTGCAAAAATAATAATTAAACATCAAATTGAAAAATTATTAAATAAAGCATTAAGTTATATTTTCTGAGAGCATATAAATAAATAGTACAAATAATATCACTAATAATATTTGTTTCAGAATCGTAAGATTTTTAAACTAACACGAAGAATTTAGTTACATTAAAAGTCGTCATGAAGAGTAAATATCTTATCCTGAGAGGGAATGATTAAGAGACTATGGCCAACAAAAGAGATGCCAGGAAGAAAGTTCTTGAAAAGACTAGGGCCTACCCTGGACTGTCATGCCATTGAAGAAGAAAAATACACTTATGTGTACAAAGTGGATCAAATAGAGACCAGAAAGAAGGTAAAATGCCAATTCAGCTTTATCAATGTTAGTTACTGGTATCAGCTGAAGAAAACAAAGCATGCTGGTAATACTAATAATGAAATTAATAATATAGAGATTCTGTCAGAAAATTTGACTTATATATTTAAAACTTTTCCTTTTCACCTTAACAATGCTCCCTGATAAGGCCAATTTTGTACTGGGCTGTATTTATTTGCTTTGCTTTGTATACCATGTTCACACAATCGATTATGATTATCACAGATTACCATATTCACACAATCGAAATATGGGAAAACTATATGAATCAGCGACACTGTAATTGTGAAAAATAGTTTAGCTTACTATACGGTGAAAATCCTTAAAATCCTATTTTATTTGCTGATTAAGTCGTCCAGATTGCTTATTGCACACCTGGCTCATAAACCTTTCTGACCATGGTGGTTACCTTGTTAGTTGCCTAAATAAGGTAACTTTCTTCCTCTGAAGAACTAATAAAGAACGGTATGACTCGGAATTGCGAAAACTTTATTAAAATGAGGAATTTTTTCTAAATAAAAAAATGCTGGCCACCATTAAAAAAATATATCAAGAAAAATTTTTTTTTTTTCAATTTTCAAAGGCTTTCCATATTTACACAGTCGAAACGCGGAAAACTGTATGAATCAGCAACACTATAATTGTAAAAAATAGTTTAGCTAACTATACGGTGAAAATCATAAAAAATCTTATTTTGTTTGCCAGATTGCTTTAGTGAAGTTTACCTGAAATTCTTGCAATTTGGCTCGCTTTGAAAGCAGGTCAAGTTGAGGCTTAGCATAAGACTGAACAAGTGGTTCCATTTTCAAAAGCCACTCAGAACATTTTGTATATTGTTCATCATATTCGTTCCATTTAACAACTCCAACGTCCAAGGAAATTTTGATCTCGTTAATATTCTCTTTCAGTAATTCATATTCCTCTTGAAGCTTAGCCAACTCATCATCAATCATAATTTTTTCCTCTTCGTCCACACTTGCTTTTGCGATTTCTCCAAGTCTTGCAGCATTTCTAAGTTTTTCAAGTCCTTCATCCAATTCAGATTGTAAAATCTAGACAAAATAAAAAAATTTCAATCATTAAGCATAAGCATCATTAAGCATTTCAATCATAAGTTTTTAAAAATCATTAAGCATAAGTGAATCATTATTTAATAAGCATAATTGAAGCAAGAATACAACACAGTTGTTAGTTCATATGATTATGTTTGGTTTTTGAATATTTTGGATCTGTCGATTTGTTTCTGCTATTCGCAGTCTTAATTAACATTAAAGGATCCAAACTTTTGATCGCTGTTTTGACAAAAGTATTGGACTCATATTTTCCACGTTGCGGCTACATCAAGGGTCCAGAATTTAAATCTGTCAAAAGAAAATGCATGTTGACTCATAAAAATACATTTTTGTGTCTGATTTCGTAACTTAAAATACCGTTTGCACAATATTTGGACCTCGAGTTAATATATTTGGTTAATATATTTTTAAGTTTAAAACCTCGAGTTATTTAGATCGACTATTAGTACGTCGAATTCTGACCGTTACGCCAAAAGTTATTAAGAAGTTCTCTTTTTTATTTTTTTCACGGAAACTTTAATATAATTATGAACATCTTAAAACCAGCATCTCATATAATAAATCCTTCATCTATGCTCTACATAACACAGTTGCTTCTGAGAAACCTTTGACGCAGAATTTTAATTCAACATTTTTTGATTATTTTGTATTAATTTAGGTCAAAATAAGGGGGAAATATTATATTTAGCATTTTAATAATTTATGGTTACATGATATACAGTATGCAACACCAGTATTTTTTTTCTGCGTTAAAGGCAAAATCTTCCAAACACAATTCACTTCTAAACAATAGTTTTTCAAATTTGCACTTGCTTGCAGTTATTTAGATCAAAGAGAAACAATTAATTCTTTATTGAAATTTCTTTAAATTTACAAAATTAATTATAAATACATTTTTGAACATGAATGAAAAAAAAATTCTAAACTACTTTTTTTGAATTTTGTATTTCAGTACAAACATAATTCCGATAATCTAACACATTTTATTACTATTAGACTGTTTTTTATTATTAAAAAATATCAAATTATGTATTCGCTTTTGATTAGAAAGCCAGAAAAAATGTTTAAAACGGACACCGGTATTCCATCTGCGTCAAAAAATTAATCTGGGACATACCTATGAAAAATGCGAGATGCTTTGTCCCTTAAAATGGATTTTTTGAAAATAAATTTTAACAAAATTAAGAAAAACAATGATTTTTCAATTTTTTTCAAAGTTTTATGATTATTTTTTAGTTCTAATTTAATAAAATAAAGTAAAATTTAATTTATTATTATTTATTTTAATTTTAAATATGCTTTCTTAAATGAAAAGATGTATAAATACTTATTTGAATACTTATTGAAATATTTGAATAAATAAAAAATATATGAGAAAATTTTTTTATCTAGGGGCCCCAAAAATTTGAATGGCCTAGGGCCCCGGAGTACGATTAATCCGGCCCTGTTTGAGAATTCCTTCTTAAAGAAACGTAGCATTCCATGAAGATCGAAATGAATTACCTTTATTTTGCTCGTTTTGTCTTTCAGCACATCTCGATCTCCAGATGGTGCTGCACATTTACTCATTTTTTCTCTCGATGTATTCAACCATTTTGAAACGTCCAAGCAGGAGTCCAGAAATTGCTGAATAATAGCCATTACGTTTTTCTCTTTATCTCTGAAATTCTAAACGTAAAAAAGAAAGTTGAATTACAGTAATATATTGCGAAACAGTAAAAATTCCACACTCATTGAATGCAATTCCATCAATACCTTCGCTTCTTGTACAAGCTCTTGATATTTTTGCTGGATAGCTGGTGTGATTCCTTGCTGGAGTTGTTCGGCCTTTGCGTTGACGGATTCTATCATTGGTTCAAAGGATTCCACATCTTGAACGATACTCTGAAAATAGTTTAGAAATTCAATATATGTTAATTAAATTAAGAAGTTAAAATTTTATTATAATTGTTTAAACTACTTAACATTTATGCTCCTAGGAGTTAATCAAATATTAAGTAAGCAGAATGCGTAATTGTGGTGATCTATACCTTTATGCGTGGTGGTTAGTTGTTAGTTTATACTGAGGCCTAATTCATTCTGCGAAAAAGTGTTAATATTTGAACGACATTGTATTTAAATGTGAAAGCGACATGATAATCAAATTTAGTCTTTTCTTTTGCTTAAATAAACTCCATAACGTTTTGCCTGATTCTGATAATGATTTTATTTGTTTTCACTTAATCTTAGTTTTTGATTTTAAATCTATGACATTTTTATTTTATTTCTGATAAGGATTCTAGAAACCTTTATTAAGAGCTGTACACATTGAACACTCTATGTGGACATAAATTTCGATAATTATAATTTTTATTTTTTAACGAATATGAAATTCGACTTTTTGCTTAATCAAAATGTTTATTAAATCTTGAAAAACAGATAAAATTCTCATTGTACTTGAAACGTTTTTATGGACCTAATGCATATGTGGAACTGCCAACAGCCATATTCTTTGCAAAATATTTTAAAGAGTGACAGACAGTCAAAAACTAAAGTGTTCAGAATTTTTGGTTCATTTGCCAACATTTTTAAAGCCACACCACGAAAGAAGTGGCTTTTTACACTGGTGTTAGAGAATTAGCAGACGTGGTCGATTATCTCTAGAACTACAGGACCGATTTTAATGAAATTCGATATGTACATACATTGATATAATACAAAACAAATAACAATTCAACAATTGTAATGCACACGCATGATCATGAGTAACACTCGTTGGAGTCGAAAGGTATGAAACAGCGGTTACAGAATGAAAAAAAATGGGTTAATCAATGGGTAATGGCGTGATTTCATACTTGAAATAAGGCTGTTTATAATTTTCTGTGGCAATTGGCCTGAATTGCCCTGTGGTCCCATTGATTAACCCATTTTTTTGTTTATTCTGCAACCGCTGTTTCATACCTTCCGACTCCAACGAGTGTTACGCATGATCATGCGGGTGTATTAAAATTGTTGAATTGTTATTTGTTTTGTATTATATCAATGTATGTACATATCGAATTTCATTGAAATCGGTCCTGTAGTTCTAGAGATAATCGACCACGTCTGCAAATTCTCTTAACTTCTTACACCAGTGTATATGAACATTCGAATCATTAACTTGTAGTGATGTGGGACATTATATGCTAAAATATAAATGTTGCTATCACTAGAAGAAATTTTTCTACATAGAAAAGAAAATTGGCATCCCCTGCATATGGCATAAGTTTGACAAACGAAAAAGAAAGTTTTAATTACATCTGCTTTTCTCAGTTTTGCTCGTCTTTGGTTCACATTCTCCTTAGTGACAGATGGAACACTGATCTGTTGCACTTCAGATAGTTTCTTGGTATGTTCGTCGATCCATTTAACCAATTTCGCTTCTGATGACGTGTAGTCTGCCCATTGCAGTAAAGCAGTTTCCATCGATACCTGAAAATAAATATGAAAACATTTAGAGATAATTACCCATATTTTCCTAGAATCAAAATACTTAATACTCGGACATAAAACTTAATTTCAGCAACAAAACCGAACAAATGGTTTTTATCCCATGCATGATGATCAAAACTAAAAGTTTCCTCAGAACTGTCATTCATGTTACTTTTTATTTGGTAATTTTAACCTTTTAATATCCATGCCGTTTACCAAATAGAATAGTAATAGACTGTTTACATTTCTAGAGTTTATTTAAAAGGGCGGTTTATTCATAGGAATTAGGAGACGAGTAATTATTGATTTTCCTATTGTATTTATTGATCAGAAAAAAATGAGCATTAATAATTATTCAAGTGTTTTAAAAATACTTAACTTAGACAGATCAAGCTATGGTGCGGTGCTTGCTGCATGCCTCTTTTATGTGGATAATGGGATTTAATTATTTTGAAAGTGATTATGATTTTGAAACTTTTAACTACCTCAACTTTTTTTCCATCCTAAAATGATTTTGAAACTTTTGTGTTTTGATTCTAGATGCATCGAAGTCAGACTGAAACACTGATTGTTTTGTTTTAGTCTATAAACAACGTAGGGTGTTCCTTTTAAAATCTTTGTCAAGAATCTTTCGAGGGAGGAACTAAAATTACAATTTAAACCAATAAAAAACAAATGCCAACGAAATGTAACCAATCCGAACAGAGGAAGACAGGATTGTAAACAGCAAAACCTTTTGCTCTATGGAAGAAACAGAGAAAAAGTGGTAATCAGGCAATCAAACTGAATTGATGTTTTTCATTCCATGTTCATCATTGGTGAATTGGTAGATTTCGATAAAGTTACTATTTCGTCATAATTACCTATTTATTTAAGACCCCTATTATGTATGATACCGTCAATGAATAAAATTTAAAATTTATTATACCTGTCACAGGGAGATGATAAAAATGGAGATTTCATCAAATACCTAAATGTCTCAGGGAGATGAACAAATCCCTAGGGTAGATGATCAATTCACATAAGATGCTAAGACTCGAAGGGGTGATTTCCCCAAAGAAAATAACGCGTTTGATCAAATCCCTTAACAGTTTAATGAAAGATGAAACAATATGGTTTAGATTTTATGGAATGTAAGTGATCATCTAACATTAATAATTCCAGATCTAATTTAGATCTAAAAGAAACATCATTATATTCATCATTGAAATTTCTTTAACTTAACAAAATTATTGATAAATATTTGATTATGAAGGAAAAAACAATGCCAACTACTTTTTTTTATTTTTGGATTTTTTTTATTTTAGTACAAATATAATTCCGATAATCTGACAGATTTTTTGGTAACCTTTAGAGTGTTTTTTATAGTTAAAAATACCAAAATATATTTTGATTAGAGAGCCAGAAAAAAGTATATGAAAGAAAGACCAGTGTCCCATCTGTGGCAAAGAGTTAATGTTATGCATAAAAATTATAAAATGGGTAATTTTTCGATGATGATGCGTTTTGAACTATCTACACGCATTCTAAAAAAGACAGTTACGATTGGTCACTTGCACTTCAAGAAGAAAATCATTGATACCCACGCATGTGATCTATGATCATTTATAATCAAAATTGTGTGTTAAAGTTGAGCTAAGTGTCTCCACAGAAGTTAGAATGTTAATTAACGTCACGTTAATTAAATGCAATACTGTACGCACGTTAAATTTGATGAAATAGAATTCTTTCTAGTCTTTTACTTAGCTTAGATTTATTATTTGTTTACGTATTTTATTGTAACCGTGATATATTTTTGCTTTGTGTACCTGGCAATGCATAACTATTAGGGGGACCAGAAAGTAATGTCGTTTCGGTACATTAAATATTCGATAATTCGTTAGTCTTAAAAACCAATTAATTTTTTCCGATCCATTTCGATTCATTTTCGATCCGACATTGAAAGGTTGTTGCTAACGAGGGTGAATACGTTATTGATTAAAATTAAAATCTTCATAACAAATATCAAATGCACCGAAACGACATTACTTTCCGGTCCACCTAATAGTTTATGTTCCAAATGGCTTCATGCCTGTCTTTGTGCTAAGTATGAAGTATATAGACAAAGAATTGAATCTTGGTGAAAGAATCTTTGTGTAAGAAACTGTGTTAAACTCTGTGTCAAACTGTGTTTTGACTGTGTTAGTTAAGGGAATTGGTACTTGATGAGCTTGACTTACTCGAAATAGAATGGAAAGAACAGCTGTTAACGCAAACAAAGCCACGTTTCAACAACCAATCAGGATTGAGATACCCACACTACGTAACTTGCAGGCCTCCCATTGTTAAAAGTTTCAGAGACGACAAAAAAAAATCAAGAATATTGGGATTTTAACTCAGGAATTTAGGGTCTCAAAAGTGATGATAATAACTCTCACCTTTGCTTCAGAGATACTCAGTAGCAGTCTGTCCCACCGTGACTGTAACTCGTGAATTTCTCCAGCAATTATATCTTTTCCAGGCTGATTTGAAGATCGTGACACTTTCTCTGAGGCAACAATAGTACTTTGAACTAAAGACAAACCGTCATCTTGCCTTCTACTCATTGCCTATGAAGCAAAAGTTGGAAGAAAAAAAAACTCGTAAGTGATATTTAAAGTTTATAAAAAAATAAATACTGATCACTGTATTAAAGAAAGAAAACGCTACTAACTTGGATTTCATTAAGTTTCTTCTCGAGATCTGCTTTCGATCCTTCTCCCAGAGCAATTCGTTTTATTTTAGTGTCATAGGTTTCAATCCAGTTGATAGCTTCATCAAATTTTTCCTTGTAAGTTCTGTGCAGTTCGTAATTATTGTACGCTTTATCATTCACATCCTAAAATGAAAATATATACTGTTTGTAACAACTTTCAACAGTAGTTATCAATAGTTAAGCACACTTTGAGACACGATGGCTCAGGGGATAGAGCGTTCGCCTTCCAATGAGGTGAACCGGGTTCGAACTAATGATGGCTGGTCGATACGACTTCCGCATCCGACTTGCAACGACTACAGTGCTGACGTGAAATATCCTCAGTGATAGACATATCATGGGTTAGAATCACCTTGACGTCAGGCTAACCGTGGGAGGTTCTCGTGGTTTGCCCCTCCATGTAACGCAAATGAGGGCAAGTCCCGTCAAAAAAGTCCTCCACGAAAGTAAATTTCTCTCAATATTTGATCCAGGAGCTCCCTTATCTTCTGTATTGGGTTCGAAATTACAAGGCTACGGAGTTGAACATTAGTAGTAGTAAATCCCCTGATGCCCCCTGATGGTTAAGCTTTGATAAGTAGTAGTAAACCCAAAATTGTGTCCGCTGTTCAACGACGGTTATAAGAAAGGAAAATAGTTATGTACAGAGGGAATATTTTTTTAATACTGAAGAAAGGCATTTTAAAAGTAAAGCAAATTTTTATTCATTTATTTAATTCTTCAACCGTCAGTTCTGACACATTTCACAGTGTTTTACTTTTCAACTAGCCTATTTCCAAGTAGGTAAAGCTAACTTTTCTCTGGTAGTCAAAAAATAATATGACAAGAACAAATTAACAGATTTATAACGCGAATGACTGGTTCGGTACTATAAAAACGTACCTTTGTTAGTTAATGAATTCGACTTCTGCCACACCATACGTCACACCCGTTTATAGGGCGGATCCATTCTTACATCCATTCGTTCATCCACAGATCGTATTTTTGACCTGAATCAGAGAACGATGGATCTCCAATCCAGTACCCCCAGAGGTATTGATTTGTTATGGGAACACGGATGACTTTTGCGACTCGACAGATTTAACGTGCATCAGTCACTTTACTACACGGGGAGTCTTCGGTCGGCGGGGTTCGAACCCACGAACTCTCGCACTTGGGTCCAGCGCCCTACCGACCAGACTATCTGTCCTAGCGGTTCAATCGGTTCTATTACTTAACAAACTCTGCTTGTGTATATTTGAAAAAGGAAAAACTACTTCGGAGAACCGGATTTTTAATTATATTCAGAGCAAAGATATAAAACCCCATGAGGGAAATATTTACGTTTTGACTTTAAGCTCGGTTAACAGTTATTTCAGCTACGTCGCAAAATTATAATTTGACTAGTTGTCCATTGATCTAACACCATGTAAAGGAGGTTAAGGAACTGAAAATATAAAAACCCTTTAATACCTTTGCAAGATTTCTAATGACTTGAAAACGAGAATTGATGATTGTTAGTTGGTTTCTCATGTAAGTATCCAAGTGCGAAGTGAGAAGACCTTGAGCTAAAGTACTCAGTTTTTCCACCGATTCTCTACCTTTTTCCAACTCATCAACTATACCCTGATATGAAAAAGAATAAAGTCAAACACTTTGATTAAGTAATTATGTGTATGATATAAGTAACATATTTTTAGAAACGAATTTCAAATGTTGGTACGATAGATGAGATTTTTGCAACACGTTGAGCGCCATGCTAATTTTACATGGCTTGCCCATCTGGCCACGGAAAATTAACAACAAACTAAATTTGCAACTATTAGACTGATTTTGCTATTTTTTTAGACGGTTTATATCTTTTTTAGACGGTTTAGACATATCTGACAAAAGTGATGAATTATATAAGCCTACGAATTATGTAGAAATAGTGGTAGATCTACTACAATCTACTAAATTGAATTTTTTAAACCAAGAATCCCAATAATTAAGTAGATTTGTAATAAATTTTCTGCAATTCCATAAAAGAGTGTAAATTTTATAGTTCTATATCATGTTATACGCTGTCAGCCAGCTGTTTTTCGCTGCCTATGTGAAAGGTCAGTGTCAGCAAGCTGTGGCAGACGCAGCCTAAATGCAATATCAGTGTCAGCTACCGGTGGTTGACGCAGCCTAAATGTAATTTCAGTGTCAGCCACCGGTGGCTGACGCGGCCTAAATGGAAAGTCCAGTGTCAGCCACCGATTGCTGACGCGGCGCTCAACGTGTTAAATATAAAATATTAGTTCTTCGAAGTCAAATAATTCACAATCTATGTAGTTTATTTACATACCAGTAGTTTATTTTAAAAATAAATTGTGTTAAATATAAAATGAACACGTGTTCGATGAAACAAACACAATATTAGATCTTTTTTGAGAAATGAGATTAGTAATGCTTGCATTTAGGTTTCGCAAATATACTATAATTATAAATAACTGGTATTAAAAACTATAACTGCAATAGATAGACAAGGAAATGAAATAACAAATTTTAAGTTAACGTTGTGCTTAAAGCTATAAATGTCAAAGTTAGTAAGGTGGGTAAATAAATTTTTTAATGTACAAAAAAATATAATAATAGATTGATTGAAAGTGTAATTTAATGTCTTTCCAGTTGTGGCTAAGGTGCACTAAACGTATGATTAAAAAAAGGAATTAAAGCTATTCAAGGTAATAGGAGCAAGAAACTATAAAGAAACAATAAGAAACTATAACAGACACTGAAAAAAAAAGTAGAAGTAAAAAGAGACAAAAAAAGAAAAAGAAAGGTCACTAGAGCATATGTGAAACCCATATTAATCATAAATCTGCTCAAGAAAAAAGATTGAAAGTGTTTATTTATTTATTTTCTTTATTATTATTACTTTTTTTGTAGATTTAGATTATTTCTGACAACACAAGTTAACTCCTTTCACACTGGTTACACAATGTTCACGCATATATTGGCAGATTCAGGATTATTAAAAAAATTACCTGATGATAGTTTTTTCATAGTATAAATTACGTGAAACTAGAAAGGATATTGCATTAGTTCTTTAGATTCTATTGTAAGAGTATTGCACGTATTGTAATTCTATTGTACGGGAGAAAATATATGTTGCATTCTGGTTAATTATTCTGATATAAATTATTCTGGGAAATTCTGATAAATGAAGTTATTCGTATGATTTATCTAGGATCACAAAGCAAACCTGAGATGTCAAATAATATAATACCTTGCAATATTGATAACTAAAAAATTTACCAGATGATAGTTTTTTCATAGTATGAATTACGTGAAACTAGGAAGGATATTGCATTACTTCTTTAGATTCAATTGTAAAAGATATGTACGGGAGAAAATATATGTTACATTCTGATAAATTATTCTGATATAAATTATTCTGATAAATTCTGATAAATTAAGTTATTCGTATGATTTATCTGTAAGCACAAAGCAAACTTGAGATATCAAATAATATAACACCTTGCAATATTTGAACATCGCTTGTTTTTCATCTAGTGTAGATTTCAACATAGTTTTTTGAGTTTTGACGTCAGATTCCATCACTTGCAGCCATTCTCCAACCTTTTCATATTCTTCTTTAAACTCTCGTAGTTGTATACAAATGTTATCTAAAGTGAAAAACAATTTTTTATTAAAAGGTCTGCTATTTATATTTCTTTTTCTAAGTTGCTGAACATCAGGAATAATAGGCTCAAAAATAACAAAAGCTAAGGCATACCTAGTTCTTCTTTAAGATCGGTAATTTCAACGAACAGGTTCTGAAAATCCGATTTCAAATTATTTATATCAGATGTAATCACTTTCTTTCCACTTTCAGAACTTCCATTTGCAGCTATTTCGCCACTCTGTACTACAGAATCCACTTTTATTTGTCCCTGTGATTTCTTTGCAAGAAGCTCCTACAAAAACACGAAATGTTAATAAATCATTTCTTTTTATTTTAATATTAAAATTCTAAAACAAAATTCACGATACAAATGGATATCAAAATCAATGTGGGGAAACAGCACCGAATCAGTAGTTCAAATTTTGAACTACTGATTTGGTGCTGTTTCCCAATTATCGTTGGCTTTTTACTTTTTATGTTCATATAAAAACATTTCAAAAGCGTTTTTGTAAACCAAATAGACGCATTGTTTTAGATAGTTTTGAACTTCAAAACTATCTAGCTTCAAGAAGAAGACCTCCCATACCGACACATGTGACGTATGAAGTCAGTTTGAATCTTAATTTAGGATAAGTTACTTCAATACAGAACCGTATCGCACTTCAAATTAGATGAAATATAATTCTCTCTCGTCTACTTCCTCTACTTATTATTTGTTTACGTATTTTTTGTGACAGTGATATATTTTTGTTTTGTATACCTGGCAACTTCGATGCATAATTAGTTTCACTTGATTTCGTGCCTGTCTTTGTGTTAAGTCTCTGTGTAAATATATAGTGAAAGAATTGAAATATATGAGAAAGAATCCGTGTGAAAGAATTTAGAATGTGTCATTTAGGAGAATTGACACTTGACAGGCTTGGTTTACTCAAAATAATATGCAAAGAACAGTTGCTAACATAAACAAATGCTACGTTTTCACAACCAATCAGGATCGAGATACCCACACTACGTCACTTGCAGGTATCCCATTAAAATTTTAAAAAAATTAGTCCCGTTTAGGCAAAATTAATAGAGAAAAAACGTTTGATTATGGATAATTTTGGTTAGCGTTTGAGCAATAGCATCATTTTCATTGCTGAATGGTATTGATTTTCGTAATTCTTTATTTTGGATTGCGTGAATTTCTAAAAACGTGTTTTGCTTTTTCTAATAACGTTTAGTCACCAGGAAAGGTAAGAAGTAAGAAAAAAATAATGCAATTATTTTAGCTTTTTTAATTGTGGTGGTATATCCCTTTCATATTTGAGTATGATTGCGTTGTAACGAACACAGGGGTTCGTTTTGATTAGAGATGAATAAAACAGCCTTTAAGACACCAAAAATTTATCGTCGGAAGCTCTTAAAATACAGTTATTTCTAGTACTCAACTACAGCTTAAATAATGACGTAGTTGAAGAAAACAACCGCTTTGAAACCTCAGACGTTTCAATAATCTCGCAAATAGGACCACTATTGCAATCTCATGCAAACTAATAATCTTACTGTTCGGACCACTATATAGGCTAGGCGATGAACTAATGGCTATTTCTTTTATTACTGCATCATACGGCATGAATTACTTTTAAATCCGATAATAGGAATTGATAAAATAGTTGTCATGCCATAGAGGATATAAAAAATCTACCTTTACTATTAGTAATCTAGATTACTTTTCCTCTATATATTGGATTGAATATATTTTACAATATTAACCTCATCAGCCATGGTGGCTACCGGTCTTAGACCGGTCTTCAACAAATTCCGCCCCCGGCTCGCATCAACCAGAGTGCTGACGTAAAATATTTTCAGAGGTAGACGGATCATGGATTAGAGTCCCCTTGCCATCAGGCTAACAGTTGGAGTTTTCCGGAGCTTTCATCTCCGTGAAAGGCAAATGTGGGTTAGTTCCATCAAAACGTCTTCCAAGAAGGCAAATTTCTCCCAATATTTGAACCAGGAGTTCTATTGTCTTCAAGTTCTTAAAACTAGTAGTTCTTAAAACTACAAGGCTACTCAGTTGAACAGTAGTAGTCGTAAACCCTAAATTGGATAGATTGTTCAACGAGGGTTATAAAATAAAATTAAATATTTACCTCAAAATTTTGCGGAATTTCTTACAGAGTAAGTTTTTAATAAAAATTTTTTTTTCCTCCAATGCTGCCAATTACGGATACGTTTGAAAACACTGCCAAAATAAACTGAAGAAAGAATTTTTATAACTACATGGCTTGGGAAATACATACCTCTAAAACAGAAGCACTGGATTCTAAATTTAACCTGTCGCTTAAAGATCGAGTAACCGGAGGAATTTTTTCTCTTATGTGTCTCATCCAGGAAATCAAACCATCACAGTTATTCCTAAATGCCAGATGCTGCTTGTAATTCTGATCATTTTGAAGTATCTGTGCCTAAATGAATATTTGATTGAGCAAAAAGTAACATTGTGCAACAGCGATTGGCATCGAAAACGCATACAATAAATCAAACAACTTACATTGCATGTTTCTGATAAAGCGTGGAATTTATGAATGACGTCCATCGCTTGGGAAGTATACACACATTGAGGGCCTCTGTCAATTATTTCTTCTGTTTTTCTATTCAGACTGTCCACTTCCATTTTTTCTTGCTGTATTTTATGCTGCAGGGACTGTAAAGGAATATTAACATATTATCTTTTAGTATATGTCATTGTTGATGAAATGGCATAGCATAGTAGTTAACGCAGAATAAACAAAGTATGCAGGTTATTTAATTACAATTAAAGTTTCTAAACTAAGGATTTTGATCTTTTTTCAATAGGAAACATTTTAAAATAAAATTCCAAGAACAATGTATCCTTAAATTTTTTTTTTAAATTTTAAGAGACCTTTTCCATCTTTATCTAGGGTTTTAGGTTTAGTTTTTTATTTGCATTTTACAGACTTTTGTTTTGTTCTTAACCAACTTGTGACCTTTTGTTGATATGGTATTGTTCAGCAGCACAATACCTTAAAATAACGGAAAATAAAGGATTTGTTTATTAGATTAGGAGAAATAGATCTTGACAGTTTTTTTGAACTTTTATGGATTTTCGCTTAAAACATTAAAGCAATAAAGTTTAGTAATTTGAAACTACACTTTTTAGAATTTTAAAAATTTAGTTTTATTACAGTTTAAATTGATGAACACCGATACCGGTAATCCTAAAAAATATTTTAAAGCAAAAAACGGACAACTATTTACATTTTAACAACTTTTTTAAAAAAATTGCTGATTGCAGTTCTGTGCTGGTATAATTTGCAAGAAAAAATGAATGGAGAATCTAAAATACAGTACGCTTTTATATCTCAAATTCTGTTTGACTAAAGGCCTTGCATTTTACAGGATTTGAAAGATACTGCTGAATGAAGTAAACATCCACCATCAGTTCATTTTTGAAAATGAAATTTAAAAAAGAGAATAAAAGAATATTCAGAATTTTCTCTTTCCATCTACATCCCTTCGACAGGTGAGTTCGGTCAGAAGAAGGAAAACCTCTTAAATTAAAAAAAAAAAAGATATCTAATAAGAAATTACACCATTTACAAGTAAGAAAATGCAAGTAAGTAAGAAAGTAAATGAATAAATGAAAGTAAAGAATTAGTAAATGAAAGAGACTAAAGAAGTTAATATAATTACATGAAGTGACAACACGCCAACAACATTTGTTTTGATGTTGGGGCAATTCTTCATAGGAGCGATTGTAATAGTGATGGAGTATTGGTACGAATATCGTTTATTGCAGGTTAAGTTTATATTATAACTAAATTAAGCGTGAGTTGAGTGTGTTGTTATTGTGCATAGTGTGCCTCATAATCCCAGGCTTTCATGTCTTACAGCCTATTAAAGGATTTTTATGAAAATTCATTTACATTATTTAGAGTATTCGTAATTCACTATACCAGTGACATTTTTCTAGATGTTGTTGGGAAATATTTATCGATAAAACTTGACTTAATGTGCAATGACTGATTTTTAATTTATCACAGAAGTGATTATCATAGACAAGGAATATCCAGAAAAAATATTATTGTTAAATATTAATAGGTATTAAATGGTGATAGAATAAGTCTGTAGTTTCAGTCCCTAAGCTAACCTAGGTTTATACCAATGACACATTTCCGAAATGGTCGATGACGTGAAAAAGTAATTTTAAAAAATGGTAGCAGATAAAAAAAAAATGATTTGCTGCATTCTGTTAAGGAAACTAGAACATTGATAATTTTGCTTTCAAACGACGAAGCTGCTGCAATTGGTACTTATTTATAAATGTTTTTTAATGGTATTTCAGAAGCACCATCTGTTTAAGATAAATGTTAAAAAATTTGAAATTTTGCGAAAAGAAAATTCTTATTTCACAACAAACGATAAATTTATAAACTTATAAATTTAATAATATAACTTAGAACCAAATGACAATGTTCGTATAAAGTGATTATAATTTGTGCAACATAATGCGGTACTAAAAACAAGCCATTCCAAATACATATTATTTATAATTTTATAGGCTTTTTTTTTACCTTTACTTTATCTAATTGGCACTTTTTCTCTGACAACGATGATTGAGGCTTCTTGGCCTCTTCTAAAGTGTCTTCAATATTGCTCGTAAACTTAGACACTTGTTTAATGGCATGAAGGAATTCAGCCCATTGGTGTATACAATCTTCAAGTGTTACTTTGACACTAGATGATGATAAATACAAATTGGAAAGCTCTTCTTGGAGTGATTGGATGGCTTCATTGATTGAGGAATGACCAAGTGGAGCAGTTGAAGACAAGACAGCTTGAGCTTTATCAGTAATACTTTGGAATTTGGATGATAAAGCTTCCTTTTCACACAAGATATCCTATTGAAAAACAATTAGAATCATGCTTTAATTATAGAACAAAATAAATAAATCAATTAAAATAAAAAATTTAATAATCTGAAATCAACAAGAGATGACTTTTAGTGATTGCTAATTTTCAGATTGCCAAAGTTCAGAGGTCCGCATACATTTATTTTTTAATAGTTTTATATAATTCATCTTTTTAAAATATTTTTAAAAATATTTTAAAATATTTTTTTAAAAATATCATCTTTTTAAAATTATTATAAGATTGTAGATATCCATTTAAATTAATTTTTTTAATAGACTCATGGTTTTTGAAACAAAATTAATATCAAATATCGAAAAAATGTGTTATAAAATTAATTAAGCTAGCTTGAAATCCTATTATTTTTTTAAATCTATTTTCTATAAAGAAAACCAAATTGTCCTTAATGAAGAAAATAATACAAAAAATATTTTTAACAAAATTACTTAAAAAACTGAGAAAAAATATAAAAAACGCATAAATTTGATAAGACATGCAATTTTTTTTCTTTGGGTATCTTTGCAAACATTTTAAATGGTTCAGTTTAGAATTTATTTTTATATTTTTTTCCATAAAAGATTTAACGAAATGTAATCCAAATAGAATCTTCAGCTTAAAAATCCAAGAAGTGATGAGTCTTATAGAGTGTTTTAAATTAAAGAAACGAAAGTCCATGATTAAAATTTATCCAATTTTTTAGTAATAAAAACATAATATCTTTAAAAGATTTTCATGAAATAAGCACAGAACGTTCCCCATTCCCTACTTTGTATATATTTTTATAATCCTTATCAAAATTAAGTAAAAAAAATAACGATAGAGGTATTAATCTAAATAGAGAAAAACTAAGACGTAATTTTAACTTAAAGAAAGAAAGAAAACGAGATTAATCATCAAAACCTGTTATGCTCATTTTTTTAAATAACTCATAGGTTAATTATAAATAACTCATAGGTGAATTATACAATCAAACTGGTTTATAAATAACTCATAAGTTAATTATACAATCAAACTGGTTTTTGATGCTTTTAGTTTCGCCTTAATCAAAAGTAATTCATTAAATTCTGTTCACAGTTTTGTTTATCGTAGCATAAATAGAGACCTTCAATGTGACTTTCATGTTTAAAAAGAAATAAAAAAAAGCTACTTTAAGGTATTTACGGTACACTAAGTACAGTTAGAGTAAAATAAAAAATAGAAATACCTGAACAATTTTCAACTTTTCATGAAGATCGTCTAAAGTTCCTTCGGGTGACTTGCATTTATCTAATTTGCATTTTATGTCACTCAAAGTATTCTGAAATTCAGAAACTTGGTTCAAAAATTCCTGGTGATCCATGACGTACTGGTTCCATTTAGCATAAGTATCCTGGTATTAAAAATAATTTATGGTTTCAGTTCTTTTAGTTCCTTTTAATGTACAGAACTTGACATTTTAAAGTGAAAAAAAAACTTACTCTGGCCTTAGAAACAAGGTTCTGATAACTGATGCCCAATTCGTTGAGTTTGCTCATGCGTCGTTTACTAGGACCCTTTTGAAGTTGTTGCATTTTATCAGTCAGAGCGTCGATTTCTAATTCCTTCTCTCTAATATCACCTTGATGTTTCTGTCAGAAGAAAAGTAAACTATTTTAGAATTTTGTTCGGGTTATGCTGTAAATTTTTTTAATGTTCACCAATGTATTAATTGAAACTTGCAACACTATTTCTATTTTCCCAAACTTCCAAAAAGAGATCTTTCTGAAAATTTTAGGAGCAATGATGCACAATGTTAGGCATTGTGTTCCTTGCATCTGTTCCACTCCATAATGACCACACACACACACACGCACGCACGCACGCACACACATTGTATTATGATATATATATATATTATGATGCTTCTTAATCTTTATAATGTATTTGACTAGTGCAAAAAACATGATTTCGGACAAAATTATCGAAATTGAGTTTATTATACATTAAGAATCCCTGTACTCTTTGCTTTCTAAAAATACTTTACTTTTGCTAATTCAATTATTTACAATGTTATAGCAGTTTTTATGCAAGATGATAACAGTGGATAGACTAATGACTTTAAGTCCTGAAATGCGTTTAAATCAAAATCAGATTTTTTTTCTCATTTTGTACCACTTTAAACACGTTATCTAATGTTGTTTCAAAAGTAATTGTCTGCAACTTTTCGCGAGTGCTTATGATTATAGAACACATGTTTTGAACTACATATTCTGACTAAGTGAAAAAATATAGCTTCATTTTTATGCATGTTTCTCCCCCGCAAAAACAAGTGCATCTCAGTAGTTTATGCACTTGTTTTTAAGATACTAATTCAAAACATAGTTGATAGCTTTCTGAATAAAATCCTCTAATGATTATTTATTTCGGGTGATAGAAATTGCTTACAGTGTTTAGCGTATGAATAATTATTAAAAGTTTTATTAAAGTTACAAAACAAATAAAATATTAGTCAGTCACAAATAAATTAAACAAAAAATCGTTCGATGACTACTTATTTTTTGCAATAAAATTCCTAATTGAAAAGTGAAATAAATTATTTCGAGAACCGAAGATAAATGAAAAGGATGACAGTTATTTAACTTATAATTAAAATTTAATAACATTAAGATACATTTTAAAGCACGTACTTTCAATTTATCCAACTGATTTCTCTTATCCGGCAAATTTTCCTTCAAACAAATACTCTGCAAGGAATTTTCGATATCTTTCATCCAAGCGTTCACTTCGCCGACGCGTTCTTCATAATCAGACCATTGCTTCATTAAATCATCCAAGAATTCAGCTGTTGACTTCGCTGAGAGTTCGGTCGAGTTAAACAACTCTTGAAGACTATTCAATTCATTTGACAGTTTCACTTGTCCATCTTGTTGCGTAGATGCCATAACGCTTTGCAGAGATTCCGCTAGTTTAGCCAGTTTTGGCTTCTCGGCTGAAAAACTGTTAACTATGTTCTAAATAGAAGAGAAAAAATTAACACATAAAATATTGGGACATAATCAGGAATCTTTAAAATAACACTGGGCAACAAATTTTTTGTTGCATTAGTACAAATATTTGATCTTGCCTAATTCGAATGTGGCGATTACAAATTTTAAATTAACTACTGACATTTTCAATAGAAATGTACAAGTTTAAAAACGTTTTACATAACCAGGTGTCTACCTAGTTTTTTCTGAGAAGCACCTATTTTGTGAAAATTTAGACATAATTTGTGAAAAACTAAAAATTATATAGAAAAATCAACACAAAAATATGGTAAAAATATGGATTTATCGTTTCTTAAGGGATACAAAAATGAAATTTTAAGAAAAAGTATTTTGTGAAACTATCGTTTTTCGTAAAGTTGAATTTTTCCTAAAATTGAATTTGTGAAGGTAATCGATAAACGATAGTAAATTAGGGCTGGGCAGACCCCTGATAACAGATAGTTGCATAAATGTATCGAAAAACTGCTATGGAAGTTATTCCATAACAGTTTTTCAACAAGCTATGAAGCAAGCGAAGAAAAAGTTCATAGTAGGAAAATGGCCCCAGCCACGTAGTATGACATTTACGGACACGGGTTTCTATGCTATTTTAATTCTGATGATGTGCCGTAACTCCCCTAGAAATTAGTTGCTATAGTTATGCGAATCCCTGTTGCATATAACACTTTTAAACTTGCTCACTTCGACAAAAAATGGACTAAAATCTGATTTAAAATAACTGTTGCTTGGAAGGAGAGAGAAAGAGAAACAAATTGCAGATTCAAATCAACATTGTGAAAATATCCAAGATCCGTTAAAAAATCTAATGCAACAGAAAGCAAAATAAATAAGTAAATAAAAATGCTTCCCAGTGTAATTTTTCATTACTTAATTTTTAAAAATGCATTACACATATGGTTAAAAAATTATTATAAGAACGAAGAATTATAATGATTGTAGTAGTTACCATGTGACACTTTTCACTAACGTGCTTATTAATTTAGCAAAACTCACATTTTGAAAAAATAACAATTCTTGAGAATATTATTATATTTTGTTCTTAATTAAAACTTATGTTCTTTCTTTGATCACATGACCCAGTTTCTCTCGTTTTAAGAGTAGATTCTACAGGTTTTTACAGTTTTCGAATATTTCTTTTCATTTTAATAAAGTGAACAGATAAGGCTATTTTAGAATTTAAGCCTTCTGCAATCCGTTTTTGTGACTGTTTGCTAGTAAATTATCCACAGAGTTAATGGGAAATAACATTCGTGTGTGCAGATGTTTGCAATGTAAAAAGTTTTATTAACAGCTTTTTGCTGTTGCTTCCTTATCTAAAGCTAGATATTCGTAAATAGACTAAAATGTTATTAGCACCTTCTTTCTCCAAGCCTTTTAATTATGGGTAAAATGTAAAACTTTTCCTAATTTTTTCCAGCCTGACCATCAATCAGATTTGGGCATTACAATACTAAATAAATCATGCAGAACTAAATAGCTTTTAATCTTTCATTTTTACTAGTTTCTTTTATACATTGCCATTGCAGTTGAATAATTTCTATGGAATAATTTTCTAATTATTTCACAACTAATTCATTTCTAGATTCGTAAACCAAAAAAGTAATCTTGAACAAGAAAATTTCTCTACAAAACTAAAAATATTTTACGCCGATAATTATTCAACATTTTCTATTCTTTATAGCCAATCTTGACAACTTGAATGGTCATTGGAATATAATAGTAACTTAAATCATATTTGTGTCAGGTTGAACTTTAACGTATTTTCTTTTTAAAATTCAATGCAATAAAATACAATTTATAAAGTAGATTATAAAATTCTTAGAAATAGCAACAGAAAAAAATTACCTTTATGTCTCTTACTGAACCTAATAGAGATATACGGTCAAGGTTCGTGTCTCTGCAAGTGTTTATGGCAGACTGAGTTGAGTTTAACCAGCTTTTCAGTTCTGCAACACCTTTATTCCATTTATCATGCTCATTAACAGAGTTTTCATAAAATGATATGTATTCCTAAAAAATACAGAATGAGCTATAAATATACATACATGCATATATCGCACAACCATGGCCCAATCACCAAGTCCAGTTTTTGAAAACTTTATCTTTTAACTGCTGCACAATTTTGAAACAAGTTAAATGACATGGATTGTGCCTGAGCTGGTATTCCTCTCTTCTAAATATCACATCCATTATAGGCATACATAGCCATTGACATGATGCCATTATAGGCATACATAGTTCCTAAATTTTAGAAATTTCTTGTATTTCTTAAATTTATGCTTTTTAATCATTCTTAATTGAATTTTAATTAAATTAAACCAACTATTTATTATTAACTAATTATTTATTACATTACATTTATTTATTATTTATTACCAATTATTTATTAAAAGAAATTAAACTAATAATTTCATTTTATAAAAATACTAATATGAATACTTTATTCCCTTCTTAACAATCAATGCAACGGTTAACACTTTATTTCAATACAAATACAAAATTCATTAATTCACTGTCTCGATTAAATCGGACACAAAATCTATTTATAACTCTTTATTTCTTAAGCTACTTTATTTCTCTAACCACAAAACTGTCTCAGTTATAGGGTTATATTTATTCTCACGGTCTTTTTGGTGATTTAACAGTAGCCAAATTATTTAAAATTTAATAATAATGTGGGGTCGTGGCATTGTATTTGGCTATTTAATCTTTAGATAAATCTCCACCTCTGTATCACTTCCCATGCTCCTAAGTGTCCGTTAGGGACGAGTTAACCACTGTTTATTAAAAATTCTTGGAGTTAGAACTGGGGGTTCTACCCCTCAGTCAGACTGTTATTAAATTTATAAAAAATTTAATCATGTGTAAAAATGTATCGTTTCATTTCCATCATAAGAGAGGCTACCTACTATTTCATTTTTGCATAATATGATCATATTTGTTTAACTTTAATTATTATAGATAATAAATTTAATTTTAAAAAAAATCTATGTGGTAATCAATTCTTCATCACTAAAACGCAAACGTACCATGAATTTCCACCGATGCATCCATGAAACTAGAATAAATATCTACATAGCATAATGAGAAGGCTTTTAGCAATAAGTCAAAATAATACTGACCAATAAATTTCCTAAAGTCAAAGTAGATCAGTAAATAACAGTAAATTAATAAAATTAATATCGAACAGTCAATTGATAATATCACTCTTTAGAAAGAAAAAAATAAAGTTAATAAAGGGATTCGTTAATTAAGGAATATAAAAAGGAGATACAGCTATTAAATAGCTGTATTAATTTATAAGACATGAGAAATTAAAATTTAGATGCGCATTATAAATTGATGATACAGCCAAACTTTAGAAAAAAAGTAAATAGCAGATAAATAGACAATATAACAAAATTTAAGATAATGTAGACAGAAATTAGATGCATATTTTGAACAGATAATATAAAAAAAATTCTGAAAAAAAAGAATAGAAGTTATACATGTATTAGGAATTGATAATACAACCGAAATTTAGAAAATGATTAGTTTGAAAACGAAAAGATAATTTAACTTACTTCTGCTTTGGATTTTAATTCCTTTTGCTTCGAAACTAATGAGTTTATAATATCATCCATGTTCTTATCAACAGTAGGAACACAATCATTCGAAATTTGCAAATCATCAATCGCTCGTTCATGTCCGTTGATGTCAACCAATAGTGCCTGAAATTAAATTAAGTTGCTTAGGTATCAAGAAAATACAAACATTTTAATATATTATGCTGAAAAAGTATTGAAAAAAAATTACGTGTAATGTAATGACCGACCCAGAATGACTGAAATCAAGACGACTTTCACCGTTGAATGCCAACAATCACATAGTCGCTTTGGTGAATGCCCGAAATATTTATTATATCCGAATTGATATTAATTTATTCGTTGATATAATTAAATTTATTCTGCTGAATATAGATTTGGAGAAACATCAGTATTCGGAGTATTGGGCAAATGTATACCGGGCAGTGGCACTGAACCTTAAAAAAATATCAGCGTAGGATATATCAGGCAAAGGTATACCAGGCAGTGGCCCTTAACTAAATCTAGTATATATTTCGGACATTTACCAAAGCGACTATGTGATTTTTGGCATTCAACGGTGAAAGTCAACAACCACCGATTTTGGTCATTCACAGTAACATATATATTACATATGAATACTTCCTGATTCTTTGGAGCAATATCATAAAAAGATCTAGAGCAGTTAATGTAGAAAGATTATTAGCCTTCTCAGCGATTTATTGAAGATTTTATGGTGTAAAATTTAAGATAAATACATAAATACGAGTTTTATAATTTGTAAATACTTGTTTAATGATTTTTAAACACGTTACATTAATTTAACAACCGAATAGCGGGGTCCAAACAGCTCTGGAAGGAACAGCTCTATTAAGTCAAGTTATAAAACACTTTAAGTACTTCATGCAGATCACTATCTATTTTAGGACGAAATTTTTTTATGTTAGCTGAACATTTCAGCATAATTAGGTTCAAAGCATACTTCCCTTTCATCAAAAATTTAAAAAATAATATTAAATTTCTTTTTGCTATTCAACTTATTTTTGAAACTTAAATCTGTCTCAAATAAGAGTTTAAAGTAATTTTTTAAGCAAATGTCCCATCAAATCATTTTATTTAATGTACAGTTAATTTAGGTAATTTTTTTTTCTGTTTTGGCTCTTTTGTTTTTATTCATTTAAATCAATTCAGATAATGCTCCTGATTCTCACCGACCACAGCACGAACATAAGATATCCCCTGCAGTAAACAAATCATGGTTCGGCACTCTGTGAAAGGAGAATTCAGGTAATTGCACTAAAAATTTTACTCTCACAATATATGATCCTGATATTCTTTAGTTTGCCAGGTAGTGTTAAAAAACACAGCGGTACAAAGCTGAACACCTGCTAATCAACGTCGGCTATCTAACACCGGTTATAAAATAAAAGCTAAGTATAAAGTATGCAAATTAAATTTCATATATAGATTTGGTGTATTTCTTCAAGCATATACGTTTATAGCGAAAGTTTCTTTTTACTATTCAACATATTAACATTAGTTATTGTTTACCTTATATGTACGAAGTAGTCCTTTCTTAGAATCAAGACTTGTTCCCAATTTGGGGGAATCGTGAAAGTTGGAGGAACAGTTTGTTATCCAAAGTTGGAGCCTTTGTAAAGTCTCTTCGAACTCAGACCATACGAACTGAGTAGATTGCAGTGACCTATCTAAGCTGGCAGCATCATCAAACACTTTATCAAAAGCTGTTTGAAGGTTTTGCAGCATTACTTGAACTGTTTCCCATCCCTCCGGAGAAGATCCCACTTGTAATTGTTCTCCGTACTGCACCGTTGCACTCAGCAGGTTGAGACCTTCATCTTTAGTTTGAAGAAAAGCCTACCAAATACATTCAAACAAAGATATTTATATGATGAATAAATATATAATGTCAAAAAATTTAACATAAAAAGTTAAAATGTAAGTTAATAAATAGAATTCATTTTTCCCCAAAATTAAAAAAACAACAACAACTTTTACACGCTTAAATAACAGGGATCTGTCCAGACATTTTGTGAAAGGTCCGCTTTTGCAAAATTGTGAAAAAATTACTCGTAATTTGTGAATATAAAATAGACGTTAAGTCAGATTCTTTTAACCAGGGTCCGGCTTTTGTGAATTTGTGCAAATAGGGTCCGTTATTGCAAAAAAAACTTTTTCAAGGAGTTTTTTAATCATAAAGACATGCAAGATTGCGCTCAACGCTGTAAAATTACAATTAAAAATATTAAATTTTAAAAAATAAACAGCAATCGATGCTATACTAAATTAGCGATGCAATATATAAATATTTGGTACTTAGCCTATACTTAGACTATTCATTTCGGACGAATAAAGGAAGAAGCGTCCGCCGAAGACAAAATTTAGTTCGTTTACATCTGTCTGTCTTTCCCCCCCTTCCTGGGAAGGGTTTATTCGATTAACAAAACAATAATGAAGATAAACAAATTTGTGAAAGGTCCGATTGAAAGATAAATTATTTCGTCAAGGGTCCGATTGAAAGATAAATTATTTTGTCAAGGGTCCGTTTTTAAGTTATAATATTTTGTGAAGGGTCCGTTTTCATGAAAAGATATTTTGTGAAGGGTCCGTTAACGGACCCAAATTTCTTCTAAACAGACCCCTTAATAAGCTATACATAAGCGAAACAGATTTCAAAAATGTTATCTGAAAAGAAGTTAAAACGAAAATCATAACGAACGAAGCATTTATTAAATTACTTTCGTGTTTTGCAAAAGAAAAGCAGTGTATCTCTGCCAATGAAAGTGTCCTTTATACCAGAAGGAACACAAAAGAATACTCCAAAGTTATGATGTTCAAAAGAAATACTAGGTGCAAAGAAATGAAAAAAAAATACTTAAGCGATTAAAATACTTTTGTTAAATATTATATAGTAGTAAGATACTAGTTTGATCTTAACCAAAAGAACGTGTGGCTCTAATATGGTATGACCAGTATAAATTGCCCATCTTATTGTAACCTAACGTTTAAGTAGTACTACATTTGATTATAGAATCTTATGTTTACCTGAACTTGAGAAAGTTTTTCTTGTAAACTATCACAATTGCAGTATGGAAGAGCATTAATTTTTCCAAAGCGAGAAGCAGCATCTTCAATCCATTCGGAACATGATTTGTGTTTTTCATTAAATTGAACATGATCCTCAACATGTTGTTCACTTTTACGAGTAAGTTCCTATAAAAAGAAGAATTTAAGAATATTGAAATGCATTAATACGAAAAAACTTTTTGTAGATAAATTACATTTTTCGAAAATTGTTTTAAACATTTCAGGAAATTATGTTCTTTAAAACAATCTCTTAATAAATAATGTAGTACATGATTGTGAATTATTGCACTCACCCCTTAGTTTTGAATTCCTAATTCAAATAATGGTATAAATTAATAAAATGATACTTCAAAACATTATATGTAACTAAATAGTTGAAACAATCAATTTTTAAATGTTTAAAAAAATCCTATAAAAATTTTAAAAAAAGTTATTCATTTTTTTGCATTAATAAATAAATAAACTTTTGCATTTCACCCTAAAATAATATTTTTTTTTACTTTAAAATAATAATTTTTTTTTGTAAATAAGAATCATATGCACGTATTGATTGAATTCATGATTGAGTTAGGAGTCTTTTACACAAATTTTTGGAGCATGTTGAACCACATTATTCTTCACACTTCCCGCAACCTTAATATTGTGCTAAATTGAAGCAAATCATCAGACTTTCAAAATTTGATTGCATGATGTTATGTTTGAACCTGAATGGAAATAAGGTTGAAACAAATTTGGATCAAATTATGGTTCAAAAAACCGGTATGCTATTACAACGTTAAACCGAATTTACTGAGAATGTTGGTATTCCGATTAATTCTTATTCAAAATGTATTTCGCAAATATTTTTAATCTATTGTTTCATACGGGGCAATCGTGAAAACTTTTCTGTCAAACATTAGAATGGAAATATTTTAATAGATAAACTGAGAATGTTGTTGTTCCGATTAATTCTTATTCAAAATGTATTTCGAAATTATTTTTAATCTATTGTTTCATACGTGGCAATCGTGAAAACTTTTCTGTCAAACATTAGAATGGAAATATTTTAATAGATAAACTTTTAATTACAAATGATACTTTATACCAGCTTTGTAACTGAAACTTTTAATTACAAATGATACTTTATACCAGCTTTGTAACTGAATGTGACAGAAATTCAAAAATATCAACCAAGCCAATGTACAAGCATTTTAAAACATTTAATAACTTTACTACTTTATATCTTTAAGCCTATATTGTCTTTATATCTTATTTTACTCTTAATATCTTTACGCAAAATGTTTAATGGTTCAACTAGCAAAACATTTATTTATTTAGAAATGTACCGAAAAATGATTGCAAATATTAAAAAAAAAGAGTGCAATGATAGTTAGAAATAAAACCAGTTAGAATAATAAACCGGTTTTGATACATTACCTTGCAGGTTAGAAGCATGGATTGGAATCTTGAAACGAGTTGAGAAGTTGCCATTGATATTCTCAATTCCCCACTCGTAGCAATCAAATCTTGTGATTCATCAGACAAAACATCAAAATCAGCTTCTTTAGCCTGAAGCTCATTGAGTAAAGCCTAAATAATTTCAGAGTACACGAAAACAGATTCAGGATACAAGAATTAAGGCATATTTAATACAAGAGATTCAGAAATATTAGCTTTAGTGTATCAGAGCGTGTAAAAAAAATTGTAAGCTAGCATAACTATGCAGTTTTGATCTAAGCTATATTGAATATATTTTTTTCAATCAACTCATAATTAATAGGTTAGTGTTATTGTATGGCAACACTCTGCAATGAAATACTTAGGAAACTATATTTCATATGGTGATCCACGAATAGATGAAGTTCTTATATGAATTTCTAGCCTAACACCATCTATGTTCATTTTGTGGTACAGAGTCTTACAATTTAATTAATGTATTGTTTTTTCAAATTTTTTCTTTCTTGTACCTTTTTCTGTCTGGCAACAAAAATAAGTTGAAGGCGTACTTGTTTTAATATAAGCTTAAAAAAAAGTTTTCATCATGTTAAACAGTCTTCAACATTCAACATCCAAACATCATGTTAAACGCTATTGAAATAAAAGCCATTAAATTAAAGGAAGATACGTTTAAGGCCCAGAAAGACATATGCATTCTATATATAACAAAATTTGACGATAAGTAAAGAATATATCATTCAATTAAAAGTAAAAAACAGTTTTCAACACCATTTGTGTCTTACTTGAGAAGATGTGTCTGTGTCAGGCGGATTTAAAATATCATCCAAATTATTTGCATAGCTCCCTTGAAGCAACATCTAGAGCAATCAATGATGTTTCCAAAATGCCAAATTAAACAAAAAACATGCAAAAAAATGAATAAAAACAAATAATAATGCGTTAGTTTACTAAACAACTATGTTATAAAATAATATCATGCATGCATACATATAGTGAGTAAAAAGTATTTCATAAGTAAAAAAAATAATAAATAAATAAATAAAACTAATGTCTTCTATAATACATGCTCATAAAAATAAATTCTATTACAGTAAATATGAATTAGTTACTGAAAGACAAAAATGTCTTAATACAATTTGTCAGTAATCTGTTAATATACAAAAAAAATGAAAGAAAGTGCAATAACCAAAATGTTAATTACTATTCAAATTAAAATTATCGGCTCTGTTTCATTCATTCGGTTATTTCATTTTAATTAAAAAAAATTATATTTAGCACAGGTGTAAAATTGTTTCAACTTTTATTATTTGCTAAAACAGTCAATTTACATAGGATTTGGATATTTAAAGGTGTTCTTCGAAACTTTTACGCGAAGGAAAATAAAAATGAAGCAAAGTCTTAATTTTTAGATTGTATTCTGCCTTCCTGAAAGGAATTGTCTGAAACAAATAGCATAAATATTGAAAAAAAATATTTTAACTATTTATAAAACTTCAAGAAATTATTTATTTGACTGGATTTTTTCGCCTTGATGAAAATTAAATTAAAGCAAAAAAAAGTTCTCAAATTTTACATATCTTTATGAATCTAAATAATACAGCATTGGAATTTATTTTTTAACTAATTAAATTTAGATTACAACTCTGTTCAGTTTTACAATTTTGGCGCTTTGCATCATTTTTGTTCTTAGCATCGCATAATAATAATAGCAAGGCATTGCGTAAAACTCAACAATCATGAATAACTGCTTCAACTTCATAACAATTGCAAAATCGTATAAAATGCGTTAAATAGAATTATTTTATAAGATAGGAGAGCTTGATAGTCTTATTAATGCGGGATTCTACTACAGTCTAGGAAATTATAAGGTATTCATTTTTAACGTCTCGTTCACTTAGTTTGCAAAATGCATCTTAACAAAGTAAGTAGCTGTTATTCAGTATCTAAATAACAGGCTTAACTTTAAAACTGAAATGGAGCAAGGGAAGAATAGAAAAATAGTTTACACTACTATTTAATTTAAATCGAGCAATAACAGGATCTGTAACATCCGTCTTTTACCAAACACCAAACTGTACTCTAAGCAATGTATTAAACACAGCATATTTTTAGATATGGAATTTAAAAGCCTTTTTAGACAAAATATCCCTAAATCTAATATAATATTTCATGCTTTATTATAGCTAGATAAAAAACGAAATAAATTATTTAGAAATTATCTCTTGTAAATACGGTCATGCTTTTAATTTTTTCATGCATTTCTATGAAATAAAATAAGACAAAATAAAAGCAACCTGGAATTTATCACGTTGTTCAGTCTTTGCTTCAACAGTTGTTTTGGGAGAAAATTCTTTGATTTTGTATTGATTCTAAATCAATTTTAGATTTATTGATTGTATTGATTCTAAATCAATTTTAGATTTATTGATTGTATTGATTCTAAATCTATTTTAGATTTATTGATTGTATTGATTCTAAATCTTTTTTAGATTTATTGATTGTATTGATTCTAAATCTATTTCAGATTAGATTTTGATTGTAAATCTATTATAATGTTTCATGCTTTATTATAGCTAGATAAAAAACAAAATAACTTATTTAGAAATTATCTCTTGTAAATACAGTCATGCTTTTAATTTTTTCTTGCATTTCTATGAAATAAAATAAGACAAAAAAAGCAACCTGGAATTTATCACGCTGTTCAGTCTTTTCTTCAACAGTTGTTTTGGGAGAAAATTCCTTGATTTTGTGTTCCATGATTTCTAACCATCCAGTCATGGAATTACATTTCTCATCATAAATTTCCCATTGCTTAAATTTTTCTGCCAGTTTTTTCAATGTTTCATCAATGTTAGTCGATAGATCTTGAAGTCTCTTCTCGAAAGAAGCTTGGCATTTGACTAATTGTTCAAAATCCCTGGGTGTGATTGATGGAGAGATTTGTTGGAGTGACTTTTTGTAAAGATCTATTTTGGTTTGTCCTTCTGGTAAGTGCTCCTTCAGGTCCTATTTAAATATTTAAATATATTTAAAATGCATCCGATAAAAGTAATATTTAAAATGCATGCAATTTACATAAACTTTATCATCAAAAGAAGTGCATTTTATTATGTTCCGGTTTAAATTTAAGGCATTCTTGTATTGAAAAGCTTCCACAATTCTATAATTTAAATGTGGATTCAGAATAAAATCATCAAAACAATTTTAAGATTTTAAAAAATTCGAAAATGTTTAAAAATACTGCTTTATGATAAGTTATCATAGTAAGTTTGACGAAGCAGAAATCACTTTTTCGTATTAAATCATATAAATTACTGAAATGCTATCAATACTGAAAAAATTTCAAAAATTTGTGAAGTGGATAAATTTTGCAAATTAAAATCACAGAATAAATGATCCTTAGAAAATAAATATGGGGAAAATATTTTTATAAATCATTTTAAATTAATAGAAAAAATAAAGTTAATGATAAATTTCTGAAAAATAATGTTTCGACACACGTTTCAATCGTATTGTTTCGGAATTTTTTCCTCCTGCAGTTCATCAAGAATTTTTAAAACTATATTCTTAAACTATGTACGAATTATAAAACCGGGTTTTCATAATTTAATAGTGGCGTTGTTTCCAAAAATTAGTATTTTTCAAAAAAATGGAAGAATTGCAAAAAAAGTGCAAAACATTTTGATTTTAAAAATAACACTATAATATTGAAGAAATGCAGTATATGCAACACTGTAAACTAGAGCAGTTTTTTAAAATATTATTTTTGGATAAACTAGAACTAAATAAACTAAATTACCTCCTTCATACTAATATATAACGATACTTAAGTACCCTAATATGGTAATACAGTTCCAGTTTACGAGATAATATAGTTAGCAAGTGCCATATGAAAATACAAGAAAAAGATGACATTTAATAAGGGGTATTGATTTTAAAGCGAATAAAAAGTAAAGGTGTTGAAATCATTAAAACAATAAAAGACCATTTGTTGATTAAAATCAAAGCTTAGTTTTCATCCAGTGGTATATTTGAATAATTTAATTTTAATTATTGCTTTCCTCCATTCAAAAGCACGTTCAATTTTCCTTGGATATTTATTCAACAGGAGGTTAAAAGTGTGACATAAGAAACATAATCCAAGTTACTCTATGAAAACCTTTATTCACTTCAAAAGTTTTCATATTTATATTTCAAATCACTTGTGTTTCTTCTCATTCACGTCCAGCAAGTCATGAAAATGGGTGCCTGTTTTTGAGCGCTTAAAGCTTGTCGACTGTTACTTCCAATTTGAAGCTTTTTTTAAGCAAATGAAATTTTTAATCAAGTAACCTATTACCGCTTCAGTTTCTTGGGATTATTTATTTAATAATCCAAGTTATTTTTCAAGTAACTTTTATAATAACATAACAAAGCTAAGCCTTTGGTATTTTTTTTCCAATGGCAGGCACTGAATTTGAATCCTTGCCTATACTATGCCAGAATTGTTGCTCATTTCGCGTTACCCAGTGGGCACCTGTGAACCAAAGTCACGGAGGCGAGCAACACTGCCCACGCCACACTGCCACAAACCCGTTTATAGGGTGGGCCACATTCACACATCATACACGCACACAACAGAGGACAGCACAAAGAGAGAGAGAGAAACATCCATGCCCTGAGCGGGATTCGATCCCGCAGCCTATGGCTTCGCAGTCAGGCACGCTAACCGCTCGGCCACCAGGCCGGCCCTTTGGTATTAATTTTTCAGAAGAAAAACTCTAATTTTACTGGAATTGAGGGGCTATTAATTACGAATGTCTGGATATAAATAAATAAAGAAATAAAAATAAAAATAATATTTTTAAAAACCACGTTTTTGTAGTGGAGAATAATAATTAAGAAACAAAAATTTGAAAAACGAAAAACGTGGGGAGCATGAAATACATAACAGTAACAGTATGTGTGCTCATGAGAATATGTGAATGTATAGATGTAATTGTATCTGAATGAGGACGTGGAATATGTTTGTGTATATGCATGTGTATGTGGATGTGTATGTGGTTGCGCGTGTGTATGAGTAAGAAAATGTGTATATGTACTGTTATGTATTTCATGCGCCTCAAGTTTTTCGTTTTTCAAATTTTTGTTTCCTAATTATTATTCTCCACTACAAAAACGTGGTTTTTAAAAATATAATTTTTTTTTTATATACTCCCAAAATCTTAATTTTTTCACTCACTGTACACAAAACTTTTCAACTGACATGTGACACTAATTTGAAATAATCGAATCGACAACAAAAGACAATCGCGAAAATATTACTTTTTCTTTTAATTTTAATTTTATTTTACTTCGTATGTCTTTTTTCTCTTCATTTTCTTGCATAGTCATCCAATTCTGAACTATGTGCCAAATTTGAAGTCTGTAGCTAGTCGGGAAGTTAGTTTAAAATCGATTGCAAAATTCCACCCAAACAGAAATACACGAAGGCAAGTTGATATAAGCGTGGTAAAATACCTACCATTAATTTTTCTTCGTTATCTTTTAGAAGTGCTCGATTACCAGTAAGATCTGAGAAAAGATTGAGTTTTTCTTCGTTTTTCTGACACCACTCTTCACATGTTTCTTTTTGGTCTTGACATTGTTGGAATGACGTGGACAAGAAATCTATTTTGTTTAAGTGATCCTAAAAAAATAAAAATTCGAATGAAGAATACAGTATACTCTCTATGTCTCAAAGTTGAAGGGACGCTATAAAGATTTCGAGATAGCGAGTTTTCGAGATCACAAGCTCAGAACTGAATATATTCTAAAAAGTAGAAAAATGTATTCTGAGATAGTACTCTAAAGAGTGCAGTCATGAAACATAAAAATAACTACCAATAAATACGTATGCAATGATAGTTGACCGTAAGTCTAAATAGAATTATGATAATTTTATTTTTAAAAGTAAGACTAAAATAATTAAAATAACTATGCCTTAAATAATTGGTTTACAAACTTATATTATGATTTTCTTGAGAAAATTCTATTTCTATTTCGAAAAATATTCGACGTTACAAGGTTTTAAGAAGAAACTCTTCGACATAAGAATTCAAATTAACATTATTTGGATATGTAATGGCATGGAGAAAAATATTTTTGACATAACAAGGTTTTCGAGATATAGAAGTTCGAGATATAGAGAGTATACTGTATTTATGTGATAATGTTAAAAAAGAAAACGTCTAGCAGAACACTATATTTGATGCCAAAAATTAAAAATGATATCGAAAAATATTTGACATAACAAGGTTTTGCGAAGAAACTCTTTGACATAGGAATTCAATTTAACATTATTTGGGTATGTAATGACATGGAGAAAAATATTTTTTTGACATAACAAGGTTTCCGAGATATAGAAGTTCGAAATATTGAAAAATACTGTATTTATGCGAAAATGTTAAAAGAGAAAACGTTTAGTAGAACACCATATTTGATGCCAAAAAATAAAAATGATAAATTTTAGATTTTTTTTCTATTGAAACCTAAGACAAGTTTAACATTATAAAAAGTAACTAACACTTAGAAATGCGAAAGTATATCGCATAATTAAAATAGTCTCACCTTTATAACAGAGACTAAGTTGTTGAATCGGGCTGTTGCTTCAAGTATGGAAAGAGACAAATCTTCTTCCTTCATAAGTGGAGCAATCGACTGAACTTTTGTCTGAAGAAGATCGAGTTGCCGTTTATGGGATTCACTTTCCTGGTTTAGAGTCTAAAAAAATAATTCATTGAAGTCATAATGTTAACACGGCACATTAAATCAAATATATAAATTGCACTGGGGAACATATTTTTTGTTGCATTTGTAAAAATACTTTATCTTGCCTGATTCGGGTGTGTGAATTGGCAAATCTGAAATTAGTTTTGATTCTAAAGCTACAGATTTTTTTTAAGTTACACTTTTAGACTGTTTTTTTTTTTGTCAAAATATGCAAGTTTAATAGCGTTATGCATAACAGGGGACAGCAGAAATGTTTCGAAAAACTTCTAGGGGAGTTACGGCTCACCATCAGAATTAAAATTGCATAGGAACCCATGTCCGGAAAGTGTCATCCAAGGTGAATTTACTCGCTTCTTTATGATGAACTGTTCAGAAGCACACGAAGAAACAATTGATAATAGAGAAGCGCCCCTAGACGCGTATTATGACATTTACAGAGATGGGTTCTTATGCAATTTTAATGCTGATGATGCCCCGTAACTGTCCTAGAAGTTTTCTACAGTTATGCGAACCCCTGTTGCATATAACATTTTTAAGCTTAGAGCACGCTACTTGGATTAAAATTGCCTCCGAACTCATGCCTGGAATTGTCCTCATACGCCGTCAGAGGAGCATTGCTATCATGGCCTGTTCAGAAGCACGCACACGGAAAAGGAAAAGCAATTCATATTAGGACAGCGCCTCTAGTGACGTATGACATTCCGGGCATGGGTATCTATGCAATGTCAATCATAAATATGTGCTGTAACTCCCCTAGAAGTTTATCTCTACATTTATGCGATCCCCTGTTATATATAGCGTTTTTAAACTTGTAAATTCGACAAAAAATGACTAATAATTTTATTTTTTAATAAAACTGCAGTTTGGAGAGAGAAACTGATTGCGAATTTGAAATGAGCGATGCGGAAATATTAAAGATCTGTTAAAAAATCTTATGATCAGGTAAAATTTTTTTTTGCCTAGTGTTATCTTAAAAAAACATTGTTATGATGTTTTCAATGTAGGGTAAAAAGTTAATTTGGAAGATTTATTACTTTAGCCATTAATGAACTAATGAAAAAAAATCAGGAAAATCTTAGACTTAATTTACATAAAATGCTAAGTAGAGTTTTTAAATAGCTTGCAGACTGTTATTGTTAAGAAATTCTCTGAGAAAATTGTAATAGGAACGATGCAATCTTAAAAAGATTTCTTAATTTTAAACATTTATTTTTGAATGAAATATGGCATGAAGAATTTTTTTTATTAAAGTAATATATTGGTGTAGCTTATTTGTAAAGTACGCATAATTCGTTAGTTTGTGTTTACATATAATTTCACTCAAAATGTATTATGAATATGTTTTAAATAAATGTATAAAAATCCACAGTCTATTACTACAGTTTACCTTATATTTTAATAATCGTGGCATTATATCTTGTAGTGTTGGAAGATTCATGTCATCAGATGCCAGAGTTCGCTCTGTTACATCCATCCAGTTTAGAATCTGAAATGATATTTGCAGCATATATTTTCTATTGGTATGCTTAGAAATGCATTGTTAGTAGTACTAACAATGTAGTACTAACATACTAACATACACTATAACATTTAGTTAGTAGTACTAACATACTAACATCTATTTACAATTAATGTGACGAAAAAATTAATCATATATGGCGTACTGATTTAATACTGTGAGTTGGATGTTGGCTAAACTCCGTGTTCTTTCTCTTAACTTTCAAGCAACTTCAGCTATAATTAAAAAAGTAAGGTCTAATCATAACGAAACGGCTAAGGGGTACAAGATAAATTTGATTACAGCAACATCGAGTGAAAAACTGTCAAGTTTAGGTTTCCGACTGCAAAAACGGTACAAGATCGAAGCAAAAAAATCATTAGAAAGTTGTAGAGCATTCTCACTTTAATATGAATATACTTTTGTTGTCATTAAAGCTACAGAAGGAACGCTTAATAAGCTTAAAACGCTTTGTGGATATTCACGCTGTAACGAATCAAGCTATATTGAGAAAACAGTTTTTTTAATATATGTTTTTAATATAAAAACACATTTATTTGACTAAACAACTATGCATAAACTAAGCAGAAATAAATTGGAATACCCGTAAATGGTTAGTATGAACCTTAAATGCAAAACAAAAACTGTTCTCGACAAAAATGAAATCTCCAAAACTAATAAACTAATTCCAAAAGTTGTCCCGTTCTTTTATTTTATTCATGATTTTGTAGTTGATCTCGTTATATGTTTTTTTTTAAAATTTCATACATGTATTAGCTAGATATTAAAACTCTGTAACGCTAAAAAAATAATGCTTAAAATCCGTTTTTGCTTGTTCGCGATTTTCTTCACCGTGAAGAGACGATTTAATCATAGAAAGAAAGAAAAATTAGTTATCGCGATATACATTTATTTACATTGTTGAAACTTCTCTCAAACTGTGTACGTCAAAATATTTTGTGACGTATAATATATTTTTTAAGATCATTTCGCCACGCCAGAGTGTTAAAAATTTATAACTTTTTAGCAGAAATATGTCTTTTCGAGTAGCATATATATAGTTTCGTATATTTTGTCTTGTACTTGCTTGCTTTCGTGTTGCCTGTTAAGGTAGAGGGGTGCGATTGTTCTTGTTTTCCAGTGGCGCCATCTATGGCCAAGAATTCGACTTCTGCCACACCCATTACGTCACGCCCGTTTATAGAGCAGACCCATTCGTACATCCATTCATTCATCCACAGATCATAATTTTGACCTGAATCAGAGAACGATCAATCTCCATTTCAGTACCCCCAGAGGTATTGATTTGTTATGGGAACATGGAGGACTTTGCGACTCGACAGATTTAGCGTGCATCAGTCACCATTTTACTACACGGAGAGTCTTCGGTCGGCGGAGTTCGAACCCACGAACTCTCGGACATGGGCCCAGAGCCCCACCGACCAGGCTATCCCGGCCCTTCTCTTGTACTCTTTACGAGATAAGAACTCTAACTTCACAGATTTCCACCATACTGCGGAGAAAGCGGGTTGTCCATCATAACCCTTTTACTGTACCTAGACACTAATTCTAGAATTCTTATTATTGCCATTCTAAAGTGAAAAGTGTAGATAAGAACTTTAAAGGGCACCTCGCATTTTAAATTCAACGCTTAGTTTCCAAAACTCCATTATACATATTAAATAGTGTCTTTTCTAAATAAGAGAAGTCAGATAATGTGGAATTTTAATTAAAATAATTTTATATTTTTCGGTAATGAGAAAAATAATGAGCGAAGTCAGATAATGTGGAAATTTAATTAAAATAGTTTTATATTTTTTGGTAGTGAGAAAAATGATGTTTCCTACAAATTACTCACTTGTTTGAAAGTGTCTTTGAAACTGACCCAATGGTGGTTTAGTGAATTTAACTGCCTTTGAACCTCAATAACATTATTGGAGAATAAATCAAATTTGTCTCGTAGTTCTCTTAATCTTTCTCGAATGGATTCCCGACCGGCAGTCGCAGTATCTTGGTAAAGCCTCTCACCGCTTTGCACTGTTTCTGTCAAGAGCTGTTGACCTTGCAACTTGTCGTTTACCAAAACCTAAATAAAAAGCATACATTTACTGAAAAACTTGCAAAAATAACTTCCTTATTGAGAAGCACTTTTTATATCAAACTTTGTAAAATTTCGATTCTATTTCTGTCTGTGAGCGAAACCTCATTCAAAAGTTATTTAGTATGAAATAAATAGTATTTTTTTAAATGAACTTAAGTTAGATTAAAATTTTTAAATCGAACGATGTGCTGATCTAAAAAAAATAATTCGATGTACTTAACTACTAAAAATAAATCTTAATTTTCTGAGTTCTATTTTTTGGTATAAATAAAATTACGCTATGGAATTTTTGGTAATTGATTTGATTGGTAATTATAATATATTAGTGTAATAATCTTTACTTCGGTGAGATAAAATTTTTAGGTTGAGTAGTAAGTCAAACACTGGGTAACCTTTTTAATAAATTTAAGGAAATGACAGTTAATTTTTATAATAAAAGTTTACTCTAAACCATTAATTTTTATTATTCAAACCAAATGCTAAAAAATTAATGACAGTACTTTAGGCCTACATAACGGCAAATTAATTGTACAAAAATCCCAATTTTTCATTGAATTTTCTTCAAAAATGGCTAAAATTGATACTATTGATGTCTGAAAAACTCGTTTTCAGGAACCAGTTACATGGCGACTATTTTGAGTGAACGTTTCGATTAAAAACTTTAATATTCGAAGAAATTCGACGCACGGAGATACTTTATCACTTCGCATTTATGTAAACTTTAAAATCTTCTTTTAAAAAAAAATGGGTTAAAATATTCGTTTAAATCATTCTTTTAGCATTTTATAAATATTTACCAGTAATAATTTACTAAAATAACAAGAGCGCATTTTTAAAAAGTAATACCTGCAACTTAATCATGCTCTGCTCCAAACTTTCTTCCGTTTCAATTTCTGCTAAAACTTTTCTTCCAGAAGATAACCACTCAGAAAATTCTTCAGCTTTTTGCTCATAAGCCTTATGATCTTGGACTATAAGATCCCAACGATGCAACAAAGACTAGAGAGAAAAAACTTAATGTTTTAAACAGCACACTTCAACAAAAATAACTCAACAAACTATAAAAATAATTTTACCTTAACTAGTGAAACAAGATTTTGGTATCTGACATTGAGCTGGGAAACTTCAAATTTGATGTTCTCCACACCAGAAGATTGAGTTAAAGAATGAGCCTCATCCGTCAAATTATCCAAGTCTTTTTGACATGATAGGACCCTTTCATTCAACTCCTGAGATATTTAAAACACAAAGGAAACATTAAATTAGATGTGATTGAAGCTAAACGAATTTACAGTTTATGCTTATGAACAACATGACTTATTAAGTCATGATTTGATAAGTCACGAACATGATCAATAATTTATAGCCTTACATAAAGCTAAAAACTGTAGCAACTATTCATACATGTAATTGGGATAAAATATTTAATTACTTTTATAAACGTGTACTGCTCTTCTTTTTCTTGCAGCGTGGATTGCAGTTGAGGTTTTTTCAAAGCAGCATCGATTTCTTTGAACCAGTTGTTGAGTTTCTCAACATTTTTCTCAAAACTAAGCCACTGTTGGATGATGTTTTCTAAATTGCATTTACCCTCAAGCAATGTCGTTGTATACTGACTCCATGAGTCGGAGAGCTCTTTCATTTCATGTTTGATGATTTCGCAGCCATGATCGCTGGTATTTTTACACACAATATTTGAAAGTTTCTCTAACTCTGAAAGATTTTTATTACCATCTGCCTGTTTTGTACTGAGTTCCTGAAAAACAAAGGTGAAAGATTAATATCGCTACAGGGCACTTTTCTTTGAAAACAAAGGTATACTCATTCAGCGTGTCCCACAATCATCAACTTTTAAGTTGTTTTTCGAAAACCCGGTCGTCAAATAAAACAAACCTATTTAATTTAATTTTACAATCGATATTGAATAACTGATTAGAGCCTATTCCTGAACAGCTGATTCTGAGTTTATGTTCACCTCTGTAGCCTTGTAATTTTGAACCCAACCCTGAAGACAAGAGAACTCATGGATCAAGGATTTGGACAAAATAGCCTTCGTGGAGGACTTTTTGATCGAACTAACCCGCATTTGCGTTACATGGAGAGGAAAACCACGAATAATTCTCACTATTAGCCAGAAGGAAAGGGATTCATCTACCACTGTGATCAGTATGAGCCGGGATCAGAATTCGTATCTAACCAGCCAACACTGGAATTCGAACCTGGTCATGACACTTGGAGACGAATACTATATTCCTTAAACCACCAGGTACAAGTCTTCGCGGGTCCGTCAATAGATGCAATGGAAAATGACCCAGAGACTGCAGCTGAGTTTCAACAGAATTTACGTTTTTAAAATCACGCATGTTGTTGTTACACATCCCCTGGGGAAGGAAAGCCTAGACCAGGTCCAGAAAGCCCCATAGCATCGGTTCCCCATATATCTGCAGATAGTCCCGATCAACCAGCAGAAGTACGTCGGGAGAATATTCTCCTGGTAGGGTCACCCAAGGCGTGAAGGCCGTCCCACTTTGCTCAGCTAACGACTGCAGGTGAATCCAGAGGTCAAGTCAGTCTTCTGCCCTAGTGGTTCCTCTAACTTAAAAGAAGCTGCAAACAACCCTTAGTCAGATGGTTCAATCGCATAATGAAATCACGCATAACTAACATTTTAACTAGTCATTACAAAAAATTGATAATTAATCACCTTGGTCACTCTTTCACATGCGAATGCTTACTCCTGAAACATTGATGTTATCTCAAAGGAAGGAAACGTATTTTCGATGTACTTAACTTCTTTGAAGAAATATATGAGCATCAAACAACTAAAAAATTGCAAGTATTTGACAGTTTTGCATTTCTTAAATTTAATATTCGCAATCGAATGTTGAAGGTTAAATGAAAAAATTCAAAAAATATGTTTTGGAATAAGTAACTGGATCATGTAAACATGAATAAATATTTCTTAATTATTCCTTTGTATTTAATGCAAGCCAATTTCTTATTGAAGACCATTTTGAACATCGATGTAAATTAAGTTCTCCAGCAAAGTTAGTCTCCCTTAAGTAGTTAAGTAGCTACTATAATTCCAAAGTAGTTTGTAGTCATTAAATTTTTAAAAAAAAGTAGTTGTAGTTAACAGCATTTCAAACAGAGTAGTTGCAGTAAACTTGTAGTTGTAGTAGACAAAGTTTGTAACAGCTACTCATGAGTGTTAGGTTAAGGTTTATACATTTTTAGACTGTGCCTTCTATACTAATTCTGAAAATGGCGCAACATTAAGAAAAGCAATAGTTTTAATCAAAATACAAAGCGTTGGTGGTATAATTTTTATAATTAAAAACCTACTCAGACGCTGCATTAGCTAGGCCTAGTTAACAGATATTATAATTCTTTTTTATAAGTAAGCTCTAAATAAGGTAACTATACCTTTAATGTTTCAAGCCGACTGGCGATGTTGTTTTTCTCTCCAGTGGTATCTTTGCATTCTTGCAATTTCAAATTACAATTCGATACAAAATCTTGGAATTCACGACATCTGTCCAAGTACAGCTGATGATCTTTAATTCCATTTTTCAGTTTATCAAGTAAGCCCTGTAATCATGTAAAAAAAACAGTTATTTCGAAGTTTCATGCTAACAGAAAAGCTGTAGACATAAATCTTTCTCACTACAACATTAAAAATACTTTCAAGCAGGCAAAAGCTAGAAGCTCAATAATAAAAATAATGTATTACCTCAGACTTGGAACACATTGCATTATACATCATTTTAACTTCTTCTATGTATGATGGTATGGAATTATCCCCAGTCACAGCCATAAGCTCATTTGCTTTCTCAAATACGTTATCCAATAGGGGTTTGTGAGATAAAATATCTTGATGTATAACCTAGAATTTTAATAAAAAGATAAACGTCATAAAAGTTATCTGAAGAAAAACGTTTTCAATCACATCCTATTACAATAATTAAAAAAAGGTGTTGAGCAATATAACAAATAAAAAGTTTAAAATTGATCAAATTATTAAAACGTAACTCAAAATTTCAAACCTAAGAAAAATAAAGACTGTTTCTCAATGACCGTTCTTAAAATATTCCTAATATTTCAGAGAAAAATATTCTGATTCGAAAATTTAATTGTAATGGAGAAAACAAATACATTTCGAAATTCAGATCAATTATTATTATGATCAGATGAATAGAGGAAAGGACCATCCGCTTTATACTTTATTCTCAAAAAGGTTTTAAATCATCCCTTGCTCTTACTAAACTTAAAAGTGATAAGCAATAGGTTAGAAACGCTTGTTTTTTTTTTTAAAAAATAAATATTACTTTGTACCATTGAATTTGCATAGTCTTTCCCCCAATTTCATAAGGATTTTAAAAAATGTTTATTAAGGACAGTTATTATGGAATGCTTTGGTAGATATCGAAATTATGCTAGTGCAGTGCATATTGAAAACAATAAAACTTTAACTAGAATTTGCATAAAAAAACATAAAGTAAGTTTCTCAATACAGTTTTATAANTTAAAATTCAGATCAATAAAGAATGTTTCTCAATGACCATTCTTAAAATATTCCCAATATTTCAGAAAGGAATATTCTGATCATAAAATTTAATTGAAATGGAGAAAACAAATAGATTTCAAAATTCAGATCAATAAAGATTATTTTGCAATGACCGTTCTTAAAATATTCCTAATATTTCAGAAAGAAATATTCTGATTAGAAAATTTAATTGTAATGGAGAAAACAAATAGATTTCAAAATTCGGATCAATAAAGACTGTTTCTCAATGACCGCTCTTAAAATATTCCTAATATTTCGGAAAGAAATATTCTGATTAGAAAATTTAATTGTAATGGAGAAAATAAATAGATTTCAAAATTTGGATCATTAAAGACTGTTTCTTAATGACCGCTTTTGAAATATTCCGAATATTTCAGAAAGAAATATTCTGATTATAAAATTTAATTGTAATGGAGAAAAAAATATATTTTAAAATTCAGATCAATAAAGATTGTTTCTCAATGACCATTCTTAAAATATTCCCAATATTTCAGAAAGAAATATTCTGATTATAAAATTTAATTGTAATGGAGAAAACAAACAGATTTCAAAATTCAGATCAATAAAGACTGTTTCTCAATGACCGTTCTTAAAATATTCCCAATATTTCTGAAAGAAATATTCCGATTAGAAAATTTAATTGTAGTGGAGAAAACAAATAGATTTCAAAATTCAGATAAATTATTATTTTGATCAGATTAATAGAGGAAAGGACCATCCGCTTTATACTTTATCCTCAAAAAGGTTTTAAATCATCCCTTGCTCTCACTAAACTTAAAAGTGATAAGCTATAATTTAGAAACATTTTCTTTAATAAATATTACTTTGTACGACTGAATTTGCATAGTTTTTTTTTTCCTAAACTTCTCAAGGATTCTAAAAAATGCATATTAAGGACAGTTATTATGGAATGGTTTGGCAGATATCGAAATTATGCTAGTGCAGTGCATATTGAAAACAATAAAACTTTAACTAGAATTTGCATAAAAAAACATAAAGTAAGTTTCTCAATACAGTTTTATAATATTTTTCATGTTTTTAGCTAGTTAAAACTTTTTAAAAATGTAGGATAAAAAAAAGTCATAATTAGAATTATTTTCACCAATGCTTCAAAGTGCATTTATGAAACTGTCAGAGACTTACTGAGAATGTCAATTTATTACCTTCTGACTTTGAAATTGTGCCCTCTTTTCCTGCAAAGTCGATTTCGGTTCAGTATGTTGTTGCACTGATAAACCAACCTCCTGCAGCCATTTTGATAGTCTTTCTTGACCTTGTGAAAAAGAAATGAGTTTTTGCAAGCAAGAATCAGCAGACCTTAAGGTAGTACTGCATTTCTCTTGTAGTGTTTCCCACTGCTTTTGCAAACTCCTGTAATTTATTAATACATTTTCAATGTAAATGCTTTATTAAAATATAATATGTATGACATTCTGTAACCCAATACAATGTTGTTGTTTTTTTTAACTAAAAGTGACAGCTAGGAATTAAGTTACAACAAAACACGTAAATAACTTTTTCAATCAATATTGAACGATAAAATAATGTTAAATTAATAATCCCTTGAAACTGAATCAGTACGATATTACCTGATAAAAAACTTCATTCGCTTCAAAAATGTATAAATTGGTAAAAACAATTGACATGTTTCTAGCACTCAAAAACAGGAGCTCATTTTCAAGGCTTGCCAAACTTGAATGAGAAGAAACAAAAGTGGTTTAAAATATAAAATGCAAAGTTGCCAACGAATAAACGAAAAATAAAGGTGAGAAATAAAAATAGAAAAGCCATATTAGTGGAGAGAGAAACAAAATGAAGAGTAGAACAAGAAAAACCACAGTGGCCGAAAGGGGCAAAACAGAGGAAATGCATTTCTACTTGCTATGGAGAGGTGGTACTCCTCTCGACTACTGTTGTTTTTCTTGTTCTGTGATTTCCCATTTTTTTCTGAAGAGAATGAAGATTCTACTCAAATAATAAAATAATGCCTTAAAACAATTTTGTTACGTTTCCGGAAATAAAAAAATTGGTTTTGTGAATTTATAGCAATTTTGAATTCATTAAAATGCAAAAGAAAAATTAGTTACAAGGAAATAAAGAAATTTCGATAAAATACTAAAAAATCAACAATTCAAAACAAATAAGAACGCCAATAAATATGATGTTATAAAGTAACCTTATTTTTTGGCGGATTGTTTCTCTACCCTCTGGCGATGTTGAAGAATATAATCTTTCTCCTATTTCAACAGTTGATTCTATTTGATGGAGGTTTTGAGATAACAGATCACACAGATTCTAAAAAGGTAAAGTATAAAGATTTCATTAAGAAACATTCGACGTTAACACTACACCAATAATAGATTGTCTCAGTAAAAAGATATTATGAAGGATATTTCGTAATCACCACACTTAATGCATGTTTTTAGAATACATATTAGAATGAAGTAAAAAAATATACACAGCAGAAGTCGTAAATTGGTATTTACACGAAAAAGAAAAAAAAACATTAACAAAAACTATCAAAAACACTAGAGAAGAAGACAAAACTGAGAAAAAAGAAAAATCGAATGTTATTTTTTCAATATGAAAAATCTCTATATTTCATCTGGAAATCAAACTGGTTTTGATGTTTTTCATCCCAACCCCCTCACTAAGATTTAAAAGGTTTCACTAGCATTTTTGTCTTTACATTTGTTTAAACAATAATTTGGGATCTAATGCTTTCATTTTTCTTCATTTCATTTTGACAATAGTTCTAAAAACGTATATTAAGGGAAGATATTACTAAACACCCTGTATAACTATATCAGTAATTTCATGAAAGTATTCATCGTTACATTATTCAGCCCTTAAAATTAACAGAGCCTTAAAAACGTTTCTTTAAAAAAGGGAATTTTAAATGTAGGATAGTATTAAATAGATGACTAGAAGTTATAATTGTTTACAAATGAATTATTTTCGCTAAAACATTATGTTTCATTTAACTATATTGCGTTCATAAAAATAGAAATTTCGCTGATTGTTTTATGTACATAAAAATTTTTTATTTCTGTAATTGTTGATTTTAGGGCATTCGATCAGAATTTTAGTAGGTTTAAACCTTTAAACCCGAAATTCGATTTTTTTTTAAAAACCTGAATTCAGAAAACAATAGGAATCCCGAGAAAATTGAGACATAACAAAAAATATGCATAGATTACAGGTCTACTTGTGGAAAATATTCAAAATTAGCTTCACTTTTAATAAATAAGGAATTTTCTTCACTTAGGTTTTATAAAATATCAAAAGATAGATTAAGTTGACTGAGAGCTTATTACTTAAAAATAGATAAAATAAAGATGAACCTTTATGAATATTATTAGCAAATAGTTGCACACATTGTCCTTTGAAATGAAAAAAATCAAATATGGAGAAATTTTTTTTTTTACCATGAACTGAATTTATTTTATTATTGATAATTTATAAATTAAGAGTTCATAAAATGCTTAGAAAATTTTATTCCATACCTCCAAGCAAGATTTTCTTTCTTGTAAAGTTATGACATCACCAAAAAGAACTGAATTTTCTTGTAATTTTTTCTCTGGTTCTTCAAGCCATTTGAGAACATCTGAATATTTCTTGTCAAAAAGTTCGTGTTCCTTAACATAGGAATCCCATTTCCTTACTGCTTCCTAGATTGAATCGATAATCATTTTTAAATATTAATTTATATCGAATACTGGTAAAAAGGAATAAGTAAAAAAGTGTTAAGCATACTTTGGCTGAATTTTTCAGAGATTGATATTTATTCAAAATTCTTGATATTCTGGAAACAAAGGTAGCATCGGTTCTCATGGATTCCAGTTTCGCATGTAAAGTTGAAAAATCTGTCTGTTTAGTTAAAATTTCTTTTTCCAATTCCTAGTAAAACATGATATAAGTGTGAGTAAAAGAAATTTAAAATTATTTAAATAAAACAATAACTTCGTTAGGTTAAATGTTAACTTTTTCGAACAGTGCATTATTACTTCACAATATACAGGATGATAAGGAATAATTTGAACAAAACCCATTCTAAATTTGAAATAATTACGAGCCAAACTTTTAAATAGTCAATGTAGTTTTTTAAGTGACCAAAAATAGCTTTAGAGCAGAGCTATAAACGAGTTAGGAATTTTTTGCAATGGTATGCAAATCACATTCTGATATTAATAGCCTTTCCTTGCACAAGGTATTTAGTCGGTTAAGGAAATCTTAAGATGTTTAACACAAACTCTATTTACCAAGTTTGAATAATTGAAAATATCCATTGGATTTAGTACTCTACGCTGATAAATTTATGACGAAGAAAACTAACATCATCGAAAATAAGTTTGTGATGTGATATTATTTGATTAAAAACTTCATTCGCTTCAAAAAAGACAAGATGGATATAACAGTCAACATGTTTTAAGCACTCAAAAACAGGCACCCAATTTCAAGACATGCATAGCGTAAATGGGAATAAATAAAAATGATTTGAAGTTACCAATAAAAAATGAAAAAAACGTGAGAAACAAAGAAAAAAAATAGAAAAACCACAGTAGCTGAGAGAGAAAAAACACAAAATACAGAATAAGAAAAACCACAGTGGCTGAGAGGGGCAATTCAGTGTAAAATGCATTTCCATTTGCTGTGGAGAGTTGGTGAAGAACTAATGTCGTTAACAGAGGAATCAGCACTCATCTAAATAAAAAAAGATTCTGGAGATTTTGGCATTGTTGACAATGCCGGAATTATTTCCTGACTACCCCAGTCACATCAGCCCATCTTGATGCCCTGGAATCTTGTTTTATTTATATGAATGCTGATTCCCTTGTTACCGACAGTAGTTAATCACCACCTCCCCATAGCAAGTGGAAATGTATTTTAATCAGATTTGCCCATCCTACAAATTGTATATATTTGAAACGAACCAAGTTTCTTATCAAGTAATATCTTACTGTAGTTTCTTGGTATTTTTTTTATTTGAGATTAGTGATATGTTGCGATTAAAATATTTGTTTTTAAACTATGTCCAATTTATTTCTTGTCTGTCAGTAACTTTTGCATAGTACACCACTTTTAAGATTTATTAAAAAAAAACACGCACCCAAATTTTATGATTATTACAAAGCATAGACAATTTTTTACAACCGTTTTAATTATAGTTTACCAGTTTTCAAATTCAGCCCAAAGTAAGAGAAAGTTTTATGAAAAGATATTTTGTTGAATTTTCATGTTATAGAAAACTTTGTTTTAGAAGACATTGCTTTAGAAAACATAGGCAATTTAATACAATATACAAGCATTAGAAATGATCACCATTTTAAAAATAAAAAAATATAGACAAAGAATTAAAACACATAAATAATTATTTTAAACGTAATATACCTCAAAAATAGGACTAAAAATATTCACTTGTTAAAAACATATACATTAAAGGTATAAAATGCAACATTCCCCATTTATCAATAATCTGATACTAACTTTCATGGTTTGCAATTGATCTTGTTTAGTTTTCAAATTGCTGCGCAATATTTGTTCTCGTAAGATTGCGTCTTTCTCAGCAATCCATTGCTCCAGGAGGGAGACTGTTTCTTCACAGCTGCCCCGATCTTGAACAGCTTCTGAAATGCTGTCGTGGGCACCTCTACACAGCTTCATGAAGTTTTCCCACTGATCTTTCAATTGAGAGAGATGAGATTTTAAGACATCGTGACCACCGGCTTCAGTATGCTGCAGCACCGAGGAAAGTATTTGTTGCAGCTCATGAAGTTTCTCTTCACCTTCTTCTAGAGAGCTCATCACCGTCTATCAAACATAATTAATGAATAAGAAAAAAAGAAAATAATCTTTAACTGAAATTATTGTCGAAATAGTATTTTTACTTGGTTAAACTTAGTCTCAAAACATTAATAAGGTTTCAATGCAAAAAACTGATGTTTGTGAAAATAGCAACACCATGAAGGACTTACACGAGTGAGCTGAAATTTTCAGGAAATGCAAAGTAGAGCATAATATGCAAATGATTAGAATTTCAGACTAGTAACGCATACGTATGCTGAGCAGAGCCCTCTGAACGGCGGATGGATCCGTTTAAATAGACGGCTGTAGCGAGGTGTGTATGGTTATCTGCTAGTGGTAAACGTTAGCTCAGACGTTACTTATGCCTCTTCGACGAAAAAGAGCGAGATTTCAACAACTTACGGAATTTGAAAGGGGGAGAATCATCGGCCTTCGTGAAGCTGGATTGTCTTATTGTGCAGTAGCCGCTCGTGTGGAGCGTAACAGCAGCATAGTGATGCGTGTTTGGAAGCAGTGGACGGACAAGTGTCAGACAACTCGGAAATCCGGGAGGGGACAACGAAATGACACGTCAGCTCGCGATGATAGACACCTGGTTCGCATGGCGCTGACAGACCGTACGGCTCCCTCTAGACAACTGGCAGTACAGTGGTCAATAGCTACATGTGTTTCATTGTGTGGTTCATCAATTTGTAGACGTCAACTGAAGCGTGGACTGCGCGCAAGGACTCCTTTGTACAGGATCACCATCACCCTAAACCATAGCCGCCTGCGGCTACAATGGGCCAATCAGCATAGGGACTGGCGTGCTGATTGGCAGCGAGTCGTGTTTTCTGACGAATCCCGCTTTAATTTGTGGTACCATGATGGCCGCATTCATGTCAGACGGTATGCCGGTGAACGCCACTTTCCGGAGTGCATTATCGAACGCCACAGTGGACGAACACCCGGAGTTATGGTCTGGGATGCCATAGCATATCATGGACGATCCCAATTGCTACGAATTGTAGGTAATCTGAACAACAACCGGTACATCGGTGAAGTTTTACAGCCCCAAGCTGTTCCAGTCCTTCAAGCCTTGCCAGGCGCTGTATTTCGACAAGACAATGCTCGCCCTCATATTGCTAGGACTGTTCAACCCTTCCTTGCATTGTGGCAGGTACAGCCTCTTCCTTGGCCTGCGTATTCTCCAGATATGTCACCGATTGAACATGTGTGTCATTTCGTTGGTCGGTGCCTCGCTCGTGATCCTCGTCCTGTTGCTTCTACAGACGAACTTTGGGTACGCATACAAACTATATGGAATGCTCTTCCTCAGACAGACATTCAAAATTTGCTTGACTCCATGCCACGTCGTGTAGCAGCGCTTATTGCGGTGCGTGGTGGCTACACAAAATACTGATTTCGATCTCTTGTTATTGTTTGTTTGCTTTGAAAGTTTAATCATTTATTTGTACCACTACCACCCAACTGTGTATTAAATTTCATTCAATTATGACGATTCCTTCATGGTGTTGCAATTTTCACAAACATGAGTTTATTTCGTTTACAAAATAATATAGCAGCTAGTAGAAAAGGTTATATCCCTCAGAACATTTTTCTCCCAAGACTTTCACCTAATCTATGCTCTATTAAGCATTAAAATGAATTCTTTAATGATGACCTAAGTTCATTACCCGGAAAGCATTTGTTAAATATTATGAATCTAAATGTGTTACGTTGCCATGTAAAGATAGTTCGCCAATTTGGTGAGTGCTTCTTAATCTTTGTGCTTATAATTACTTTGCTCGTTGTTCGTTGAGGATGATCTATAGGGAGCGTCCTATAATAAAAAATTTTGGTATCAACTAAAATATATCGCTCTTTCGTTTGTTCAGGACATTCTATGGTGTATTGTCCTTTATTAAAACCAATCATTAAATTTACAGTTCATTCATATACCGTCATAAACAGTGGCGAAAATGTTTATAGTAAAAACGTTTTTTCAATAAAACAAAAATATTGCAGTCTCCAACCTTTTATTCTAAAAGGTTTAAAAATTATTTTTTAAAGCTTTTTTNTTTTTAAATTATTTTCACCTGTATTTTGAAAGAAAAATAAATACTGATATCATGAAATATTTTTTTTTTTAATTTACTTTCCGGAGGAATGGATTATTAGTAAAGTTTAAAAAAAGGGGAGACTGTTTATTTTCTTGCGGAAAATAAGTATTTGAAAAAAAAAATAATAATAATTTTTAAAAGATCAGAGTAAAAATTTTAAAAAATACATAGATTTACTTGCGTTTTATAGTATTGTTACAAGATTAAATTTTACCTTTAATTTTTACGACATCATCTATTTAACAGTATTTTTACAAGATTAAATTTTACCTTTGATTTTTATAACATCATCTATTTTACTGATTACTTAAACAAAATTGAATGAGAATAATAAATAGTATTGAATTTTAAACTATTTTTGGAGAAGCTATTTAAAGTAATTTTTTTTTTTTTCATTTTAGAAACATTCAAAAAAATTTTTATTTTTTCATAAACACCACTCTTCGCTAGTTTTAAAATTTTTGTCAAAAGGTAAATATTTGAGAAGATGATTAAGATTTATAAAAGATTATCCTGATTCATCACAGCAGAATTAAATAATTAATATACAATTTTATTATTGCAAGTGAAACGAAAAGCGAACACTTTTAAAATGTGATAAAAAGGAATTGCTTTTAAATATTTTTATGCTACATTTACTGCAATTAATAGATTGCGTCAATTTTTAATAATTTTCCTTTTTAAAATGTTACTTCAAGACTACCTATGTGTAGTTTTTCTACCTTGTCAGGAATTCTAAGAAAAAAATTGATCTCGCAATTATGGAACAACCTATTTAGAATTAAATTGTTAATGAATTAATATTAAAAAGTTAGTGACAATAAGAATGCTGTTCCTCGTCCTGTTTAGTTCCTAGCATGTGGCTGCATTAAATCACACTAATTAACTAATATTGCTGTAAATAATCAATAAAAAAAATTTAATAATAAACACACACTAAGAAAATGTCGTAAAAAATTTCATATTTAATTAACTTTACGTTTCATAAAATGCTGTGAGCAAAGGGGATTAAAAATAATACGAAATAACTTTACAATACTGATATTTTATTTACAATAAAAAAATTTTGAAAAATAATCTCGCAGAAAAGAAGCAGTCTTTAAAAACTCTGAATTTTATTCTTGTTTTGTAAAATCATAACATTTTATAAATAATAAATATTAACAAAACAATAAACAAATTTTTAAAAATAACCTCGCAGAAACGAAAGCAGTCTTTAATAAAAACTCTGAATTTTATTCTTGTTTTGTAAAATCATAACATTTTGTAAATAATAAATATTAACGAGACCAATAAATAAATTTTTAAACGAATTGCAATAAATAAATTTTTAAAAATAATCACTCAGAAAAGAAAGCGGTCTTTAAAAATTCCGAATTTTATTCTTGTTTTGTAAAATCATAACATTTTGTAAATATTGAGGAAGTGGCGCCAATCAGAGATAAACGCATCATGACTATCAACCCCTATGAAAAGAAAGATTATCTCAAGTACGATGGATTAGCGTCAACTCCCCACCTGCGATTGTAAAGGGAAGGGGGGAAAACTTTGAGCGAGGAACACCTGTGACTTTGGGCCAGAAAGGATTCTCCCCTTAATGTTTGTGTTTATAATTACTTTGCTCGTTGTTCGTTGAGGATGCTCTATAGGGAGCGTCCTATAATAAAAAATTTTGGCATCAACTAAAATATATCGCTCCTTCGTTTGTTCAGGACATTCTATGGTGTATTGTCCTTTATTAAAACCAATCATTAAATTTACAGTCCATTCATATATCGTCATAAACAGTCGCGAAAATGTTTATAGTAAAAACTTTTCTTCAATAAAACAAAAATATTGCAGTCTCAAGCCTTTTATCTTAAAAGGTTAAAAAATTATTTTTTAAAGCTTTTTTTTAAAAAGTATTGTCACTTAGATAAAATGGTCACTTAGGTTCATAATGACGATTTAGTTGACGTCACATTTGCGATAGGAGCAAATTACATTGTCCTTCAAAATTTCAAGACAAGGCGAATTTTAGCTGAGCATATTAAACTTTGCGAAAAGAAACCTTATAATTACCTAGATTTAAGATTATTTTCACCTTGAGACACTAGCTTCATTAAAGGAATGTTTCACGTATGAAAACCCTAAGTTAACCTAGATTTAAGGTTTTTATATAAAAGGTTGTTTTCCAAGGTTTTAGACTAGGGTAACGTTAGTAGAATAGAGCAGATTGTCGCAGATCTTGTTTTAAGGTTGGAAGGTTTACCCGTAATCCGCATAACAAATCGTTTTAGGTTTACATTAAAGGGGTTTTGCTGAGTTAAAATACACCTTGCCTTGCTATCTAGTTTTAAATACAAAGCGTTTAACGAAAGCTAAAATATGTCAACTTTAACTGTTATAATATAAATCATACTCACGGACAACGCAATCTGTTTAACTTTCAATCCTTCAGTATCTCCATGGTCGATGTTCGTGTCAACTGCCGCTTTTAAAGAGGACAGCCAATCTTGAAACTGTTCAAGTTTCTCAGAATACACTTCATGCTCAATCACGTATTTATCGCACGTAACTATTCTATCCTGAAATGCGTAACAAGGAAGTATTTTATAAAGCACGTAAAGATATCCATAAAGATAATGTTTACATGCATTTTTTAAAATCTTGTTCAGTTGAATATGAAATGGGCCTGTGCCTGACCCTAGAGCTAGTAGAGCCGTCACTGCACCGAACGTAAAAGGTATTGCATAATCTGTGTAAGATAATCAAACGGTGCTAGTATAATAAATATGACGCAGAAAAAAAGAGAAAAAAATCACTGGGTTGCAGGATGCGTGATTATACTAAGAGTGAAAAAAATTTTTAAAAGTAGAATCCTGGCCTAAGATGAATAAAAAATAATACTTAAAATGGAAGACGTACATGAACAAGTACTCAACGAAAGTACGAATTTAAAAAAAATACCTGAACTGGATTTAATTGATAGAAATTTCGCTATATAACATGAAAACATATAGGTTTAACACAGTTTTTCATTGTTGCATTTTCATTGGCCGGAAAATCACGGGGTTCGATCCAGTTTTCCCACATTGATTTTCATATTGTTTTGGTTGTCATCAGCATAGAATTAATGGAAGTCATAAAATAATATTGTTTTCTCATAAATAGTTTTGTCACTGTTATAATTACTTTCTTTTATTTCGATTGAATTGTTTTCTAAATCAAGAGTTTAAAAATAGGAGAATTGTTTTTTTTTCTTCTCATTATAACATAATTCCATACTAAATTTTAAGATAAAGTTATTTAAACCGATTTCTAATCTTATGAACCGTTTTACAATTATTATTTGTTTTTGTACTAACTGCCTTAATATACTAATTGAATAGTTGAAACTTTTCTAAAAAAACTGTTTTATTCCAAAAGGCAGCAACTACTGCAGCCGACCGGCCTGCGTAGGGGGCAGGGAACTGTCCTTGCATCAGAAAGGTCCTGGGTTCGAATCCCGGGCAAGGCATGGATGTTTCTTTCTCTCTCTGTGTGTTCTATGTCCTTTATCCTTTGCGTGTGAATGTGACCCGCCCTATAAACGGGTTGTGGTTGTGTGAATGGCGTGGCAGAAGTCGAATTCCTGGCCATAGATGGCGCCACTGAAAAACAGGAACAATCGCACCCCCACTGCCTAAACAGGCATACGACAAAAAAAACTATTGCAAAGCGAACTTCGAGATTGGTGAGCGGCAGCGAACAGGGTGTTTAACTCCCTAGTTTTAAATAAAAAATTTGCATTTCAATTAAAAACCTATTGGTTACTCGTACAAAATTATTTCTCTTCTTAATTATTCTTCACTGTTTAAAAATTTATTGGAAAATCTTAAAAATCATTTACTAATAAACTGATTTTGAAGAGTTACATTAGAATTTTGCTGGGAATAATCTGTAATTTAACACTTGTAACACTGATTATCAAATTAACACTGACACTTGACTTATGTAATTAACACTGACACTTAATGCAATGCAGTCGTAGTACTATCCTTTTGAATTATCTATCCAATAGAAAAATATAAAACTATCACAGCTTTTTTTCACCGATTTAATCTCTCCCTCACAGTCAAAAGTTAGGGGTTACACAGTTTGTTCCTTACCTGTGTTCATGGTGAAAAAAATTAAAATAACAGACTGCAGAAATAAGGAAAAGGGTTAAAACAACACACAATGAAAATGCAAAATAGTAAGTATTTAGTTAACAAACCTTAACAGTTTCTATCAGAGTGTCATATTTTGATTTAAACCCTTGAACTTCCTTTTTGGACAAAGATTCGGGCAATGATGTTGCTTTCTCGGTCAGCTTTAAAATAACAGGCTGGTAAGCCAAAATTCCTTGCGACATGGCCTGAAATAAATTATGGTGACATAGTATAAAATATATGGATGGCATATGACACAGTATATACTATAGTGATATAATATATTTATGGTGATATAGTGACATAGGCTAAAAAATTATCGACATTGATGCATTCATGTTTTAATTAGTCTGAAAAATATTATTTTATAGAATGAAAAAGAAATTGTACATTGCTCAAAAAAACGGACTAAATAACTTTTGATCCTAATATCGGATCTTCACGTTCTCGGACTCAATCTTAATGGTTCAAAGGGGTGACCTCAAACATACTAATTAATTAGTACCGACGACATTTTAAGTTACGAAATCAGACACAAAAACGTTTTTCTCTGAATAAGCACACCTTTTTTTCAACGGATTCGGGTTTCTGACCTACAGTCTGGGAAATATGGTCTCTATAGTTTGGTCAAGAGAGTGCTCCAAAGTTTGATCCCTTAATGTTAAATTTACTTTTTGGTATTTCACTATAACTCGAGAACTTTTTAAGTGAATTGAGTTTTTTTTTAACACACAATTATAAAATTTGCTTATCCAAAGATAATTTTATGCATAAAAAACTACTTTTAGTACATATTTATTATTTTTCATTACTTTATTTAAAAATAGACGAAAAAATTTTGAATTGTAAGGTATATAGTATTTTGCATCTTTTTAAAGAATTTTATGTAGCAAAATTAGTCGAACAGTTCCTAAGAAATTGAATTTTAAGTACCTGACTCTTTTGAAATTAAATATCGCACGAACTATTAGTGAAAATCCAAACACTGGATCACAAGTTATTCAGGGTGGTCTGCATTTTTTTGGTGTACCGTACACCCACTAAAAGTACAAATTTTAAATCAAATTAATGCAACTAAAAATTTTAATTTTGAGAAACTAGGGTTGAATTTTATGAGTAAAATATTTTAAGTAGATAAGAATTAACGAATAAATAAGGGGTTAGAAATATTTCAACTCCAGTAAATGGAGATTGTTATTAAATTAATTTTACCTTGTAACCTTGTAACTGAAGTTTTTTCTCTGATAAATTTGGTTTTAATGGCACATCCCTTCCCAATTGTCCAGATAAATCATTCAGCCAGACAGACACTTGTTTGCAGCTAAAAAAAATTACAATAATGAAGTTTTTGAACATAATTTTAATTTTCTATTAAATCTATAAATTATTGACAGACGTGTAGAAAACTTCTATTCTAGAAAGCAATGACAGTGATTGCAAAATGGAAATAATTACTAGAAATAATAGATGTAATTAATTGTATTAGAGGAATAAATGTAAAAAGAGCTCAAAGCGCAGAAAACGAATAATTGTAAGATAAACAAGTGCAAAAAGTTCTGATAGAATAATTGTAAAAGGGCAAAAATTGTAAACTACTCATTGTGCCAATAGATGTAGATAATTATAATCGAACAATCAGTAAAAAAGATCTCTTAGAGGAATGGAACGAATAATTGTCAACTACAATAAGGCTCAAAGCGCAATGAAAGTATACAATCGAAAAAGAGCAATAGTAACTATAAAAGAGAGCAAGAGGGCTTTTTACAATAGTAACTGTAAAAAGCTCTCACGGAGCAAAGAAAGCAATAACTGTCAAAGAGCAATAACAATAAAAAGTGCTTATAGTGAAATTATAATTGATTTAAATCAATTTCAAGCGTCTTTTCCAGAAACAATTCCTTCCCAGTTAACTATAAAGCATGAGACTTGCCTAATATAATAAAAATGTTAAAATGCAGACATTTAGTGAAACGTAGTTAGTAAAACTATTATGTCGTCAAACACAATGCTTGCTAGATTTATAACACTGACTGGTTTTACTTTCACCTTAGCCAGCGTAAATTACTTCAATTATTGTTAACATTCTGCTTGCTTAAAAGCTTTATTACTAAGATATTTCTAGATTAAAAGCTACATGACATTAATTTTAAGCTAAAAAGCTACATGACATTAATTTTAAGCTAAAGTTACACAAATTCACCTTTCTTCAAATGTTCCCCATGCCATCAACGATGATTCGATGTTCTTCATCGCAGACTGGACTTTCTCCCACTCGTCATCCCAAGTATCTCTCAGCAATCTCATCTCTTTACGTATTTCATCTCGGCCTTCTATACTCAGGCTAAGGTATATCACTTCACCTGCATCGATGACAGATGAAAGTTTTGGAGCGTTTTCTTCCTTTTTAACCATCAGGTCCTAAAGGAATTAAACAGATCTGTGGTTACAAACGCCAGTGCAATGAGTTTTTTCTCCAACTTTAAAGACATTGTTACATCAAATACATTCAACATCAAACAATCAACTTTGCATCAGATATATTTCACATCAAGGGTAAAACTACTAAAATGAAACAATTCCCATCTCTGCAAACAAAAACATTATTTTAAGTATACTAATATTACTTTTTCTAAAAAGTTAGTCTAATTAAATAAATCCAAAGGTGCAACGAAATTCTAGAACAGTCATTTAAATTTTTTGAAAATTATGCTGCAACAAAAAGTTACCAAACTTTGAGATTTGATTTTAAAGAAATTAAATACCTTAATGTCTTAATACTTCCCTTAACACTTTTATTTTATTTGTATAACTTTTTTCGAAGCAGGGCTTTTAAATTCTAAAACTATGATAATTTCGTTAATAGATAGTTAAAACATGAAATGTCAAAGGCTATTGCTTTGCACAATTTGGTCAGTTTTGGAATTTAGTCTGACAAACTTCCTCATACCCTATATATTGTACTCTGCACATAATTTTTTTCAAAAAATTCTCAACATATATTGCAGAGTAAAATTTAGTTCAAAGACGAGTACGGAAAAATTTCTTTAAAAAATTATTACAGCAACATCAAAACGGACTGCAACAAAAACAAAATATCGTGCAAACAAAAAAGGGAGCTTTATTAAGCGTACCCACATCAAATGGTAGTATGGAATATGTACTATAGTTTTAAATCGATTATATGGTTTTGAGAAGAATAAATAGAAAAATTCTTTCGAACATGTACCTTTAGAAATTGCAATTTGGTTTGCAAAGTTTCTTTATCTCCAGATACATCTAGATTCGGTTGCAAAAGCTGATCCATCTCCACGAGCCAAGATTGAAGATTAGTTTTGGACAATTCATAATCTTTTTTAACTTGAAGAAGATTTTCCAACCTCTTTAAGGCCTCCTAAGTACGAAAAAGAAAACTTGTTTTTCATAGAATTGGTAAAATTATATGATAGCTTTAACGTAGTGGAAATAAAAACTATTTCTAAAGGTCTGGTTTCTTAGGACAAGCGCCTTATCGGAGCGTCAGCGGGACGTCAACGTAACGCTGACGCCAACAAAATACTGGTTTGTTAGCTCAAGGCCTGGTTTCTTAGAACTAGCGCCTTATCTGGGCGTCAGCGGAAAGTTGAGGAAGAGCTGACGCTAAAAAAATACTTTTTTGTTAGCTCAGCGTGAGCAGTCGGTCCAACGCAGACTTTATCTCTTATTGCGCATGCGTTAATAACGTAAACAAATATTTATTTTGAATTTGTATTGATTTTGTTATTGTCGACCAGTGTTTTAGAGAACAAATAATGACTTTGTCCTGGAAAAAACACATTATAGCTGAGCTAAATGAAGAGTGCTATGTTTAATGAAGAAGCTATGTTTAATATCAAAATCAAAATCTTGGCTGATTTCAATGTACTGTTGGATGTTGTCCGCCATTGCTTCTGTGGTTAGCGTCACGTTGTAATCCAACTGCAGTTGAGTTGGACGGCAATTGTAGTTCAAGATGAGCGTTCGATGACGTATACTATCAAACTCACAAATGGACCAATCAGAGGTTAGCGCTGATTTCCAGCTGACGGCGTCCTGTCCTAAGAAACCAGGCCTTAATACAGTGCTCGTCGCTTACAAAATATAAAATCAGCACCTCGAGATGCGGCTAATTATATATAAACCGATGTAACGATAATTACAAAAAAGGGTGATTTCACGGTATTTACAAATATAGTTCATTCACCAGGAGTTGGCACTTAGCTCCAACGAAGAGTTCATTTCAGCACTGGAGTAAGAAGAGAAACGTCTCCGCGCTTGAAATTGAAACAACCCTTAATGCGCACCAAACGCAAACAGTTAATTCTTTTTCAGTCACTTAATACGCTTTATCATCTGCTATTATACCCTTTGTTACTCTAGCTACTTAAATGTATTTTAAATTTAAAAATTTCTGTTTTCCCTGCAAAATGTCTCAAAAAAGACAAACTATTCACTCAAAAGAGAGAAATATCAAATTTATGACACATTTAATGTTAAAAAAATGCACATAAAGATTGCGAAATAAATATTTTTGTCGTATGATTGCCAAATAGCAACCTTGTTCACAACCTTCTCCCAAAAATAGCGAAATAGCATTGGCAGATACCACGTGATGAAGGCGGAGACAGGAGTCAACTCCTGGTGAACGAATTATACATTAAAGGCTAAAACAATAACTACCTTCGCAGTTTATTTTAAAGGTTTTAGTTTTTACATTTGACATTTCGATGAAACATTCACATAAAAGTTTTAAGATAATAGCGTAGCTTTTTATTTGATTAGCAGAATATGAAATTAAAAATTCATTATCGCTTGAAGTCTTTGTAACTTCTAGTATTATATCGAATTCCAATGATGAATGCATTTCGAATTTATCATTCAGACTCAATCATTTCATTTCGGGTTGCTACACAATTAACCAAATTTAAAGTTAAACGAATATTACAAAAGATTTGCACAATTAAGCTTTTTAGTTAGAATTAAGTTAAAGCTTAATTTAATTCAAAGGCACTCTCAACTTTCATTCATAGCTGAAAAATATTAGAATATAAGTAGAAACTATAGTTAGAAACTATTCATCTACATATGGGCTTCTATTTTTCCTCAGAATTCTTTATTTATACGGTTTACTTCATTGAATTCGTATGAGACTTTCAATCGGTATTTTGTTTAAATATGCATTCTTTTTTCAAATCAATTTCCGCTGCTTCATTCTTTCTTAACATTCATTATTTTATATAGCACTGGATAAATTAAATTTTTGGATGTAAAAGAAAAGAAGTAATTTTTCTCAAAATGTAATGAATGAAAATTTGTGTTAGAAATCATGTTTTATGCAGGATAAAGATTTATTGAACTTTGTGGCTTTAATATTAGGACACATTTTAATCGATTGTTTAACATTTAGTCAAAACATTGTCATAAATTATTTTTACTTTAGATTTATGATAGAAACTTGACAAAGTTTGTATTTTTACCTGAAGAGTTCTGTCAAGTGCTTGATAACGTGATGTGATGTGAGAAGATTGAGTCTTTAATCTAACTTCAGGGGACTCAAGACAAATTTGTTGTATGATATCCAGCAATTCATCATGTTTAGTTTTTTGGTTCTTCACATCGTTTTGAAGAGTCTGATGATATTAAAAATAAAATGAAACAGAATTAAATGTAAAAATGTGTTGAAAATATTTAATACAATATGTATGTAGTATTAAATACATGTCAAATAGTTTGCAACAAATATACAGTAAAATATTGATCAATTCACGAAATCAAATTTTGGAAAACTTTCTTCGTTTTTGACGCAACAGTTTCCAGGCCTATGCTCCGAGCGAGCATTTTGTCAAAGTGGTGAAATAATTATAGTTATTTCTTCGAGTAAGGAAATTTCGAAAAAGTGAAGAATTGTTTAGCATTTCTCATCCTAGTTTCGTCAAATTAAGAATTACATTCGTTGATTTAAGGTTGTGAGGGAGCGATAAGTTTCCGAGTTAAGAAAACATTTACGTCATATATTTCAAAGTTCACGTTTTGTCACAAATCACGTAATTACGTAACGTAATGTTTCTCATAATTAACTAAGTGCAGTTTAAGGATTGATAAATCGTCAAAAGTGAGATTTTATTTCTGTGAGTGCAAACTTAAATACATACATTTCCAAAATCAGAAAAATAGTGAAACTAATATTTTGAATATTCTTTCTTTTTTTGAAATTATTTTGTTTTGGGCTTAACTTTATCATTGTTGATTGCATTAAAATGATGTTAACTGTTAATCAAAAATGATTAATTTTAACGAAAAATAAAGACCTAAGAGTTATAAAAAATAGGTGAAACGAATCAATTTTGGCACAAAAATATTTTACGTGATATAGCTAATTAAAATATCGATTTTTAAGTATTTCAACAGTATAGTCCCGCAGTGGACTGCTCGTTAAGACACGGTTCCCAGCAAATCACCGAAGTCAAGCATCACTGGCTACGGTCAGGGTGCGGGTGGGTGACCACTTGGATCAGCCTGTGTTGGGACCGAGGATGTGCTGTATTGGTCCTCGTTAAACTGTTCTACCGTAAAGTGCTCGACTTCGCGTGCAGGTCGTCGGGCTACCGAAGCGGGGGTGCCCTCCCCTTTGCAGAGGTTCAAAATTGTGATAGCATATCTTCGGATCATCCTCAGGGATGTTTCCCAGACCGACGCCAATAGCTCATTGTGCAGCTCTAGTACGACGTAAATGAACAACAACATCAACAGTATAATTTTTTCTTCAACGAATTCACATATTATAAGATTTTAATCAAATACAAAAATATGACATCAAAATAAGTTCTCGAGATACGTTTGTACCAAAAAATTTCCGCTTTCCAGGGGGATAACGTTAGACGAACTAATATTAAATTCAATTAAAAATTCAAATATATTTTTCATACATTTTTATTTTTTTGTTCTTAATTTTATAATGCTATAACTGTCGTTGAACAGTGACCCAATTTTTGGATTTACGACTACTAATATTGAACTCAGTAGCCTTATATTTTTGAAGCCAATCCGGAAGACAAGAGAATTCTTGGATCAAGTATTGGGAGAAATTTGCCTCCGTGGAGAACTTTTTAAAGAAACTAACTGGTATTTACGTTAGATCGAGAGGAGAAACCAGGTATATCTTCCAAGGTTAGCTTGACAGCAAGGGGACTCAAGCCCATGATCCGTCTACCACAGAGGAAATTTCACGTCAGCACTGTGGTATGCGCTAGTTGGGTGCGGAATTCATATTAACAACCCTTCTCTGGGATTCAAACCCGGTCACTTTATTGATAGGCGAATGCTCCATCCTCTAAGCCACCACATACGTTTTCAAATAATCTCAAATTTTCTAATTGAAGTTAAGAAATAACATACCTTGATGAGAGTAAGCTGTTGTTGAATATCTCCTAATTCAATGGGTTGAGTTGTAGCACATTTTACTTTTGATTCCATATCCTTCAGCCATAAACTAAAACTTTCACTTTGAGTTTCATATTTTTGCCAAAGGAGTAAACTTTTTTGGAGGTGTTTTTTGGTGTTAGCAATGGATGTATTGAATGCCTCCCAATCAATGTTTGCTTGTTCGATGACAGACTGTATTTCGGGATGACGATCAGTTGGAAGTACCTGACTGAAATTACCAGCGGTCACTTCCAACTTTATCTTTTTACTTTCTCCGTGAACTATACTATTTTCAATTTCCTATAAAAAAATTATAAAATTATGAATAATCATATCACATGATCATTGATTATTATGATGATTTATCAAAAAAGATCATTTAATGATTATCATAATAATATTTATTTTTTTCTTCTTATGGGGAGTTTCAGCATAAAGCGAAATTGAGATAACAATGAATGTATATGTGATAAATTAATTGTATGATATAAAGTTATATAAAGCAAAGCACCTTTTTTATAATTTACTTTACACTCTTTTGTGTAAGTTGTTATTGGCTTCAAAATCAAATATTTGTTGTTTTTTTTAATTTCTCATAAAATAAACAATTTATTTTACCTTTTCATACCTTTAGCATTATTATTGTTATTAGATTTTGTTTTCTTATATTATAATATAAGAAATTGATACAAAATAATCATTATCTCAGGTTTCTGAACAACAAATTTAGCCAATTTTATACATCAAATGAATCACAAATCTATATTAAAAGAGCGCATATGACAGGAAGATCAAAAATAATATGTATTTTATTTATTTATTTAGTCAAGTTTTCAATTTCTTTTTAGAGGCTGTTTTGCCAATAATAGTTTATTAAAAACAAATATCACTTTTTCATAACTTTTTCTAATGTGAATTTTAGAAATCTTTTTTTTCCTTGTAAGAGAATTTCGTAACAGCAAAATCAAATCTAAGATATATAAGCAAAATGTGAGTAATCATGTTTTAGTTCGTGTTTGCTTCTTTATATCTATTCCATGACTGACGAAAATACTAAAATTTAGTTTCGAACTCCTAAAATATCACTTTATATTTTTATCGAAGAAGATTTATGAAGTTTATTATATTCTTATTGTAATTTATCTATTACTGTAATTATCTACAGATATCACTAATTTATATTTTAGCTATTGTTTTAAGATGTTTTCAGTATTATAGCAGAATAATAAGGGACGTCATAAATTAATACGCATCACTTAAATTAAATTAAACATATCAAATCTCGAAGAAAAAAAATTCTGCAAAACGTTTGTTTTTTTTTAGTGAAAAAAATACGATAAAAATTCCAAATCAACTTTCACCCTTGATTAAGTAAAAAAAGATATAATAAGTAAAAAAATAAAATAAAACGACTTTAGAAATATCTTTTGCTGTGCTAATCGATTACAATCAAAAAAAAATTCTGAAAAAAAGTCTCACTAATTTATTTAAGTAATATATGTATTAAATAATTTTGACTTTGTTCTTACATTTGTGTAAGTAAAAATATAGCGAATACACTGAGTAAATTAACTGAGAATTATTTTTGTAAAAGTACAATAATAATTCTATGTTGATACAATGATATTAAACATTCATATTATATTTAAATATGTTTAAGGTATAAAAACATGATTTCGAAAATAATTTCCAACTTGAGTTTATTATTAATTTTTAAATTTCTGTAATCTTAGATTTCTAAAAATACTTTACTTTTGTCTGTTCTCCATTTATTTACAAAGTTATAGAAGTTCTTGCGAGGCGCTAGTAGTGGATAGACTAATGATTTTTTAAATCTTTAAATGCGTTTATCTCAAAATCAGATCAAAATCACCACCGTAAACACTATATCTCACGTTGTTTTTAAAATAATTGTCTACAATTTTTCATGAGTATTTATAATTATAGCACACTTGTTTTGAAGAAAAAAGACTAGTACAGAAAAAGTTGAATTTCATTTTTTAAAAATGTTTTCCCCAAAGACAAGTGAAAAAATTTCTAAAAATTTGCCTTTTCAACTACATTGATCCCTAACTCAGTGGCTTTTAAGATAATAGTTCGTAACATAGATAATAGTCATCTAAATAAAATTCTGAAAAGATATTTTGCTTTGGGGGATAAATTTTTTTTTTACAGTGTTCAACGTTTTTGCATAAAATGCCTTATTTTTAACTAAAAGTCACCATTTAAAAACCAAAAAGGCGATACAAATATTTATTTTTTGCTAGTTTTATAAATTTTTACACATGATAAAACAAACTAGTTTTTCAAAATTTTGTATTAATATTTAAGAAAAAAGCTGTCGTAACTAGCCGGATACCTAAAGTTTATTTATGTAAAGTTTATTTATATATTAAAATTAAGTAATTGCCTGTAATATGCCCATTTTGGCTTCTAAACTGTAACGGTCACCGGAAAGATCAGGATTGCAGGATGATGCTTTCTCCGAATTAGTTATCATCCACCGTTGGAAATCTTGCAAAGCCATTTGATAACGACGCTCCACTGCTGATGCTAATGAATTTGCAACCTTGGATGCCATACTTTTCAATTTATCGTACCTAAAATAAAATAGTATGAAAATAACATATCTGAAGAAGTGAATGTATTTAACAAATAGAGAACTGAAACAACGAAATTAACAACGTATTTATTTTTCATACCTTTTTTGCAAAGTAGCATTTTCTTTCTCATTATAAGATGAATCTACATTGGAATGTTTTTGCTTGGATTCTGCAGTTTTCATCTGCATTGTTTCAAATCGTCCTTTATAAGATAAAATTTCTTTTTCCAATTGCTGCAAATATTAAATAATATTTTATGTATATGTTACGGTCTATGTAAACAGTCGGTTATTATTAATACTAACCAGTTAATATTAAGAATAACCAAATAAACCGGTTAAAATGAATAATTTAAACGAATTTATAGCGTTAACCAGTTATTATTAACAACAACATGAAGTTTGGTCAATGTCATTCTGTGATGTTGTCTTATTGTAAATATTTTTTATTACTACTGGTACACATGTCCTGAAACGAAGAACGATTTTAAATATTACATAAAGAAAGGCAGAAGTAGGAAGACATTTACGTTCTGCTGCGTTCTGGTCTGCGATTTATTCCCACCAAATTTTAAAATTAGTAGAAAATGTCACTAAATGTCAAATAACATCAATAGAGAAAAACATAAAACAACCAAGTCTCCGCAACAACATGGCTTTCAGTTTCAGGACAAAAAGTAATAGATGCCTGAGAAAATGTTTCAGATGAAATGGTGTGACACGTTGTAAAAAACGCTTTTCTAAGCTAGCAGCGCCATCTGTTGATGAACTTTGTTACTAAATTTGAAATTTGATTAGAAGGAATGCTATGGTTCAGAGATCTAAATATTTATACATGCTTCCGTATTTTCAAATTGTCGGTAATTTTTGGGGTACCCAGTATATATTCAACAACTTGGGTTCTCTTTTCCCAAAAATAATCTAATTTTAAGGTTTGGAATAACTAAAAATATAAGTAAAACAGAAATTATTTACCCTGCAGTTATCATGATTTTGCAATATGGTCTCATCATCAGCAGAAACGTCCTCACACTTCGAAATTGATTCTCTCATTTTCGACAACCACTCACTGAGATCCAGTTGCTCTTTTCGTATTTCACTTTCCTCCATGTTGAGCTCTCGAATACGATGTTCTAACTTCTCGGCTAAATCAGAAGCGTCTTCAAAGTGCCTCTTTATGACAGTTTGCAAAGATGTCAGAGTTGGAATTTCGTTATTATCATTCAGTTTTAACAGAGATTCAACTTTAGTGAGTAAGTTAATCTTTAATTCCACATACGAATGCAATTCATTCTAAAATGAAAAGAAAACATGCATTAAGAAAATGGATACACAAATATATAAAAACCAATTTTTTTTGGTTTTTGTCGACACCGTTTCATGGTTATGATCTGAACAGAAATTCTGGCAAAGTAATTATCAATACTTTTATCGACAAATAACAATCGACACTTCTTCGGGGAAACGCGTATTTCGTCAAAATTAAAGAAATATTTCATCATTATGTTTTCGTCCAACAAACAAAAAAAAAACCTCTTAGTGCCTAATGTACCCAACTTTTATAATAATCACTTTTACTTTTGCAACATATAGATGGAACAACACAATAAGGACAGATAGAACAGAGAGATAAATTACACCCACGCCTGAGATCAGAACTCTGAACATTCCTGGTACGAGGCCAACTCCTTGATCACCATACAGTCCGTTAAGATTGATTCGTCACTTTGCTTCCGATTCTCTAGTCTATTCTAGTTTTGTCAGTTTAGTTAACAATATCTCCCACAATGCACTGGGATGAGATTCCGAGTTTGTCATATTTTCGTCATATATTTGAAAATACGTGTTTCGTCATAAATCACGTAATTTCGTGACAAAAAGATTTTATGATCGAAATACTGAGCTTTGATCACTCAATCCTCAAAAGTGAGAGTTTAATTTCTGAGAGTCTACACTTACTCTTGCACAAAACGTAAACTTAAACACAAAAGACAAGAACAGAAGAATTCTCTTGTGTATTATAACTCGTATAAAAAAGATGTGCCGTTAACACTGCCCTTAACATATATTTACTAAAATATTTAATAAAACTTTAATGATTACAATCTAGATTTCGATTGGCGATAAATTCTTTCTGCAATGGTCAGGAAACAATTGAAACTTTTATTGTCAACAGTCAAAAAGTAACCAAAGCCTTTCTTCGGTTCATTCCTTTTTGGCGTTAATATGGTGATAAGTTGTGTTTGTAACAGTCAGGAAAGATCGAATTTTTACAGACATCAGACATAAAGCTGTAGTTAAGATCTGAGCATTATGGTTAGTCTTAAAATTATCGGAACTTTTATTGACGATAAAATCTATTTTAATAAGGATTTATTCTATTTGTAGCGAAATATAAACGATATAAACTTGCATAGACATCAAGCGTGAAACTCAATTAAAGGTTCTTAGTGCTCCAACTAGTCGGAAAGTGGTCGAAACATAAATAGCAAATACAAATTCTACCCTTATAGTCACACAAAAGAAAGTTTATAAAATAGTTTAAAAACCAAAAAAAAAAAAAAAAAAAAAAAAAAAAAAANAAAAAAAAAAAAAAAACAGTTTATGTATTTACCTTATATCTGTCTAGTACTATTTCAGCTTTTTCTCGACTTTCAAACTTATGAATTTGATCATTCAGCAGTTGGCAGATTTCAGTTAACCAGCTGATAGTTTGCTCCTTTTCGAATTCTATCTGCTGCCACAGCATGAGCTGAGATTCTAAATTTTGATGTCTTGTTTCAAGGAGTGCCATAATTTCTTTCCATTTCTTTTGAATGTCCACTAAATCATTCTCGATGCTGAGCTTACTCGATAAGTTATTAGAGGATAGTTCGTCCTTTAATTCATTTGCTCTGTGACTATAATTATCCACTTCATGATGATGGGATTTTAGTTTTTCATTTGCATTCTAAAGTGTGAAAAAGAAAAAAAATTAAAATCATAAGCTTTATAGAAATTTCACATATCCTAAAAAGATTTTGGAATTTGTGTTAAAATGACATGATGAAAGAAAAAACTTGAACAATTTTTTAAAAAGAAATCAAATAGTTATTTTTGTGGGATGCGGGTAACGTTTTTTACAATTCATTCTGTTTTTAATTGTTATCAAACTGAGTTCGTGAAAAATTACCCCCAAAATATTTAAGTTAACTTTAAAAACAGAACTTTTAGGTAACAGAACTTTAATGCCCAGTGTTTTTTTTAAGAACGCTTTTTTAAAATCCATCATTTTTGTCTTAGATTTTAAATAAATGTTTTTAAGTAATTGTGAACAATACGCATCACTCGTTAGGTTGATGTATTCAGACTCAAAACTATTTTTTTTATCTATTAAGTAAGAAAAAAATATTTCGAAACAGTTATTAATCAATTTATTCAATTGCATTTAAGAAATATATTTTAAATATTTTATTAACATTACATGCAATTTCAAATAAACTAAGAATTCCTTAGTCCTTTCGGCATCATACATTATATCTTTAAATTTTAGAGATTCCCTTAATTTTTCAGTTAAAAACTAGAAAAGAAAGAGGTAGGATTTTTAAATATTTCTCCAGATGATATCAGGAAATTTAGTAATTTACAAAATATGATTAAAAAAATTGTGAATCGGGTAAAAATTAACTTATATAAATGAAATACTAATATAAAATAAACTATTATATGTATAGTATAAAACAAAATAAAATGCGTTTCTTAGTTTAACATTAACAAATTGAAATTTTAAAAAAAAGTTTATGAAACTGACAAATATTATTAAAAGATTTTTTTTTTCAAATTTGAAGAAAAAAAACAATTATAAACAAATTTTGTTTCAACTACGAAATATATTTATTTTTTAATATATATTTAAGCTATAATACTACTAACACAATGATTTTCAAATTTATTCCTTCCTAGTGATTGATTGACATTTTGTGCTATGTCGATTAAGTTAAAATTATTGATGGGTTAAAACCTATTGGATTGAATTTAAAGTTTAAGGTCATAACTGCTAGAACCATCTGTACGGCGATAAACGCTGTTTTATTAGATACTTAATTTATATGTCACGAAATCAAGCGGTGTTATATAATAAGTTCGCCTAAATTTATATTAAAAATAAGTAAATAGATCGGTGCTCATGGTCATGGTATCCTTAGTTATCTGTCAAAGATAACTCCCTCACAAAGAGAGAAAACTTTTAATGTATAGCGATTAAAAGAAGTCTAAGTAAATAAAGCGTAAACGTTACGAAAGCTTTATTTTATTTAAATTATCACTTTTAATTTTTTCATGATATTATATGATAGCACATCATAAAATCTAAAACAAAGTCAAAGACTAAACAGGTATCCACAACACAATTCGACACTAATACTAAACAATGCACCAAGTCAAGAATGTCAGATGTATATTTCTAAGCCTTATAAATATTTTTTGCCTTTTCTAGCAGATTAACTTCAATGTATTCACATTAATAAGTTTCGTAATAAATCATATGAGAACTTACTTTCACGTTTTCTAGTAGTTTTGTAACTTGAACGGAATCACAAGGTACGAAAGAGGGCTTTTCTATTAATTTTGATGACCTTTTCATGACATCAGTAATCTCTCGCTGGTGTGTAATGCAATCTTTCCAGAGCTGTACACAACGGCCGACGGATTTTTCTTTTCGAGCAAGTTCACTTGTAAGTTGCTCCCATTGCTTATCAATTGTTGATAAATAACCTTGAACAGCAGTGAAGGAAGAAGAGTCCTCTTCAATGATGGATCGTCCAAGACTATGAATGTTTGTATAGGAAGGATTATGTGCCTCCATTTCAGCTCGCACCACCTGAATATTACAAGCAAATTTTAGTCTATACAGAAGTTAATTCAAAATATTGATATTTAAAAAAAATTATTGGAAAAAAAATTATTAATTCAAAATATAAAAAGATGGCATAAAGTTGGTTACAAATTTAAATATAAAAATAAAAAAACTTTGACCACCAAAAGGCGATTACAGATTACCAATTAGCAAAATGGCTGCTGTTTAATTTTTTTTTATATCGTTCAAATGATGACATTCTCTTTTATTTACAACTCAAGAAGTATTTATGAGATCTCTCTGGTCCCATATCTCAAAAATAAACTCACCAAAATGCATAACAAAATTAAAAGTGAAAAAAAAAATTCTACAAAAATTATCAAACAGCAGCGGTCGCCATAGCAACGCATGCAACGACTCTTGAACACAGTTTTTCAACTGTGTTCAAGAGTAATAGTAAAAATTAGTGTGGTGGAGTCCAAATAAGGTGCGCGCGTTATCAAACCCAAAATAACACCCATTTTAACAATGGGTAATAGTTTTATTAATTTGCACAAGAATTTTTATGAGTGAAAAAGTGAAAAATTCTAATAGAGTTTCTAAGAATTCTTATATGTGAAAGAGAGCGAGTTTTCAATTAGTTAGCATCTCTTTAAAAATTAATGCACAAGCAGAAATTAACTATTTTAAAATGCCTTTATTAGTTTGATTGGAATTTATTATTTTAATCCAATTTCATTCACTAAATTAGCAATGAAGAACTATGTGTTAATATTTTAGTAAAAATAAAATTAAAAAAGTTTTAAAAAATTTAAAAAGTAAGAATTTATTCTGAAATTAATAAATTGTTCATGATTTTATTGGAAAACAGTTTAATGAAAGGTTTTAACTTACAATTTTTTATATATTGAAGTATTATTGTAACACTTTCGTTACTGTAATGAAATTGCAAAATAATTCTAGATAAAGTTATTTTATATTGTCGAAAATATTTACGAAATGTTTCGAGAATAGGAAACTTTATATTGAAAAAAAATGAGAAGTGAATTGTTTCCCTAGAAAATATTTACAAAACGTTTCGAGATTAGGAAACTTTATATTGAAAAAAATGAGAAGTGAATTAGTAACCAGGCGACAGTAACTTCAACTATTTTTGTTTCAATTGTTTTTTAAAAAATAAATAAATAAAATAGCCGGCGTAATCCTACTATACGTTGCACGGTGGATTTGGCGATATTGGAGATGTTTGAGAGGGTATGTTTATAAATTTGTATGTATTTGCTTTTTTTTTCTGGTTACGATTTTCTATATTTTTGCCTACCTCAATTCTTGGTAAAAATCATAAAAACCTCATTACGGCTTAGCAAGTGTTGGCGATGGCATTTTTTAAAATCACTCCAAGCATGTAACTCATAATGGGATTTTACTAAACACTGACAAAAAAAAAATCCCAACAGCAAGGAGTTATGCTTCATAAACTAAATTTAGTAGGCTTGTTAATGCAACTAAAAGACATGCATTCAAATTTCGCTTTTGGAGCATGAGTTTAGCACTAGTAGCGTCACTGTGAACATGCAAATCAGGGTCGCTTCAAATACGTGTTCTACAGTTCTTAAGCGTTATTTTTCATTAAATTTTGACACAGTGAATCAAGAATGCCTTTAAGACGACGAAGAAGCCATTATCAACAGCACACTGACTTTAAATGTGGTCATGTAATAGGGCTGCAAGAAAGTGGATTTTTTCCTTGTGATATTGCAGAAAATGCATGAATGTATCCACTGTGCATGATTGTTGGCAGTAGTGGTCAAGGGAAGATAAAGCTTCAAGAAGATCGGGGTCGGGGTTTCCACGCGGAACTACTCAGAGGGAAGACAGTCGTGCACGGCGTATGGCTGTGGCTCACCGTACTGCTTCTGCATCAGAAATTCGAGCTGCAGTTGGCACTGCAGTGACATAACGAACTGTTGCGAATTGGCTACTGCAAATACACTTCCGAGCAAGACGCACTTCAGTTTGTATTCTACTCATTCTAAACCACTGCCGTTCACTGCCGTTGAGTGGTGTTGAGTTAGAGCTCACTGGAAGACAGAGTGAAGATCTATTGTGTTTTCTGACAAAAGTCTGTTCCGTCTTAGTCTCAGTGATAGCCGTATACTAGTTAGAAGGAAGTCAGGTGAGACATCTGTATAATAAGATGCATGCCCGTTTGTATGCTTGCATTCAAAATTCTGGTGGTTACAACCGTTATTAATGTACCGATATTTCACATTTGAAATGTTTTTTTTTTATAGTTGCATTAACCTGTGATCTTGAAACTTTAATCAATTAAATATGACACTCAGACAAAGGCACTGCCGAAATTTCATTTCTCTAAAATAATTTTTTTCTTGATTTTGAGATTTTTTCCCCATCCAGTGTAGTTAAATTTACTTGCACAGGTGAATTGGATAAATATTAAATTACTTTGTCATCAATACATTAAAACTACATTGTGACTTCAGAAAATAAATGCATTTGAAATATACTTACTTTCAATTTGTTCAACTGTTCTTCAAACTCATTAATAGTGGGCGCATCATAGGGTAAATCACTAGTCGTTTTATTTACTTGCGACAACCATTTACACAATTCATCATATTCTTTATTGAATTCATCCCATTTCTTTGTGAACTTCAAAATTTCAGCCTCCTCGTTGGAGAGTTTCTCTTTTAGAGAATGCAGCAACTCTTGAATGTGAGTCAAGCGATCATGAACAGACACGTGTGACGTAGTAATACGATCGCGTATGATCTGATTGATATTTTTCAAAGCATTGTCTAATCCTGATAGATCAAGAGAAGTAGTTTGGTATTCGTCCTCGAGTTTTTTCAACTCCTCCTTAATTTTGAGGATTTCTTCAGGATTGCTTTTTCTACTTTCACTTTTGTTTTTTAGAAGTTTAATCCTTTCACACATATCCCTGAACCAGCATTCAAAGCTCCAACGTCTTTGTAGAAGTTCGTGTTTTTTGGATAGAAGCTCATCTGTTTTTTGATATAGCTCAGAAAGCTTGGAGTACAAAGAGGTGATCGATTCTATATCTGCAGAATCGCCTGAAGTTGCAATTACTTTCACCTCTGAATATATTTTGTTGAAATCCTCATGACGGCTTATATTTTCTTTTTTCAGAATCTGAAAATAAAAAAATAAAAGTTATAAAGATGATGAATTAATTGAACAGTTAAAACTGTCAATATTCCTTTTTTTGCAGTATTTTAAGCAAACCAATTCTTTTTAGATTAGACTAGTTTTTAAAGACTTTTTAATTTCTAATTACGTTTAGACAATGAATTAAATTAATTATTTAAAAAAATATATAATTAATTTTTAATTAATTATTAATTTAAAATTAGTAATTATTATATTTCTAATAATGCAGTTAGAAAATGTCACATATTTTTGATATAAGTTTTTTTATAACTCAGCGTTCCAGACTTTAATCTAGTCTAGAATATTACTAACTACAGGATTATATTATATAGGATAGGATTATATTAACTATTATAAACATTATTTGGGGATTTCGCACTTTTATGTTAGCTAATAGGCTCCTGTATTTAAGACTGAAGCAACTGTGCTTGCTCATGTTTATTTTAGAAGCCCACGTTATGTTGCTAACGCTGCAAAGGTCAAGGTATAAGCGCGTTTAAATGTTGTTTTCTGTTAAAGTCTACCTTCGAACTAAAAATATGGACATGGAATGCTAATTTAGAGAAATATATTAATGAAATTTAGGAATGAATCGTGTGATCTTACGACCACTGGTTCATTCAATAAAAAAATAATTTTATTGGTTTTCGTTTAACATTATGGTTGTCTAATTGAACTAGTTCCATAAGGCACTAGATATATTTTCGTTATTTCAAAATTATAACTTATATTTATTTTAAATATACAATTTACTTAAAAGAAGTTAAATAATCAATAGAAGTTCAATATTATTTTTTAAATAATAATAATAACAATAATTATTATTATTACTACTACTACTACTAATAATAATAATGAGCTGCATTTTTTAAATCTAAAACTTGTTTATGTTTGTGCATTTGAAAATCAGAATTTCTTATGTATAAAAAAATTATGATCTTTTTAATCTTATTTTATTTTTTAAAATAATTGAAATTTTAAGGAATTTAAATATTAAATAATACTAAAATATTTGAAAGTTAATGCCAACAAATGGTGCTTAGAAGAGATTTCTAATTTTGAAGAGATTTTTTTTCTCTATATTCTAAGTTTTAAATTTTAGCTTTAAACATCAACTAGGTATTGCAGAGAATCACAGTTAGAACTATTATAATCTTATATTTTATTTTATAACTGTCGTTAAGCAACCGATCTAATTTTGAGTTTACGACTATCAATGTTATTCCGACTTCGTAGCCTTGAAATTTTGAGCCCAACCCAGATGGCAAGGGAACTCCTGAATCAAGCATTGGGATAAACTAGCCTTCGTGGAGGTCTTCTCGATGAAACTAACCAGCATTTGCATACACTTGGAGAGGAAAACCACGAAAACCTACCACAATCGGAATCTAACCCATATCCGACTACCACTGAAGTATTTTGAGTCAACACTGTGATTGGTGAGAGCTGGAAGCAGAATTAGTGCCAACCAGCCACAGCAGGGTTTCGAACTTGTGTCATCCCCAAACAAAGCAAACGCTTTAGCCTTGGAGGTCCTAGACTTGAAATCTAATTTTTGTTCATATTCCATAAGAAATTTAAGAAAAATGTTTATAGTATTATACAATATAAATGTTAAATAATAATTGCTAATTAAAGTGTTAGTTGCACTTTAAATATTGTAGGTAAATGTCTTTTACAGCATGATAAACAATTTTATTTTGCTCAATGTTTCGCAGGTTCATGTGCTGGTTACTTAAATTGAGGGAACAATAAGTTTAAGGTACTCATTTACCATTGGCGTAACTGGAAAGTGGCGTAACCAACTTATTTGCCATTTTATTTTAGAATTAGCCATTTCGCGCACGCTATCATATGGCACTTAGAGCATGTTAGAGATACATTTTTTTTAATTCTCATTATATCGATAAATTTAGGGAGAGAAATATTCGTTATAACGTACCTCTATGTTCTTTATTACTGCTTCGATTTGATCGACAAATATATCATCGAACTTGTGAAGTTGAGTTGTTACGTCTTCTTCCCACTGATTGAAGGTGTTCATAGTTTTGAAAAGCTGTTCTTGCTGCGAAATTGAAGAGTCCAGCTGTATTAATAGCATACGCAAGGTGTCTTCAAATTTATCAATTCTTTTCTGAATATCAGTTGTCTGGGATCGAAGTGCCACAACAGTCTTTGGCGACAAATGGTTAGATAGTTGAACGACATCTTCATTGACTTTTCGGAGATTTTGTCGCTGATCATTGATTTCAGAGGGTAAGCTCTGAAAGAAGAAGATACTGAAATGTAGATACATTTTGGAAAACGTCATCAATTAATTGTTATTGCAAAATGAAGATTACAGAAAGCATAATAAGGCATGAAATTTATAACTTAAAAAATAAAACAAAATAATAAATATATATATACATAGATAGATAGATAGATATCCTAGCCATTATTTACCTAGAGCTGTTAGAATAGTAGCGATATATGATTGCACATTAAATGTCTAATGTTATGTTGATTCATATTTTTTATTTTCCATAAAAAAATGCAGTTTTTTAGGAAAAAAAGCTTCGGTTTTATGATTTTCTAAGAATTCAGCTTCATTTTAACTGTAATTGTGAGTAGTTATTTTGATAAATTTTAAAGCTATAAAGCTGTTTAAACTCAAAAATCGTACAAAGAAGAGATTTTTTATCACCACGACTCTAATGTTTACAAAATAATCTAATATTATAAACTGCAGAGGAAATAGCGATAAATCACCCAATTTCTTAATGTAATTAATTATGTTTATTCATCAAACTGTTTCTTAGCATTGTTTTCAGATAAGTGCATTTATTTATTTATTTTTTATAACAATCTTTGAACAGCCGACCCAATTTTTGAGTTTACGACTACTTACGTTCAACTCCGCAGCCTTGTAATTGTGAACCCAATCCAGAAGACAAGGGAACACCTGGATCAAGTATTGGGAGAAATTTGCCTTCGAGGAGGATTTTTTGATGGAACTAACCCGTATTTGCGTTACATAGAGAAGAAAACCATGACAACTTCCCACGATTATCCTGACGGCAAGAGGATGAGGATATTTCACGTCAGCACTGTGGTCGGTGCAAGCTGGATGCGGAATTCGTATCGACTAGCCATAGCCGGGATCGAACCCGGTTCTCCTCATTGGAAGGCGAACGCTTTATACTCTGAGCCATCACGGCTCAGATAAGTACTTTACATGTTTTCGGTCTTAAAGCAAAATAAAAAAGAAACCTTCTCAACAACATGCTCTTGGACAAATTATCGCTCTACTCCCTTCAGATGCAGTTTATTTCTTTAAAAAGATTAAAATGCTGTTATTGAACACAATTTAAAAAGATTTATTGTAAATAATAAAACTCACCAAAAGTTTCTGTTTATACTCTTCAAGTTTTTTCACATTACGAGTCTCAGCAGAGGCAAATTCTTTGACTAGGTTCTCCCTGTCATCCAACCATTTTAAGAGATCTTCAAATTTGACGCTTAAACCTTCCCATAGAATGATGATGTGTTGGAGCTGATCCACCCAAGTTTGGATTGTATCAGCTATTGTCTTCCATTGATCTTGTAACTGAATGAATTCGCACTGAATAGCTGCATCAGATATTTCAGTGATGGTCTGTGTGCTGACATCCGACAGGTACTCGATTTTATGATGGCAATGGGCACAAAATTTCTGAAAATAGAAAGTTGTTGCATTTAGGATAGTTTGAAAAACTAAATGTTGTTGTTTCTAATACTACTCGCATATACCAGTAACCCTGCTTGGGGAAATCAAAATTTAAGGCAGATTTGCGTTTCTTGTTTTTCGCTGGCCCCTATGGCCAAAAATGACTTCAACCAGACACTCATCACTGTCCGTTTATAGGACAAACCCATTCTTACATCCATTCATTCATTCACAAATCGTAATTTTGTCCTGAACCAGACGTAAGCACGTAAGTAACGTTAAGCACGAATAAGTTCAAAGCTTATTACAGTAATGTAAAAATAAAGAATTAAAAAAGAATCAGTATATAAAAGTTTTCTTTTTTTGGAATGCTTGTAATTAAGTTAGATCCAGTAAATATAAATGATACAAAAGACGTACGTAACTTAATTTAACAAAACTCAAAGTCTGCCTTTTTTATGTTGCACACTCAAGACAAAAATTTAAACGGTGCTAGAAACTATGTCTGACGTAGAAATAAATGAGATAAACAAAAATGCAAACACAATAAAAGATAATGACAAGAAAACAAAAGAAGAGATTTGATAACCTTGAAAACTTAAGAGATTAAATTTTAAACTAATAAATTCAATGATTTATTCAATGATTTGATAACCAATAATGCAATGATTTGATAACCTTGAAAATTTAAGTGATTAAAATCTAAACTAGTAAATTCAAACTATTAAACTAATAAGTTCGAAACTATATTTGATGTAGTATAAAAGGAATTTAATAAAATAGTAACAAAAAAAAAAGACTAAGAGAAGGAATCACTAAAAAAAAATTATATTAAAATAAACAATGCCTAAGAAACAAAATGACCAAAAGACTTCAACATGGAAGCAAACAAAGAACGAAGAAACTTCAATAGAGCACTCCATGGTAGAAAAATCATTTCACATTTAATGAAACAAAACCACTGTAATAATATGCTGAACTCAATAATTATATATTTCTTTGGTATATTTATTTTTACAAAATGCTTCAATGTATTGTTATGTTATAGTTCTTTATCAAATAAAACACTGACTATTTAGAATAAAGTTTTAAAAAAAAATTATAAAGCAGCCAATAACTTACATTTTAAGATAAAAATTTGATTTTTAGTTTAATGTGGTTTACATGTTCATTATGTTTTCATTAAGTGTAATATTAATACAGTAATTTAGTATAATAAGACAGTATAGAATTTATTGGGTTGTTTGGAAAGTAATTTCGCTCTTCCTAATTGAAGACTCAATTATATTTTTTCGCAGACAACTTCATACTTAGGCCGTATAATTATTATATATTTTGTTAGCTAATATAGCACGGCTTGCTGGTGAAAAAGTTTGATTGATTCTAAAACCAATCGAATCAGTTTGAATCACTTCACTGGTTAAAAAGTTCGATTCCTCTCCCATTCTGGTTTCGGATTTTCTCAATGTCAACGGATTCATTGATCTGGTCTGACCCCGTCAGACCAGATGGGAATTAGCAACAACAACAAAAGTTCGATTGGTTCTAAACAGTAGTTTTTCGTTGGTGCCCTTTCAAAAATGGAAAGTGAAAAGCAGAATTTCGGTATATTTTATTTTTTTTATAATCGAAAAGAAAAAAAATGCTGTTTAAGCAACAAAAACATTAACCGATGTGTATGATGAAGATATATTAACAGTACGTCGATGTTAAAACTAGTTTGAAAATTCGATGCTGCAAAATTTCAATGCAAATCGATGTACCTCACCAATTTAAATTGATGACGACGCAATGATTGATGTAATCCGACGAATAACAACTTGTGAGATGACTGAGACATTAGATTTATCAAATTCGACAGTTCATTTGAAAAGCCTAAGGTTTAAATCTAATGTCTGAAATCTGGAATGAGTTCATCATGTTCTTACGATACAAAATTTGTGCAGTCACGTTAATTGTCAGTGATTTGCTTCTCAAACTTCAAGAAAATTATGCATTTTTTTAGCGTTTTATCATTGGGAGAAGAAACCGGTTGTCTACAGTAATTTGCCGGTCTTTAAAAATATTTTAGACTGCTATACCTTTACTTCAAATAAGGAGAACAAAAATCACCTGGTTCAGTTTTTTTTATAGCAAAGAACAAACATTTTATGCGGGTGGAATCATGCTTCTGTTAGAAATATGGCAAGAGATATAGGATCAAAATAGGTAATATATGTTTCAATAAAGTATAAATAAAAATTGACTTGCTTTTTCATAGAAAAATAATTACTTTCTGAAGAACCCAATAGATAAAATAACGCTTACCTCCGTTTCTATCTTCTTCTCACGTGCTTCTGGTAATGAGGAAAGAGTTGGCAAACCGGCATCCACCCTCAATTCCGCCGCCTTGAGTTCATCCCTTTCTGTTCTTAGAATGTCCTTCACGTGCTGTACCTCGTCAAGATTCTTGGATATTACGTTTCGCTGCGTGATCACTGTCTCTTCCAGAGTGTGGAGACGATCCTTCAAGTTTTCCAACTGACCAATAATCTGCTTCACGTTGGAACTGTCGGGCTGGTCAGCGGCCAATTCTTTGCTTTCTGTTTCCAGGTTCGTTAACACTTGCTTTTGCTCTCTGATTTCTGAGTGGAGTTCCTGCGAGTTTTGAGAGAAGTTGGAATTAAATAAAGAATAGCTGACTCCATTCTTTTGTTAGAGGGAGATGTATGGCGGCGTGCCAGAAAATTAAAAAGAAAAAAAAAAAGATACCAAGAGTATGCCAGCACTCGGAGGAAGTCAACTAACCAGATGCAGTCTAGCAATCATGTTGGATATGCCGTAAACAACTGGGTCAGTCTTTTAATTTTAAAGTATCTATTTGTAGCTAATCTTTCAAGTATGTAAACATGTTTTTAAAAATATTGAAAATTTAATTATGGTGTGATTTAAAAAAAAGAAAGAAATTTAAGGAAAATAAACTTAATCTTAATTTTTCGTAACAATAACAATGCAGACTTAGAAATGAGTGAGTTAATGAACTTTAAAAAAAAAGTTTTTTTTGAATTAAGTTTTAGACGTTTCAGTTAAAATCTGGCTTTATTTAAAAAAATATATTTGGTAGCGAAAAATAAAATATGTCAGTGTATGATAAATTAAATTTATATTTTTATTTATTTATAAACGTATCATAAAGTGGACTATTATAATAATTTATTTATAAAATTATAATTCAATTCATAATTTATTTACAAAATTATAATTCAATTCATAATTTATTTATTAATACAAATTATGTTTTCAACTAAAATTGTTTTGTGAAAAAGTTAAGAATCAGTTACAGGAATTTTTATACTATTGAATGAAAAATATCTATGTTGTATGATCACACCAAATAGATTGACACAACTAAGCACCAGAAAAGTACTCCTCTTTAAAAAGTAAAAACAATCTTACTAAGGTAAAAACGTTTGGGATAGTCGAGAAAATTTATAAAGCTGTTGAAAACTTATATTTATTATTATTCATTTGAGTGATAATATCCAAAAATAATGAATAATAATTATAATTAATTAATGCAAGTATAAAAAACAGGAAATTTTATTGATTTTATTTTGATTATTGATCGATTATATAGTATTGATTTTCTAATCCAATATTATTGCGTATGCGTTCTAAATATCTAATGAATGACAAAAGTTAAGTCTCCCTTACACAAAAAGATAACATTAAATATCAAATATTAATATCAAAAGATAATATTAAATATCAAATATTAATATCAAAAGATAATATTAATATCAGAAGATAATATTAAATATCAGAAGATAATATTAATATCAGAAGATAATATTAAATATCAAATATTAATATCAAAAGATAATATTAATATCAAAAGATAATATTAATATCAAAGATAACTAAATGTGTGATAATAAGAGATATAATTTTGAAAATCAGAATTTACGGTAAACCGTTACTATATAAACGGAAAAATTAACAAATGATAGGTTTAAATACCGTATATTTTAGTTTCAATAACCAAAGTTATGTTTGTTTGTTTTTTAACCAAAACTTATTACCTGAGTGAACAATTCAAATAAAAATTAGTTTCTCATATATCCACAATCTAATAAACTATTTAAGTTAAATGCCATGGAATTTATAAATTACTCACATCTAATTTCCTTAATGTTTCTTCAGCAGGTGCAGTTGAAGATAGAATCTCTTTTAAGCGATCGATTACACCGTCAACTTGGTTGACAAATCCCTCTAACTTGAAATTAAATTTAGTCCACTTTTCCGTAGTTTTCTCAAGATATTCAACATTTTCTTTGAGAGTTGATAGCACCATCAAAACACGATTTTCAATTTCAACGACCTCCTTCTGGAGTAACGGCCTTTGTTGCTCACTCAACTTGGGTGCCAAGTCATTGCTGACAGCTTTAAACTTCTGGAGATGGGATTCAGTTGTTTCGTGTAACTCTTGGTACTGATCCTGTAAAATAAAATAAAATAATATGCAACTGATTGGCAGAATTTTTTCGGGGATTTCTGCGACAAACTTCCCTAGCTCTAATATGTTTTGCTTTAAGATACTTTTAATTACAACAGTTACTAATTTAAAGTAACAGAAACGTTGTGTTAACAGAAGAAAGTATAGAATAAAAATGTATAAAAATTTTTAAATGTAGAAGTAATATTTTTTTTAATTCTAATATTATTGGCGATATTCTCGCCTTTTGTTAAAGGAAAAATGCACTAATTCTTTCTTTTTCAGAATTTTGTAAATATTACACAAATTAAAAGTCGTAAATAAATTGAACGATAAAAAATTAAACATCGTAAAAGTCATGCAGTAATTCCCAAAATTAAAGATCACAAATCACGCGAATAGGATTCTTTAAAAAAGAGATACTCAAATAAGTGTATGTAAAATACGGTGCTTTTTAAAGGAAAAAAATGAAAGAAAGAACATCATTTCTAGAGCGAACTATCTTTTAAACTTTCGCGATTTCGGAATTTTTTATTTTATATTATTAAATTGAAATTATAGGTAAAGTCAGTCATTACCAATTTTTTTTAAATCTCAAATGAAAATAGAAAAATTATGATTATTTCTTTCCTCTCTGATGATGAAAGAAAGACACTTTTGAAAAAAAATCTGCAGAAATAGAAACTTTTTTTCGAAAAAGTATTTGAAAAGGAAAACCAAATATTTTCCCTTGAAAATGAAAAATCTTCCAGCAAAAACTTTTTAACGTTCTGCGACAATGTCACCGTGTAGCCGCAATTCTGTTATGGGGCTGATTAATTAGTTTTAGGATTCAAAAGTAAAAACTATATGAAATAAAAATAAAATTTTATTTTCCGTTGACTGATTTAATTTGATTTTGCCCATAACGCTAAGTTAAATTTCATGGCCTTAATTTTATGGTTCATTTGCAGTTTCAAAATTTTTTAACAAAAAAAAAATTATATACATAAAAATCTGATAAGAATTTTAGATAAATTCGATATACATTTGTTTCAGCAAAAATAAGGAGCTTAACAATATTAAACATGTTATTGCAGTTTCAATGTTGTCAACGCAATTATAAATAGGTACAAACTTTTCGAGATGTGATTTAATTATTTCTTGTAACTTTAAGTACTGAAACTGTAAAATAAAGAACAAAAATATGCTACCTTTATCTAATTTAGTGTAAAAATTAAAATTTTTATAAAAGTAAAATCTGCCAATTTCTTAAAATGTTATGAAAGTAAAATCTGCCAATTTATGCCAGCCAATTTAAATACATTCGCAAATCGCCTTAATTCGTAATTTCGTTAATTCATAAAATTCGCCGGACTATGAAAAAAATATGAAAATAAAAGCGTAAGTAGTGGATAGTGGGATGCATTTTATGGCGTATTCCTGCTGAAGTACTCAAGTACAGAAGTACTCAAGTACAGAAGTACTCTGAAGTACTCAAACAAAAAAAATCAAAACGTTGACTAAATTTAACTAGTTTTTGGAGTACATAAAGATAATTTTTGAGTTACTGAAATTTAATTATAGCTTGCAATTACTTTTTTGTATGATTAATTCATGTATAACTTTGCGCACAACGCAAAATTTATTTTCGCAGTAAAAATATCAGAATTAACTTATAGTTTCAAACTTTTTAACACGACCAGGAAGCTCCATCCCCTGCTGGCACCGTTCGCCGACCCCCGTAATTGATTCTCATTCTTCATTGTTTATCTATTTTTAAGCGTCAATATTTTTAAATGATGAGATTTATATCTGGCAACGCGATTTCTCTTTCTGTCTCTCTCTTTCTGCGCTTGATTGACATCTTCTCTAGCGCGAGTTTATAAAATAACGAAATGAAGATCTCACGAGAGAGAAATAAATTTTCTACAACAACGGATAAATAGCCAATATTTAAAACAAAAAAAAGCCGAAAAAAATCCTAAATGAACTTCAAATTTCAATCTATACATAATAATAAACGCGGCTGTGTGTGCGTCTGTTTGTCTGTCTGTCTGTAATCACAATATATCGCCCCAGAAGCCTCGCCCAGGCACGAAACTCGGCACATAATTGTATTTTGACATAATGAAGAAGAATTTCTTTTCTTTTCCAAACATTTGGATTAGTTCTTTAGTTATCAGTCATTTTGTAAGAAAATCTATACCTTTTCGTCTTCAAAAAGCTATATTCAAAAAACTATTAAAAAATGCATTTACTTTTATCCACTCTTATAAATGTATGCTATTGCGAACCTTGCAATTGAAATATTAATTTTCGACAACTTAAACCAATAATATACGAAGGAATTAATAATTTAATTGTAAGGTTCGCATTAGTTTACATTTATCAAAGTGGAGAAAAGTTTAACTTTTGTATTAAAAATGTGGCAACGATACGTAAATAGAACGCTTCGCTTTGATATATTTGTTGCTGTTCATAATTGTTATAATAAGTTTTTCTTCTTCTTTCCACGCTCTATTTTTTTTCCTTAAGCGAAGACGATAATTTTTGTAGCGATATAGAAATAGAAATTGATACCATAAAAAATTATATAGAAATAGAAATTGATACCATAAAAAATTAATAACGTGGAGGACAGCTGGCCGCCGTAGGCGTCTAGTAAGTTCATAAACAAATGCGTCCCTTGCAACATGCCGAATTCTACTATGTAGTTGCATTCTTGCTGCGTATAATATTTTTTCAAACAAGTTTACAGTTAATAATTCTCGAACAAATTATCGAAGGCTAATGTTTCTTTTTATTTCCTCTTAATACTGTACATTTTTTACACAACTTAATAATTTTATTTTACATTTTTATAGCCGTCGTTGAATTATCGTCCCAAATTTTCGGGTTTACAACTACTAATGTTCAACTCCCAAGGTCTTGTAATTTTGAACCCGATCCAGAGACAAGGGAACTCCTGTATCAAGTATTGGGAGAAATTTGCCTTATCGCTGGGATTCGAATCCAGCAAATTCACCCGGATTCGAACCCAGTTGCTCACAGGGAGATGAACGCTGCTGTATCCCCTGAGTCACAGGAGTAATTTCAATTTTTTTTAAGTCTTATAATCATTGCGCAGCAAGACAAAATTTAGCGTTGAGTTGAACACGCAGAACAGCGGTGTCGGCGGTGCTCCTTGCAACTCTTTAACATAGAGTGAAATGTTCGAATTTTATACATATTTATTCAAACAGCAAATAAAAAATTTAAAAATAATGAGCATATTATCATAATAAGGAAGCAGCAGTTTTAAATATTACTGAGAGTTTGAAACTTTTTGAGACGGAATACAATCTCTTTCTTTAAACTTTTGGTACTCATTTTGTAATAATTTATGCTAGCGTTTTGCAATTTAGTTTAAAAATTTAAAAATTATAGCAAATAGAATTGAAAAACTAATTTTTGTGAAACCTTTACAGATTAAAATTTTTCTTGCAAAATAGATCAAAATTCATTCATAAATTTAAAATTATTTTAACGCAAAGAGAAATTTCAATTTTTGGATATATAAGCTTTAAAAAAATTACAATTCTAATTAAAACTATGAAAATATTACAGTTTGAAACATCATCATGCGATTTTGTCTTATTGAATCGAATTATATTAGTTTAAGAAAATAAGTAAATCGAAATAAAACACGCTCAGAAAGATTTACCAAAAGACCTTTAGAAAATATGCTTGAATTAAAAAATCAGCTCGTTCCTACTTTTTTTCTCTAACAGGCAACAAGTTCTTTCACAGACGTTTGTTTTGTGTTGTTTTTTTAAACAAAGCCTTTTAATAACCATTTTGTTACTTCATCTGATTTTAATTTCTATTCTTTGTTCCATTTGCTAAACAATACAAGAAGTGCATGTTTTAGAGAAATTTATAAATTTAAAGCCCTTTTCTCTTTCTTTTTTTTAAAAACATGACTTAATAAAACATGCTCTCATTATTTGATAAAGATTTGCCTCTATACTCTTCATTTTAACCGAAAAGTAATAAAAAAATGCTTACGTAGGCACCAGGCAATAAAAGGATTGTTTTTATACTTTGATGGAAATTAAGTTTTAAGTCATAAGAAACTCAAATCTTTCAGAGATTTAGAAAATTTTTCAGTTAAAAAAAAGAAAAAGTTTTCAACTTACTGTAGTTTTGTGAAGTTTAGCTGTTTGACTCAGTTTCTTCAATTCATCATCAGCTTGTTTTAATAAGCGAAATATTTCATCCTTTTGTTTATCATAGTCTGTCCACAAATTGCGGGCTTGCTGCAACGTACATAAAATAATTAGAACAATTTAAATAAATTCATCATTTCAGATTGAAATGAGGAAATTATTGAACAACATAAATTATATTTCTATTTTAAAATGCTACAATAAATCTATTAAAATAAAAGGATCAATAATTGTTTTAAATTTTTCTTATTAAAAGTATACAATAAAAAAAATCACGAAAAAGATCAAACTCCAATTTGTTTGTATTCACAAGAAGCAATTTGAATCTACGAAAATTTTGGAGAAAATGAAATATTTTCAACTGAATGTTCTTTTGTACTTTAAAATGTACACAGAAACAGATAGATGAAATGTTATCTTCCAAATAACTTGCATTTATTTAATTTAAGATTAATAGCTACTCCACTAAGTAGTTAAATAGAATAAAACTGCAAAGAGAATTTTACATGCAACCGAATTTTATACAATCTTACAAAAATAACAATTCTATAAATATTTGTTTGAGTTACTGAAGCTCGAACTAGAATGATTTTTACAGATATTTAAAATCATCACAATGTATGTTTTTTCTTCTTCTAGAAATGAGATTTTTTTTTTAACATTAGATTAAAGTACCTTTAAAACAGTTAATTTATGTGTAGCTTTCTCATATGCTTCCATCCAATTCTTTTCCAGTTCTGTAACATCTGTTTCAATGAATTTGGGTGACCTTTGCAATTTTCCCAATTCCTTACCCTTCTGTACTCGAGATTTCACATTGTCAGAATGAGTTTCAAGTTGGTGTACTAGAGCCTAGGCGAAGGAAAGGAAATAAAAGAAAAGTTGTAACACAGAAAAAAAGTTGTAACGTAAAAGTTGTTTATTATAATGAAGTTAATTTAAATGTGTGAATGATTGCATCATACTTAAAATCATATACTTAAAACAAAAGTTATTAAAAGTGATACGTTTTTCAATTACTTTAACAGTACAATGCTCAAAAAAAGCTGATCATCCTGGATTACTTTTTATTTAATGACCGGATCTTCACGTTCTAGAACTCAATCTTTATTGTTCGAGGGGTGTGACCTCAAATATGCTAATAAATAAGAGAAGACGAAATTTTAAGTTACGAAATCATACACAAAAGCATACTTTCTGCTAATAAACATACTTTTTTATCTACGGATTCGAATATTTGACCCCCAAAATATAGGATTTAGCCTCAATTTTGGAAGTATGGTTCCAATAAATTGTTCAGGATAGCGTTTAAAAGTTTGCACCCCTTAATTTTAACTTTACATTTTTGCGTATTTCATTATATCTCAAAAACTTTCGAAGCGAATTGAAAACTTTTTGCACACAATTATTATATTCATGTACCTAAAGATAATTCCATGCAAAAAACAACTTTTAGTACATATTTATTATTTTTTATTACTTTATTTAAAAATAGCAGAAAATTTTTTGAATTGCAAGGTATAAAATTTCTCTCATCTTCAAAAATTAATTATTTTTTATTATTTTATCTAATAATGGTTGAAAAAAATTTGAATTGTAAGGTATGCAATTTTTTAAGTCATTTTAAAGAATGAAATTGTGAATGGCAAAATGCAAAATTTTAAATCGGTTGAATAGTTTATGAGAAATCAAATTTTAAAGAAGTCGTATTTTAATTCAGGTAATATTTTAATTTTCTTCGTATTTTCAGCAGTCATATATTGCGGCTACCCCTCTTACTTTAGGGATCAAAAATCGAAATCCATCGAAAAATAGGTATGTTTTTTCAGACAAAACACGCTTTTAAGTCTTATTTTGTTACTTAAAATATCGTCTGTACTAATTTTTTGAATATTCGAGGTCATCCCTTCAAACCATTAAGATTGAACTCCAGAATTTGAAAATCCAATCATTCGATCAAAAGTTATACAGGATGGCACGTTTTTTTTTATTTTGCACACTGTACATATATGATTTATTTTAAGGCAAAAAATATACTGAAAGACTATAACTTTATTCAGCATTGCTTGTTTATATTTAAAAATTTATTGTTTGTATTATATTAAAAAAAGCAATTATATTTATTGCTTGTTTATATTTTTAAAAAAAGGCAACTTTAACCTATTTTTGCGCTATTAAGGTATACATACTTCTTGCTGCTGCAAAAGTTGGGCCAGCTTCTCAGGATTATCGTAAGTGACTTCTTCTACAGAGTCTGTTAAGGCTTTAACTTCCTTCAACCAACGAATAACTTCAACGATCTCTTCTCGATATATGAAGCATTTAGTAATCGTTTCAGTGACAACGATCGTTGTATTAATTTCGGGTATGAGGGATTTGTAACGAGCTAGTAATGCGTCAAGTCTCTTTCTCTCTTCATATGCTTCAGACTCTGGAACATGGGGTATCAACATATCTAACTTTCGAACCAACCACTTGACGTCGTCTCTTCTACTGTCAACAACTTCACACACTGCCTAGATGTTTTAAAAAAAATATGATGGTTTTAGCATTTTTTTTCAGTTAATAAAAAAATTAAATAATTATGTAAAATATTAGGATTGGGCTGAATATATAGTAAAATAACACAAAAGCCGAACGCATCTTCACTACAACCTCTTGCCAAATTATTCGATGCACTATAAGATCGCAGGTAAAATCTTAATTATCAGGTAATACTATATAGCTTTATTGTTTTCACACGACTAAAACTGGTTTACACTTGTTTACGTTCGTGTATCAATTGGTTAAATTAGACGATATATAATATAAATTCGACGATTGGATAATTTAGACCAGCGGTTTCCAACCTTTTGTGGACCATCACCCCCTTCTTGGGGTTGGCTGACACATATTGCCCCTTTCTCTTCTTGCTCAAAAAACCATTCATTGTTGCTTGTGAGCAACCAAATACTGAAAATATGCTATGTTATTTGATTTTAATTTAAATTGTAATGCAAATAAGGAGGCACATTTACCCTATTATTTTTATTAATTAAAAAAAATTGTGCATCTTTTTTTTTTCAAAAAGAAGTGATATTTAAAACGGAATAATCAAAACAAAAGTACACTTTTTTAAATTCATATTTTAATGTAATCAAGAAAAAGTTAAAACGCTAACAACTAAAATTTGAGAAAAAAAA